GGTAGCTGGTCCACTCCAGGAAGGTGAGATAGGAGAGACTCCTCCGCCCCCACTGGACATCGAGGGGGCTCCGGCGTACACAGTTCGGGCCATCTTGGACTCGAGACGTCGGATGGGGGGTCTCCAATATCTCGTGGAGTGGGAGGGGTACGGCCCGGAGGAACGGTGCTGGGTGCCGAGGAGGGACATCCTAGACCCGTCTCTCCTGACAGAGTTCCACCGTGGTCACCCCACGCTCCCTGCTCCGCGTCCTCCTGGTCGTCCGTCAAGGGGGGGGTACTGTCATGGTTTCGGCCGAGGCTGCTCCTCCTCCTTGCTCGGGCAGGCTTCGGCGGTCGTCGTCCCCGGAGTACTAGCTACCACCGTTGTATGTTATCGATGTTTGTTTGGTTTTGTCTTTATTGTACACCTGTTTACGTTTGGGTTAATGATGTCCCCTATAAGTTTCTCGTATTGTTAGTCGTGTGTTGTGTGTTATTGTTCGCCTGTCATTTGGTGCTGCTCGTATTTTCGTATGTTGTTTATTCTGGTCCGTCGCACTGTTTGTTTCGTGCGCCTAGGATTAGTGTTTTACGCACTGCTGCGTATCGTTCGCCTCCTGTTTTGTTGAGGCCCAGTGTCTTGTTTAATTTTTGTGCAGTAAAGTTGGTTGACTTAGCTTCTGTGTCCTGCGTGTGACTCCTCGACCACATCCACATCAGCCGGTTCTGACAAACACCAACAACACACTCTGCCCATCACACAGAGGAAGACCATCAGAAAGAGAGAGATAGAGAGAGAGGCGTGGAGGGAGACCAAAATAAATGGAGAGAATTGAGATGGAAAAAGAGAGAGAAAGAGGGCTGAAGGTTAGACAGAGAGAGGATAAAAGGTGAAAAACAGAGAAACTAGTCGAAAGGAGTCAAGTATGCTGACCATTTCTTCTTCCTTTTTCTCTCCCCCTCTTTCTCTCTCCCTCTACCACTCTCTTTCTCTCTCTCTTTCGTTCGCTCTCTCTACCTTTCTCGCTCTCTCTCTCTACCACACTTTATTTCTCTCTCTCTCTTTCTACCTCTCTTTATTTCTCTCCCCCTCTATCTCTCTACCACTCTCTTTCTTGCTCTCTTTCATTCTTTCTTTCTTTCTCTCTCGTCTCTATATTTGGAGCAGTGAAGTTCAGGGGACAGTCAGTGCTGTTGGGTCTTGGTTACTGCAGCAGTAAGGTGCCACTCAGAGAGAGAGGCAGAGGAAGTTATCCCACTTTATCACCCCACTGACAGAGAGAGATAGGTGGGGGTCACCCCACTAAGAGTCAGAGGAACCGGTCTTTGCTGGTTATAACTCACCATCCCACATCTGACTCTGCATACCCTCTGACCCTGGTAACCTACTGGCACAGCAACTGGTGACACTACACACTGTAACACGTCCATAACCCTCCAACATTACCTCACAGAGAAGAAGCACTCTCTTTTGACGACACCACAATGGTCTCTCTCTGGATTGGGCAAAAGGGACACACTCACCCCCACCCACCTATCCCACTAACCCACTATTGGTTAGTGGAATAGAATCAGGTTTGTTAGTGCTGGGCTGGAACACAAGCCTGCTGCATACACTGTAGCTCTCTATCGCTGAATTGAAAATCCAATGCTGTCCATGGAGGGGAGTGAACAAGTGTCCATGGACGGGGGTTTTAGCAAGTGTCCATGGAGGGGAGTGAGCAGGTGTCCATGAGGGGGTTTGAGCAAGTGTCCATGAGGGGGAGTGAGCAAGTGCCCATGAGGGGGAGTGAGCAAGTGTCCATGAGGGGGTTTGAGCAAGTATCCATGGAGGGGAGTGAGCAAGTGTCCATGAGGGGGTTTGAGCAAGTGTCCATGAGGGGGTGTGAGCACATGTCCATGAGGGGGAGTGAGCAAGTTAACTTGAGGGGGAGTGATCAAGTGTCCATGGGGGGGAGGTGAGCAAGTGTCCATGAGGGGTTGTGAGCAAATGGTCAGGGTTGCCAGCCCTTTGCCTACCCTTGGGCCCTATAGCAGGGGTGTCCAACTGAATTCCTAGGGCAGGGGTGGGCAAAGTACAGGGGTGGGCAAAAAAAAAAGATGATTATGGGTTAAAACACTCCAGGCCACTCTTGAAAGTCTAAAACTAGACAGAAAGTATGTTGAAATTATAATGGACCTACAGTATATATTTTCAAGTAACTGCCCCTTTTCTGGCCTGCAAATTGATTTTGACAAACAAATCGGTCTCCAAAAAATCTGTGCGGCCCTCTGTTGAATTTCAAAATCCCAATGTGGCCCTTGAGCCAAAAAGTTTGTCCACCCCTGTCCTAGGGGGACTAAGTGTATGCGGGTTTTTGCTCCTCCCTTGTACTTGATTGATCAATTAACGTCATTGATTAGTCAGGATCTCCCCTCACCTGGTTGTCTACACAAATTAATTGAACACGAATTGAAAGGAAAAAACTAAAACTTGACACCCTTGCCCTGCCTATAGGAACACCCGCTTCAGCAGTACCTCGTCTCCCCTGTAGATGGCAGCAGGACCCCAGAGAGGTTCAATGGGAGTAAATTACAGGCTGCGTCTCAGGCTGTTAGACAGGATTACAACATAAACTGTTAGGACACAGACAAGTGTATTGATAGTAATATGATTGTCTCGATCGGATAACAAAGTCACATTTTAATTGGGGATGTAATTAGACAGGTCTCATTACCTTCATCTGCACTGGTATGGAAATATCTGACTTTTTGGATGAGTACAGATGAACGAGGAATTGAGACAATGAGAGGGAGTCATTAGACTATTGAGATTAAGAAGAGGAGACAAGGAGATGTCGCTGCTTTAGGAGAGGAAGCGAGCCCCTGACTGGACAGTTGATGAGGCTCCTCAAGACAGGACATGTGGAAGCTATGCAGAGGCACCATTCGTTTTCTCCTATGAATAAGTAGCCTAGGCTACTTCAAGGAAGGAAGGAAAGAATGATGCGTTATCAAAGTAGTCCCAATGAACAAGACTACTCCACTCTTTTTCGGACCAGCCAAGAACCTAGACCGAGTTTCACTTTCACATTTTTTTCTCTGGAAGTTTAGATTTTGCAAAGGATATTCAACCCCTTGTTCTGGTGAATCAGGGTGTCACTCCTCTACAGTCCTGCAAGGCTGCGTGAACAGATTACATGATATCGTCTTCCTCTGATAATAAATAATATGATCTGCTGTGCCTACATCGGGGGTGGCTGAGGACCAGAACGCGCATCCATCAAGGCGGGAGCGCGCACTGAGAAGGGGCGGGGCAGCGGGAATCTCTCTTTCCGGATATTTACCGATGTTTACCTCCACCTGCCCGCGCGACGCGCCCGGTTCCGAGGTTTTTAACAGCGGTTGTATCAACGGACATGACAAAGTTCACAAATCCAGGACTACTGAGGTATTTTAACTGATCTTCTCTAACTAGATTGTCTGTGTTCTCATAACAATCCTCCAGGATCAACTTGATATCTGAAGTGAAGTAAAGTTGCTGAATGGCATGTTGAGTGTAGCAGTAGAAGAACCTATAACATTAGGCTACGTTTATGTTGGTCGTTCATAGAGCCTACTTAGTTTAAAGTCCACGTCGAGGCTGTAGGTTTCAAATAACCTACTATTAAGGATATTGGACGTTATCTTATTCTCCTTGTTTGTTATTGCGATACACCAGTTTAATCGATAACCGAGATGACGTCTGAAAACAAGTTCGCCAATGCCACCAGGAGAAAATCTCAGGCCTATCTGATACACTTTAAATAGGCGATGTTGTATACCAATACTGCCCTCTCAACAGTCTAGACTTGGCTAAAAAACTCAGTGTCTTAAAATAGTTAAGGCAGTTCAGTTCTAACTGATGTCATTATCATTATGGAAAATCAGGCGTGAGCAAGTGCTCTACTCACTGTAATGTATTCAGAGTGAGTCCAAACATTAACCTGTGTGTGTGTGTGTGTAGAGAAAGACCTGGCCCACTCACCTTAGCCTACATTAACACACACACACCTACTGTTATTAAAAGCATGGGTTATTGGGTTGATGCCCAGTAGAGCTGGTGTGTAAATAACACTGCCGTGCGTTTGCATGTGTGCATGTAGATCTGAGATCAGTTCCTAGGCCTGTGGATGGGCGAGCTCGTCTCTGACAATATTTAACATTCTTATCATTCAGCAGTCTGCACAGGGCGGAAGAGAGAGAGAGAGAAAAGGAGGGAGGGAGGACGGACATGTTCAGACTGGACAGATAATAATGTATTACCAACAGAGACACACACATTCCCGCTGCATTACTCATTGCAGCATGATACTGCTTCACAGACACAAAAAGTACTCACTGGGCGTGGGTGTGTGGTTTTGTGTGTGTGTGTGTGGGGGGGAGGGGGGGGGTTGTTTGTGTGTTTGTGGTTTTGTGTGTGGTTTTGTGTGTGTGGGGGGTTTTGTGTGTGTGTGTGTGTGTGTGTGTGTGAGGTTTTGTGTGTGTGTGTGTGTGTGTGTGTGAGCGAATGACAAGGGCCGGTTCTCTGCAGACGATGTCATCCTTAGGGAGGGGCTAAACTACATGAGCAGATATCATCACAATTTCCAGTCTGGAGGTGTTTCATTAAGGTGTGTGTGTTGTATCTCTCTCCCCAGGTCGTGGAGAAATGGACTGAGGGTTGCATCAGTGTGTGTGAGTGAAGCGTAAATCAGAGTGCAAAGACACAGAGACGTGATAGTCCGGCATCCCTTTGTGACATAACTACGCTTCTCTGAGACCACTGTCCGCGGGGAGACGCACAGCCCTAACGGGTACCTCCCCAACATTCACAAGCAACGCGGCTCCACGTCCCTCTATTCATTTGAATGTGTTAAGAATTCGAAAAAGTATGAAAGCCAACGGTCCAATATTCTAGAATACTGCTGTGCGTACACATTTTGGACTCTGATAGACGTGTATGTGAGAGAAAGTGAATGTTTGTGTGTGTGTGAGGTTGAGTAACCGGCGGTAACAGACATGCCCAAGCCTGATCTACTCTGTTTGGTTCAACTACTGGACAACACTATCCAGACCTTTACAGTCAATGTGAGTATACACAGACACACACTCTCTCCTGATGTGCAGAGATCATATGTAGTTCCTATCCATCTCTGTAGAGTGGTAATGATAGCAGTGTCAGAAGGGCAGACCGGGAGACTCAGATCTCAGCTTCCCATTGATCTCAACACACAACCTTGACCTGGAGAACACACTCATTAGAGAAGCTTTACCAAACCATACTGTACTACAATATCACATACACACACACACACTGAGTGACTCCCAGTATAAGGTGTGTTTTGCATCTCTCAGAAGCAGGATGCAGGGGAGGTTCTGCTGGAGCAGGTGTGTAACCAGCTGGGTCTGCTGGAGAGACACTTCTTCAGTCTGCAGCTACGAGACTCCAACACCACCATCGTTGCTCAAACACACTCTCCTGTGAGCAGCTACACACACAAGCAGCTACACACGCACGCACATATAAACACACTCTAGTGAGTATCTACACTAACACAGCGCACACACACTCTTTCTCTAGTGAGTATCTACACTAACACAGCTCACACACACTCTTTCTCTAGTGAGTATCTACACTAACACAGCTCACACACACTCTTTCTCTAGTGAGTATCTACACTAACACAGCTCACACACACTCTTTCTCTAGTGAGTAGCTACACACACACTTAGTGAGTACTCTAAAACGTACACAACAGATGGTGAATGTAGCAGAATGTCTTTGATTAACATAGTTTGTTTGTCTTGCAGAGGTGGCTAGAGGCCAACAAACCACTGAAGAAGCAGCTGAAAGGTAAGAAACACTAAATGAGACCTTAGCCTGAGCCCAGTGTCATCCTACTGTTTAGCCTGAGCCCAGTGTCATCCTACTGTTTAGCCTGAGCCCAGTGTCATCCTACTGTTTAGCCTGAGCCCAGTGTCATCCTACTGTTTAGCCTGAGCCCAGTGTCATCCTACTGTTTAGCCTGAGCCCAGGGTCATTCCTAACTGTTTAGCCTGAGCCCAGTGTCATCCTACTGTCTAGCCTGAGCCCAGTGTCATCCTACTGTCTAGCCTGAGCCCAGTGTCATCCTACTGTCTAGCCTGAGCCCAGTGTCATCCTACTGTCTAGCCTGAGCCCAGTGTCATCCTACTGTCTAGCCTGAGCCCAGTGTCATCCATACTGTCCAACCTGAGCCCAGTTGTCATCCTCTGTTTAACCCTGAGCCCAGTTGTCATCCTACTGTCTAGCCTGAGACCCCAGTGTCATCCTACTTGTTAACCTATGCCTGATCCCAGTGTCCATCCTACGTCTAGCCTGAGCCCAGTGTCATCCACTGTCGTCCTGAGCCCAGTGACATCTACTGTCTAGCCTGAGCCCAGTGTCATCCTACTGTTTAGCCTGAGCCCAGTGTCATCCTACTGTCTAGGGGGACATCCTACTGTTTAGCCTGAGCCCAGTGACATCCTACTGTTTAGCCTGAGCCCAGTGACATCCTACTCTTTAGTCCAGTGTGCATTTCGATAAATTATCAATGTTCAATTTAAGATTGAATTCTGTGGATTGTGGGGGGTCATGTCAGGGGTGATGGATGATTAAGGTCAGAGGTGAGGTCATCGGGCTGTGTCTGACAGTGACTCTGTCCTACAGGAGTTGTCTCTCCCTTCTACCTGACCCTCCGAGTCCGATTCTTCATCTCAGACCCCAACTCTCTACAGCATGACCAGACCAGGTAGGGACATGAGTAGGGATCATGGTCTCGTGACAGGTAGCCCTGCCTGCCACTTCAAAATCAGTGGAACCTTTGGCCCAATAGGGAATTTCCTCTTGGTCTAATGGTCAAGAGGTTGGTTGGGTTCTCCAATGGGAGACCTGGGTTCAGATCCCCTATGTGTGTCTGTGTACCTGTAGACTATGTTGAGAGTGTGTGTGTGTCATTAGGATGTACAGTATATGTCTGATTCAGATGATAACCGTCTCCTCTACTGTCCTGTGTGTCTGCAGGCATATGTACTTCCTCCAGATCAGGAGTGACATCAGAGAGGGCAGGTCAGACACACTGGGCTCCCACATACACATACATTCCCTCTTACTCCACCTAGTGGTGTAAACAGTGTGACATTACATTGAGAAAGTGTGTGTGTGTGTCCTGCAGGTTGAAGTGTCCTCTGAGTGCAGCTGTAGTACTGGCCTCCTATGCTGTGCAGTGTATGTCACGCTCTCTTCTTTGGTCTTTTTAGTGTGTTGTCTGTCTGGGGGATTTAGCATAATCTCTCTCTCTATTTCACCCCTATTCTCTCTTTCTCCTCTTCTCTCTCTTCTCTCTCTCTCTCTTTCTCCTCTTCTCTCTCTGTCTTTCTCCTCTTCTCTCTCTCTCTCTCTCTTTCGGTCTTCTCTCTCTGTGTTGTAGCTGAGCTAGGTGACTACTCCCCAGACCTTCTCCCTGGTTACCTGTCCAAAAGCCATTTCCTCCCGGAGCAGGACGATGACTTCCTGTCTAGAGTGGAGGCTCTGTACCCAGGGCACAGGTACACACACCCAGAGGCCAGGCGTGTATACAGCACCCCCTGGCCTACTAGAGGACATGGTGGAGCTGTTAGCATAATGCTGATACCAACCTATCCTATTCATGTGCTGTTTCAGGGGGCTGAAGCAGAGTGAAGCAGAGCTGTGTTTTCTCAATACAGCAAGAACACTGGAGCTGTATGGAGTGGAGCTACACACTGCCATGGTAAGTACCTCCGTATGTCTCCCTCTGACGCTCCCCTCTGATGCTCCCTCGGCTTCCTCTCATTATTCTATCTCTGTCTTTCTCGCAGGACTCCAACAGTTCCCCTCTATTGGTGGGATTGGCCTCAGGGGGCGTGGCTATCTTCTGTAACATGATTTGCTCCAGCTTCTTCCCCTGGTGAACACCTGGACTTATGATCAGACCCACACCCCACACACACACACCCCACACACACACACCACACACCACACACACCCCACACACACACACACCCCACACACACACCCCACACCCCACACACACACACCCCACACACACACACACCCCACACACACACACCCCACACCCACACCCTGAGTATGTATTGTCTCCTGCAGGGTGAACATCATCAAGATATCCTTCAAGAGGAAACGCTTCCTTATGCAGCTCCGACGCAAACATGTGAGTCCTGATTGGCTCAAAATGGTGTGTCCTGCTCTCCTATTGGCTGGCCTTAGTGTTGTCTTCATAACGTGTGTTCCAGGGGGAGACGCAGGACTGTGTGGTGAGCCTGGTCCTGCCCTGTCACAGGGCATGTAAGAGCCTGTGGAGGTCATGTGTGGACCATCACTGCTTCTTCCACTCCAACAAGGCAACCCGTAGCCCACACTACGCCAACCTGGCAACCCAGATACACAACAAGCTGCTATCACAACACTGGGCCTTGGGCAACACTAAAACAGACAGGCAAGCGCACACACACACACACACACATAACAGACACTATCTTTCTCTCTCTCTTTTACTCATCTGCACACTCTCGTCTCCTCTGCAGTGGTCCAGTGTGTAAGAAAGTGATGGGTGGGATGGAGTGGAACCCGGTTCTGAGGGGGTCCACCTCGTCAGAACACCTGGAGACCAAGAGCCTGCCGTCCCGATCCCCCCCGCTCACACCCAACTGGTACTGCCCACACCACACACACTGCTACAGCAGGAGATATCCATGTTAAGGGGTAGCTGTGTCTAGGGGTAACTTCATCCTACCTTGTCTCTCTCTCTGTTAGGCGGAGTCCTCGTGTGCGTCATGGCGCCCGTAAACCCCGCCCCTCCTCAGTGGAGCTGAACAATGACCTGCGAGACGTGTCAGAGGGGGAGGACGTCTTTTACACCTACAGGGTCTCCCTCAGCAGCAGCAGGGGCATCCAGGAGGGCACGCCTACACACAGGTCAGACACACACACACTTGCACACGGTATGAAATTGTATCAGTGTAAAGTACATTCTCATGTTGGAGTAAGTTCTGAACACAGTATCTATATCAGTGTTTCTGGTACACACAGCCAAGGGGGCGGATTGTCACAAGTTGATGATATCAGCACAGGAGAGGACGACATTGAGGCCACCTCTCACTACCGGGACAAGGTAGTTACCCAGACAGACACGGGTGTGGGGGTGATCATGTATTTGGGATAAAGTATCTCATCTGTGTGTGCCAAATTCAGTCAATTGTGTGTGTGTTGCAGCGTGCTCTGGGGGATGGAGACCTGCTATTGGTGCGTCTCGCACCTGATCACAACGGAAAGTTTGGTTTCAATGTCAAAGTGAGTCTCCCCTTCAATGAATCACACACACTCTGTTACATACAGTACCATTCCTGTATCCCTGACTGTGTTCCTGTTCTCAGGGTGGCGTGGACCAGAAGATGCCTCTGGCCATATCCCAAGTCAACCCTGACTCCCCTGTAAGTGACCATGTATTCTGGTTTATCTGTGTTGCTAATGCCTTTGTAAACAGTACTTTAGATTAATCCAATGTGATTTGCTTGATTTGTTGATTGATTAATTGATTGTAGGCGGGGCGGGTTGAGCCAAGGTTGTTGGAAGGGGACCAGGTCGTGTTGATCAACGGTCGCGACATCTCTGAACACACGCATGACCAGGTTGTCATGTTCATAAGAGCCAGCAGAGAGTCCCACTCCAGAGAACTGGCTCTGCTCATACGACGCAAAGGTAACACACACACTAGAGAGAGTGAGAGAGACACTGATGCAGGTAACACACTGTGTGTGTGTGTTTAGGTCCAGGGCGTGTGGCCCCCCTGCTGCAGTTTCCCTCTGGCCCTGTCTCTGACTGGCCAATCACACAGTGATCCACTGCTTCTGCCTGGCCAATCAGAACGAGGCCAGACACTTGAAGAGTCCATGAAACAACTGGAGAGGGGAATCCAGACAGGCACTCTCACCTTCCACTTCGAGGTGTGTTTTAGTTAGGCAACAACACTATGAAAGGGACTTGCTTGTGTGTTTAAATGTAACAAATGCACTTTGGGAATAACTAGTCATTCACATCACAATAAAACCTGCTGTTGACAATGCAGACAGAAGAGCGTAGTGAGTGATGGTGATGATGTGTGTGTTGTAGAACCTGTACATGAGGAAGCCTGGTCTATCAGTAGCCTGCGCTCGTCTCCCAGAGAACACAGACAAGAACAGATACAAGGACGTGCTGCCCTGTGAGTACATACAGTTCTGTGTCCTAGTAGGAGTGACTCAACATACCAGTGCCAGTGTACCTATCTTCCCTAATGTCCTGAATCTGTGGGAGCTGGAGGACAGGACACTGTGCTTTCTTTGTTGAGCTGGTAGGTGGTTTGTGTGGGTCTGGGGTGGTTGTGTGGGTCTGGGGTGGTTTGTGTGGGTCTGGGGTGGTTTGTGTGGGTCTGGGGTGGTTTGTGCGGGTCTGGTTCTGACTCCATCTCTGACACACACTCTCAAACTCTTTGTTCTGTCAGATGACGTCTCCAGAGTGGTACTTCAGGACCAAGAGGACTACATCAATGCAAGCCACATCATGGTCAGTACACACTTTGTGTTTAGTGTTGTCCTTGTTGACTTGTGTGTAGTTATGCTGTATTTGTATATTCTGTGTGTCAGGTGGTGCCCCCAGGGTCTGGTGTGTGTCTGCGCTACATTGCAGCTCAAGGACCGCTGCCTCAGACCTGCACTCACTTCTGGCAGAGTGTGTGGGAGCAACGCACACACACCATCATCATGCTCACCACACTCACCGAGAGAGGACGGGTATACACACGGACACACTCTCTCTCTCTATCTCTCTCTCTCTCTTTCAAAGAGTGAAACACACATTTACCGAATGAGAATGGGATACAGCACACACAGGTTTACCCAAGGACCCAGGCTCATTGTGAGTAGCTGTGTGCGTCTTTGCCTGCCTGTTGCTTGGTAACCTGAAGCTCTCACTAATTGATCATCTTGCTGATATTCCACAGGTGCTTCACACACACACACATTGAGGCTGACAGTCAGTTTCCACTCATCTCCTGATGTAATATAAGTCCTGGCCTTGAGAATGTCCTGAGATGTTTGGGAGAACACACTGAGTGAAGCACTGACTCAGAAATATGGAACACAGCTCAGTAAAATAAAATGTCTCAGAGCTTAAAGATGTGTTATAGCCTCTAGTAAATCAATATTAATGAATGTCAAAAATCTATTGTGTTTGTTTGTATATGTGTGTGTGTTTCAGACTAAGTGCCACCAGTACTGGCCACACCCTCCTGAAGTGGTTGATTATGGGTACCTGAGAGTCAGCTGCCACTCCGAGGAATGCAACCTGGCCTACGTCACACGCCAGTTCACCCTCACACACACAAAGGTAACACACGACCTGACTCACATAACAGGAGGCGTGTGTGTGAGAGTTCTCCACAGGAAACATTGACCAAACTATCCCCAGCCAGCTCCACGTGTTTCTGCTTCCATTGGCATTGTGTTTATTTACCTTTACACCACAGAGGTTAATATAGAACACGTTCTCCTTTACAATAATAGCCTGCCAAAGAGTACACACACACACTACACTGCTGTGCTGGCCCATCTGTTCCTCTGGCTGTCAGAGTTAATCCCTGCATGGAGCCACAGGCTGGACAACACACTCTCCTCCTCTATCCCTCCTCCATATCTCCCTCTCTCCTCCTCTATCCCTCCTCATCCTCCTCTCTCCTCCTCTATCCCTCCTCCATCTCTCCCTCTCTCCTCCTCTATCCCTCCTCCATCTCTCCCTCTCTCCTCCTCTATCCCTCCTCCATCTCTCCCTCTCTCCCTCTCTCCTCCCATCCTCCTCCTCCCTCTCCTCTCTCTACCCTCCTCCATCTCTCCCTCTCCCTCCTCCTCTCTCCCTCCTCCATCTCTCCTCCTCCTAGTCCCTCCCTCTCTCCTCTCTCCTCCTCCTATCCCTCCTCCATCTCTCCTCCCTATCCCTCCTCCACTCTCCCTCCTCCATCCATCTCTCCTCCTCTCCTCCATCTCTCCTCCATATCTCTCTCTTCTCTCCTCCCTCTTCTCTCCTCCCTCTTCTCTCCTCTCTACTCTCCTCCCTCTCTCTCTCCCTCTCTACTCTCCTCCCTCTACTCTCCCTCCCTCTACTCTCCTCCAGATCTCCCATCACAGTAACTGAGTTACCACACCCTACACTTTCACTGTTTCTCTCTCCTCGCATCTCATCCATCTCCCATTACAATCATCACATATCCAGGTTAATTTAATTTAATTTATTAAAATATCTTTCATAAAAGAGACAGATTGGAAAAGTGTGTGTTCTCTCAGTGTTTTCCTTCTGTGTTTATTATCCTATATGTGTGTGCGTGTTTCCAGCTGGGAGAGGAGCGTTCGGTGACCCACCTGCAGTATGTAGCATGGCCAGACCATGGTGTACCTGATGACCCCTCAGACTTCCTGCTGTTCATCACCTCTGTTAGGGAGAGGAGGACAGGAGACACGCCACTTATGGTGCACTGCAGGTACACACATTCACCACAAACACACACGCACACACACAAACTACCGCTCTAGGGATACAAGACTTATAACACCTCATGTATGTTGTTAATGTAATTGCAGCGCTGGGATTGGGCGTACAGGTGTTCTCATTACCATGGAGACGGCGTTGACGCTGTTGGAGAGCGGACGACCTGTGTTCCCTCTGGACATCATCAGGACGCTCCGAGACCAGAGGGCCATGATGATCCAGACCACGGTACACACAAGCACACCTATACGTCTAACCATTAGCTACGGTCCTCCAAGACCAGCCTTGAGCCCTGACTGAAACCCTAATTACTATGTCTGCAAATTCCTTTGGTATGTTTGTTGTATGTGACTGGACTGTTTTTATGTTTGTGTTCAAGTGTCAGTTCCGGTTTATGTGTGAGGCCATCCTGCGTGTCTACAGAGAGAGGAGAGCATTCTGCAGCACCACCCTCAGCACGGCTAACGGACCACTAACAGGAGGAGGGGGGGACAGCTAGCCACAGCGCTAGGCTAAAAGGAGGAGGGGGGACAGCTAGCCACAGCGCTAGGCTAACAGGAGGGGGGACACCTATACACAGAGCTAGGCTAACAGGGAGGGGGGACACCTTGGCACAGCGCTAGGCTAAAAGGAGGAGGGGGGACAGCTAGCCACAGTGCTAGGCTAACAGGAGGAGAGGACCGCTAGCCACAGCGCTAGGCTGTAGCTTTAGAGAGCCATAGCACGCCACTAGCCTTAAGTGCTCGGCTACGGCAAGCCTTCGGTTGCTACAGCACATAACAAGCCGTAGTGCAGAATGTGCTCAGCTAGTCCTATCCTTATGCCAGCCACAGAGCACAGCTAGCAGGGAAGGGTCATGTACTATAGAGATCTGTATCTTTTTTTTTCTCTGGGACAAAAGTGCTACCGTGTGAGTGACTGAAGACTGTATCTCACTATAGCCACTGTAGAAATTATGCCTTAGAGAAATGCCTTCCTAATGGTAGGCCGCAGCTAGTTCCTCCTGAGTGGTAGCTATTTAGCCTTCCTAATGGTAGGCCGCAGCTAGTTCCTCCTGAGTGGTAGCTATTTAGCCTTCCTAATGGTAGGCCGCAGCTAGTTCCTCCTGAGTGGCGGCTATAGAACTAGGCCTTTTCTAGACTAGAGCGATTGACTGGTCTGTCTGTATTGTTGGGAGGGTGTCAGAGGCTTTCGGTGGATTCACAGTACTGACGAACACTGCCAGAGGCACCACACACTAACCCCCGCTCCAATCTTCCCTAAATTATTGACACACTGAATAAACACACTGTAATCTACTTGGAGCTCTCTGTCTGTTTGTTGATCTACTAAAAGTCAATTGATGGTATCTTACATTCTCAGAGTGAATTTTACAGATGAAAGATAATTCACAAGTTCTACATAATAATAATAATAATAATAATAATATGCCATTTAGCAGATGCTTTTATCCAAAGCGACTTACAGTCATGTGTGCATACATTTCTACATGTAATATCAGTTCCAGGTAAATGTAAGTATATTTGTGGTCAGTAGAGTTGCCTGTATGTATCAAAACGTTGTAGGAGTTGAGTCCTACAGGCTGCAGTGCAGTTAGTCCTCATTTAAACACATTCCTGTTACCTGCCCTAGATGTCTGCATGCTCCAGTTCAGTGCCAACACAAGTCCCAGACCATGTTGAACAGTCTACTGATCTCATAGAAAGACTTAGGAGGGGCATAGTAGCAATTACTACTAAGCAACCATAGCAGGCAGATATCTGGAGTGAGTAAAAGGAATATATTTGTTTTAGGACAGGTGAACTCTCTGCACTTCCACTGGTGTGTGTGCTTCTTTCTACCTGAATCCCGCGGCTACAACCATAATCCTACCGGTTTATTCTGAAATTGCATTCTTCTTTTTTTGCTTGTCCTCCACATTACATTGTCCCTATTGTGGTTTGTCCTCCACTGCGCTAGCCGTGGTGTCGCCTGTGGCCGGCAGGGAGCGCTGCTTCGCTGACACAGCCTGGCCCCAGTAAAAAAAAAAAAAGTTTGTTCTGCGTTGTGTTTTTACGCAGGCGCAAAGCATGCTGTTTGTCCAGTTTCTCTGGTTGATTTACCTGTGAGTTGGAGCAGTTTCGGTTCTTCGTGAGAGGATTAAATAATACCGACCACTGGTTTGAGTAAACGCGTCCCGGGAGACTAACCTCATTCCCCGGTATGTGAGACTATAGGGAAGCCCGCTGCGGAGCACGAGAGCTGCTCGGGATTTCTCCGGGATTTCTCCCAACATTTCAGAATCAGTGCAACAGCAGGTGCGCGAGCGGGGACGAAAGGCAGGCGGAGACCAAAGGGGGGTTGTGCTTCCGTGAGTGAGTTCACTATTGAAACCGAATAAATGATTGGGAAATTCAACTGGTTGCTTTGTTAATGCCGAATAGTCGGGTCCTGCTCAATTATGCGGCTGGTGATCCCCACTGCTGCCGACCTTCAGTTTCAGGATTCAGCGGCAGCTTGAAGTCTCCGTGCCTGCGGTGAGGGACTCTTCGCCCCGGGGTGGTGGCAGTGGGACAAACGCCACACACATTGTTTCCCTGTAGTAAGACTCTCCGTGGATACCGAACACGGTGCTCGCGCTGTGAGTAGAATTAACAATTGGAAAGATGATGGGCTTCCTACGCCGGACGTTCAGCCACCGCTCGCGCAGACGGTTTCAGACAGCGGACGAACCGGACGGGAAAGGAAGAGGGGGAACTGCGAACCCCACGCTCCTCGCACACCAACAGCAGGTCGTCCACGCGCCCGCCGTGGTGACCGGGGGAGCGGCTGTGCACATCCCGGCGGCTGGGACCGCCAGGGATGCAATCACCTGCCGCGTGCTGCTGCTGGACGGGTCGGACGTTAACGTGGATATACCAGTGAGTGTGGGTGTGTGTGGTGTCTCCATATTATTTTCGGACAATTCTCTCTCAGCAGAATATGAACGTGGGTGTTCTTCTATGGTTGTATGGCTTAGGTCATTCAGCACCATGGAGTTTTCACACCTGTCATTGTGTGTCCTGTGCGGTGAGAGGTAGGGCTACAGATGGTGTTGTGGTCAGCCAATTCATCACATTACTTCCCCATTCTGACTGTTGGGAGGAAGCTGCTTACCTCAGAGAAACCTCCACCTCCCTCCCCTCCCTCCCCTCCCTCCCTCCCTCCCTCCATCCCCTCCCTCCCTCCCTCCATCCCCTCCCTCCCTCCCTCCATCCCCTCCCTCCATCTCCCTCTCTCTCTCTGCCCATCTCTCTCTCTCTGCCTCATTCCCTCCATCCTCAGTTCTCTATCTCTGTTTCTCTCTCTCTCCCTCTCTCTCTCTGCCCATCTCCCTCCCTCTCTCTCTCTGCCCATCTCTCTCTCTCTGCCTCATTCCCTCCATCCTCAGTTCTCTGTTTCTCTCTCTCTCTCTCTCTCTCTCCTCTCCTCCTCTCTCTCTCTCTCTCTCTCTCTCTCCTCCTCTCTCTCTCTCTGTCTCTGTCTCTGTGAGTGAATGATTTGATTTATCTCGTGGCGCTGTGACAAGAGAGAGTGTGTGGGTCCAGGGGAGATGGAGATGATTAGTATGTAGGCATGTGTGCGTCATGTTGTCTTGAGTGTTTTTTTATCTTAAAGGATGTTGTCTTGGGAGAGTTTTTATCTTAAAGGTCGAGTTTGTGCGTGTCTCATCGTCAATGAAGCCCTCTCCTGTCACCTTTTTAACACTTACAGGAAGTCAGACTGCTGAGGGAATCAATGGTCATGAATACAGAGATCCTATGATCTAATGTTCCTGTAGAGACGCTAGTAGTTTATCATGATGATAATACGTTTGATTTGTATTGGGCAAAAGATTCTCTGGCAAATACACAAAACATCAGAACATGAGCGCAATTCACTGCGTGTGAGAGGATGTAAATTGCTGCGCTCAATGTCTTGAAGTTAAATTAGTGTATGTAAGGACTATTTCCTTTGTTTCCTCTTATTAATTCGAACTAGCTGGAGCAAATGCTAACGGCTCACAGGACATCAGCTGACTGAAACCAGAGTCTATATAGAGCTCTGACAGGAACAAGCCTGAACATGACTGCTGAATCCTCCCTCAGGGATTCATCTACAGGTGTATTGAGTTGAAATGAATTCAATTTGTCTTCATCCAAAATCCACCCGCTAGGGCCTGCCCTCTAGGCATGGCTGTGAGAAGATGTTTAAGGGTGGGGGTGCTGACTTTTATTTGTGTGTGGGGGGGGCAGTGCTGCTGATAATTTTTAATTAGTAAAGGCCCAGGGCACTACTTTTTGTGGAAAATATGAGGTATTTTAAAACATGTTTTTCTTCTTATTGATCAGGGGGTGCTGCAGCACCCTCAGGACCCCTACTTAGCATGGCTATGCCCCTAGGCGCTTTCAGCTAGCCACTACCCTAAACACTCATCTAGATATGAGTGGATTTCATGGGTATTAGCGCTATGGTGATAACTTCACCTTTTCTACCTTCTTATAGGCTTGGTGGACTTTGTCCCAATTTACTTGCACCTGCTGTCTAATCCAGATCTACACAAGAGCTTTGGAGATAATATCTAGGGGAAATGTCTGTCTGTCTGTCTAGGGAAAGTGCCTTGGGTATGGGGTTGATTTGGGAGTGTGTGTGTCTGTGCTGTGATTTGACAGGAGCTGAGGAGAGGAACAGGAAGACAATAGTTTTTTTTTTGTGACCTCCCACTCTGTAACCACACAGAGATAGGCATGTTCAGACTTGTTATCAGGGAACAAAGTACAAGGTTATCCTCTCTCTTTTAAAAACACACACTGTGAGGGGTGCAGCTTTTTGGTGGTTTAGGGCATTGCGTCTTGGTGGGTGTTCAGCTCAAGGGCGGGTGTTTCAAAGACAAAGGCCTGAATTATGGATACTCCCCCAGGTTTTATCCCTCTGATTCTGCCCCAGATGCAGTCCCTAGTAATGACACACACACACTGTCATTCTGCTCCATATCCAGCATCAAGGTCTAGGCTATTTATTCTCCAGCCTCCCTATTGTGACTATAGTACACGTGTGTGTTTAACAGAAAAGGTCAAAGGGCCAGGAGCTGTTTGACCAGATCAGGTATCATCTGGACCTGGTGGAGGCTGACTACTTTGGACTGCAGTTCATGGACCCAGAACAAGTCTCGGTGAGTATACATAAAGCCTCTGAACACAAACACACACACCACAACCTGCCATTGCTGAGGGGTTTCCCTATGATGTAATGACACTAGTTAAATGAATCACAGTGTGGTGTTAAAATGATTGATCTGACTCTCCAGCTATCTGTCATATTCTCTCTCTCTCCATCATATTCTCTCTCTCTCTCCATATCTCTGTCTGGCTCTGTCTGTCTTTCTCTACATTTTTATATGTGTGTGTGTGTGTATGCATGTATGTATATATGTGTGTGTGTGTGTGTATACGTGTGTGTATGTATGTATGTGTATATATATATATATATATATATATATATACATAAACATTTTTGCTAAAAGTAATACTATATTATTGATCAATTGACTATGACTTTTCAAATCACCCAGCAGTGCTAACTGCAGAGTTAGCTCCAGGTAAATGTTGCAATTCTTCAGCCATTCCCGGACCTGTGACCAAAAACATGCTACATATGGACAGTACCAAAACAAATGATCTAATGGTTCTGTCTCTTCGCAGCAAAATCTGCAGAGCTGGGATGGTTGTATCCCCCAGATGTATAACATTCTATTGATTCTCTACTTCTTTGTGTCTCTCAGCACTGGCTGGATGTGTCCAAGCCCATAAAGAAACAGATCAGAGGTGAGTCCATTAACTCCCACTATCTAATATTCGTAGTGTGTGTGGTGTATAGTACATAAGGTATAGTTAATAACAAGTGAAAGCCAGCTACTTTTGCCAGACTGTTGGCAGTGTCCTCTACTTAATATGTGTACTGTATACACTGGGTTTGTGTGCAGTGTTTGTATGGTGTGTGTGTGTGTGTAGCTAAGTGGGGGGGCAGGTGGCTCATTACCAGCTGTTGACATGGTGATTAGGGAGTGTTGCAGGGTGATGCCCATGTTTACCTTGTCTGGAAACGCCCCTCTGAGAGAGAGAAGGTGCACACGTTTTGCAACCAGGGCTGCCTGGTTCTTACCCGAGTTTGCAGAATTTTTTTTTTTAATTAAGTGCCTGGTGTCCCCAGAGTTAAATTATATATATATATATGTTAGGGGAAAGAAGATAGACATGCCAATCTATTATTCTACCACATATTGTAAATATATATTATATTTACAATATGTGGTAGAATAATAGATTGGAATGTCTATCTTCTTTCCCCTAATTTAAACCCCCTCCCTCCCTCTCTCTCTGTCTGTTTCAGATGGTCCTCCATACAGACTGTTCTTCAGGGTGAAGTTTTACTCCTCAGAGCCCAATAACCTGCATGAGGAGTTCACCAGGTAACACCACACCTGGCTGCCTACACACACACGCTCTCTCACGCTCATATACACACTCTCTAGCACACATGAATACACACACACAATCACACACACACACTTTCTCGTTCACACAAACTCCCCCCCTCCTGGGTGTAGTGTAGAGGTGTAAAGGGGCAGCGTAGCTAATTACTTTGGTCTAGTGGGGAAGAGACTAATCAAGGCAAAATGGACTGAGACCTCTTCAGAGAGAGACAGTCTGTGTGCCTGTCTGTCAGTGTGAAAGAGGGAAAGATTGAGTGGTTTTATTCTCTCACTCCTTTTGTCTGTGTTCCAGGTACCTGTTTGTGCTGCAGCTTCGACAAGACATTCTGTCCGGCAAGTAAGCAGCTCCTAACACCCCCGACACACACACACACACACACACACACACACTAAACCTCACACACATTCTACACACTCTGTCTCTCTCTCACTGTGTTTCTCTCTCACTCTCTCTGTCTCTCTCCATCTGGGTCATGTCTCCTGTGTGTAGCTCTATAATAAAGTACAGGATCAGAACATCAGAGGGCTGCTAATTTGAAGAAAAGGACCTCTCCTCCCCAACACACACACACATATATATATATATATATATATACACACACAAAAATACTCTTGGAAGTAAGGCTACATGTGGTGTGTGTGGTGTGATCTCTGCTCTTTAACCTTCCTCTCTCCCTGCAGGTTGAAATGTCCATATGATGTATCAGTAGAACTGGGGGCCTACTGCTTACAGAGTAGGTGATGATTTACACACTACGGTATCTCTTCAATCAGTGTTTAGGTTTCTTTTACACCTGATTTATAACGTGTGTTTAGGTGAGCTGGGGGACTGTGATCCTCTAGAGCATTCTCCTGAGCTGGTGTCAGAGTTCCGCTTCACACCCAAACAGAGTGAGACCATGGAGGCAGACATTTTTAACAAGTGGGTGGACCTAAGGTGAGTTAAAACGCCATCGAACAGGACATCTTCACTCTGTTCCTCTCTCCCTCTGTTCCTCTCTCCCTCTGTTCCTCTCTCCCTCTGTTCCTCTGTTCCTCTCTCCCTCTGTTCCTCTGTTCCTCTCTCCCTCTGTTCCTCTCTCCCTCTGTTCCTCTCTCCCTCTGTTCCCCTCTCCCTCTGTTCCTCTCTCCCTCTGTTCCTCTCTCCCTCTGTTCCTCTCTCCCTCTGTTCCTCTCTCCCTCTGTTCCTCTCTCCCTCTGTTCCTCTCTCCCTCTGTTCCTCTCTCCCTCTGTTCCTCTCTCCCTCTGTTCCTCTCTCTCTCTGTTCCTCTCTCTCTCTGTTCCTCTCTCTCTCTGTTCCTCTCTCTCTCTGTTCCTCTCTCCCTCTGTTCCTCTCTCCCTCTGTTCCTCTCTCCCTCTGTTCCTCTCTGTCTGTGTGATGGATTAAGGGATTAGTCCCTGGAGCATCTTGATTGAATCCAGGCAGTATTTAACCCCGCTAGTGTATGATCGCTCCAATCTCAGATTAGATTACACACACACAGATTACACACACATACGCTGGGGCTCACTGAGCTGACATGACACCAGTGAAAGCGAGAAACCGAAGAGAAACCCTACTGAGTTTCGCGCTCTCTCTATTTGCCAGATAAACCCCTAGGCCCTAATCTGTTGTGTACATCTGAACTGGATCACTGCAAGAAATATGGAGGACATTCCACCTAGAGGGCATGATATGTGTGTGTTAGAGAGAGGCCGAGCACTTGTTTGTGTGTTTCCCCAGGGGTAAGGATCCATCACAGGCAGAGACCAGCTTCCTCAACAAGTGTAAATGGCTGGAGCTGTACGGAGTGGACATGCACTTTGTCAAGGTTGGTGCGTGTGTGTTGTTTTTGAAGGGAGTTGTGCTGGTGGTCGTAGAGTAGCATTATGAGCGTGTAACTGTGTGTGTTGTCCTCAGGGAAGGGACGGAGGAGAGTACGCTCTGGGTCTCACTCCCACTGGCATCCTGGTGTTTGAGGGCTCCGCCAAGATAGGCCTGTTTTTCTGGTAAACACACAGTCTTTGACATAAACACTCCAAAACACACTGATATATTCTTGAAAACAGCTGCATAGTCTCTGACAATGTCAACTGTGTGTGTTTTCCAGGCCCAAGATCACCCGCCTGGACTTCAAGAAGAGTCGACTCACTCTAGTGGTGACGGAGGATGATGATCAGGTGAGCAATATACACACACACACACACACACGGTGACAAATACCCCTGGCCATGACCCCACTCTCTGAGGGTGTTTTATATATGCAAAAAACATATTTCCATTTCACACCATCAATCATTTACAGGCTACACACTTGTGCATGAACACCCCCTATTTGACCTTTTGACTTGACGACAAAGATGATTTCATACATGGTTTTTGTCGGAGTGGTGGTTGATTGTGATTGGCTGTTGTGTGTTTAGGGGCGGGAGCAGGAGCACACCTTTGTGTTCCAGTTGGACAGTTCGAAGACGTGTAAACACCTGTGGAAATGTGCCGTGGAGAGCCACGCCTTCTTCCGGCTACGTCAGCCCACTGCTGGGAATGCCTCCCGCAGTGACTTCACACGCCTCGGATCACGCTTCAGGTTCAGGTGGGTGGGGCTTGCACCAACAGTCAACTCTACAACAGAGTCTGCGTCCAAAGTGGCACCCTATTCCCTATATAGTACACCACTTTTGACCAGAGCTCTATGGTGCACTATATGGTGAATAGAGTGCCATTTTGGATGCACTCAGAACTAGGTAGTGCACTAAATTAGGACTAATGCACCATCCGAGATGCAAGTTCTGTCTCTATGGTTACTTGATGGAAGCTATGGTTACAGGGATCTTTCCCTATGGTTACGGGGAGCTGTCGCCACGCCGTTTGTTTACAAACTGAAATGACCTTAAGATGCACACACTATTACACGCATATATCCCCATCATACAGGGACGCAGTATATTGAGTCATGTAAATGTTCTGTACATCCTAACATGCCAAATACAGACGCCAGCTACAGTTGGTCTTCGTTAAAGAGAAACTTCGAGATTTTGGCTATGAAGCCCTTATCTACTACCCCAGAGTCAGATGAACTCATGGATACCATTTTTATGTATCTGCGTCCAGTATGAAGGAAGTTAGCGGTATTTTCGCGAGCCAATGCTAACTGGCGTTAGCGCAATGATTGTAAGTCTATGATGTAGCTCAGTTGGTGTAGCTCAGTTGGTAGAGCATGGCGTTTGCAACGCCAGGGATGTGGGTTTCGATTCCCACGGGGGGCAAGTATGAAAAATAAAATAATGTATGCACTCACTAACTGTAAGTCGCTCTGGATAAGAGCGTCTGCTAAATGACTAAAATGTAAATGTAAATGTATGATATCTACTAGCATGCTAGCAGTTACCATAGACTTCCAGTCATTGCGCTAATGCTAGTTAGCAATTACGCTAATGCTAATTAGCAGCTTCCTTTAAACTGCATGCCGAGACATAAAACTGGTATCAATGAGTTCATCTGACTCACTGTCCAAATCCTTTAAAGTGTTCTCTCTCTCCTTCTCAGTGGAAAGACTGAGTACCAGGCGACTCACGGAGGGAGGCTGAGGAGGGCCAGTACGTTTGAGAGACGACCCAGCAAGAGATACCCCTCCCGCACTCACTCACTGGGGAGCAAGGGTTGGTATATTCCCCCCAGTACACCCTATAGGCTATACCCTACAGCTCCCAGTTACTCCATACAGTAAAACATCCATACAGGCAGTTTCCCATGTGAATTCTCCTGTGCTTGATTCACTGACCTGATTTAACCTGGCTCTCTCTCTCTCTCCAGCCAAACCACTACACCTCAGGTGGGTCCCTGAGAGCACAGGACAACCAAGCATGTACAGTACCTTCAGAAAGTATTCACCCCTTGACCTTTTCCACATTTTGTTGTTACAAAGTGGGATTTAAATGGATTTAATTGTCTTTTTTTGTGAACGATCTACAAAATACTCTGTCAAAATGTGAACGCTTAAAAAGAAATGTATGTGTGTATATACACTAATATATCTTGATTAGATAAGTATTCAACCCCCTGAGTCAATACATGATAGAATCACCTTTGGCAGCGATTACAGCTGAGTCTTTCTGGTTAAGTCTCTAAGAGCTTTCCACACCTGGATTGTGCAACATTTGCCCATTATTCTTTTCAACATTCTTCAAGCTCTGTCAAATTGGTTGTTGATCATTGCTAGACAACCATTTTCAGGTCTTGATATAGATTTTCAAGCAGATTTAAGTCAAAGCTGTAACTCGGCCACTCAGGAACATTCACTGTCTTCTTGGTAAGCAACTCCAGTGTAGATTTGGCCATTTAGGTTATTGTCCTGCTGAAAGGTGCATTTGTCTCCCAGTGTCTGTTGGAAAGCAGACTGAGCCAGGTTTTCCTCTAGGATTTTTGCCTGTGTTTAGCTCCATTACGTTAATTTTTTTTATCCTGAAAAACTCCCCAGTCCTTAGTGATTACAAGCATACCCATAACATGATGCAGCCCCCATTATCCTTGAAAATATGGAGAGTGGTATTTGGTTATGTGTTGAATATTTGATTTGCCCCAAACATAACACTTTGTATTCAGGACAAAAAGTGAATTGCTTTGCCACATTCTTTGCAATATTACTTTAGTGCCTTGTTGCAAACAGGTTGCATGTTTTGGAATATTTTTTATTCTGTACAGGCTTCCTTCTTTTCACGCTGTCAATTATGTTTGTATTGTGGAGTAACTACAATGTTGTTGATCCATCCTCAGTTTTCTCCTATCACAGCCATTAAACTCTGTAACTGTTTTAAAGTCACAATTAGTCTCATGGTAAAATCCCTTAGCGGTTTCCTTCCTCTGCGGCAACTGAGTTGGGAAGAACAGCTGTATCGTTGTAGTGACTGGGCGTATTGATACACCATCCAAAGTGTAATGAATAACTTTACTATGCTCAAAGGGATATTCAATGTCTGCTTTCCAATAGGTGCCCTTTGCGAGGCATTGGAAAACCTCCCTGGTCTTTGGTTGAATCTGTTAGAAATGTACTGCTCGACTGAGGGAACTTACAGATAATTGTATGTGTGAGGTACAGAGATGAGGTAGTCATTCAAAAATCACGTTAAACACTTATTGCACACTGAGCTAGTCCATGAAAATTAGGTGACTTGTTAAACACATTTTTACTCCTGAACGTTAGGCTTGCCATAACAAAGGGGTGGAATACTTATTGACTCAAGACATTTCAGCTTTTCATTTGTAAAAATTAATTACACTATTTAATCCATTTTCAAATTCAGGCTGTAGCACAGCAAAATGTGGAAGAAGTAAAGGGGTGTGAATACTTTCTGAAGGCACTGTATGTTGTGTTAATGAGCAGTATGTGAATGAGCATGATGCACATTGTTGTAAAATGTATGATCTGTATGTAAATGTGGTCTTATTAAGCAGTTATGTTGTTCTGTTTCAGCACCCACACCAGCCCCGAACCTAGTCTACACCCAGTAAGACACACACACACACACACACAATGGTTCCTCATGGATATGAAGGTTAAAAAAAGAAAATGTCAATGGATACCTTTGACTGATTTACCATGGCAATGCATCTGCAATATTCAACTGAATATTATTTTCTCACTGTTTTTGCCTCCATCTCTCTCTCTTCAGTACCAGTGTAACATCCCTATAGCCCATGAGCCTTGGCACCCAGCCCTCACACCCCCCATCTACATACAACGCTCAGGACACACATCCCCGCACAGGTGAGACAGACACAGACAGACACACAGGGAAGGCCAGTTGGCGTCTTAATGGCATATAGTGAAAATCCCCCTAGCCCCCAGAGTTCTCTCTCATTTCAGAGGTGCAGTCTTTCTCTCTGCCTGGTGGGCTCTACTCCCTTTATCTTTTTAAAATGTCTTTCATTTCACATCACTGTTACATCATTCATGTGTTGCGTCATTCAGACCGGCTGTGTGTGTGTGTGTGTATGCTCACCGTGTGTGTGTCATGTTCCATGTCCAGAGCGCCTGCCGCAGTAGCAGTGAGTCCAGAGCCCAGTCATCAGTCAGTACCAGAGAGGACCAGCGGGTCTTTCCCAGGATCCATCAGTGTGGTGTACAGAGACAAGGTCATGACTGCACTCTGACCCCTACACCCTAACCTCTACAGCTCTGCCCCAGGACCCTGTCCCAAACCCACCACTAAATCTAAACTCTAACACATACACACATGCATAGGAGAGAACTGGAATACAGAAGACTGAGGGAGACAGATGAACACTCTGGTTGTGGACTCCTGGACCAAAATACATGGCCCTCATCATCACCACCATCATCATTACACACCAGCCTTGTCTACCATGTGTCTTCTCCATCAGATCCCCACCACCATGCTGGGGAGGGAGAAAGAGCCTGTAATAACAGAAAGAGAGTGAGAGACTTTAAACACAGAGACCATAGAGAGATCTCTCTCCTAGTGGATTGGACCATGATGTTTAATGGTTCATGTTCAGTGCCTTGTTAGTTCATGTGATTGTTGAAACTTCAGTGTCTGAATGCTACAAAGTCCTCAAATTTAACTGGGTAAGATTGAAATTATTTTTATGCTATACAAAACAATCATACCGTTACTTTATTTTCCTGCCCAGTTAGCGGGTAGATTTGCTTTTAGACAAATCCTTTCAGAGCAAGCCAAATAAGTTCATGTTATTGCAAAGTTATCCTAGATCAGGATTCATTGTTTGAATGTAAGATGCAAAGCATTTGAGTGTGTGTGCAGTGTGTGAAGTAGTCTGTCATCATATGCTGCTGGAACTAGGGATTACATGGTTCTACATTACATCTGTAGGTGAATATAGCTACTTTGGAAATCTCAGATGAATGATTAAGGAGAATGTGCTTGTTAAATTGTTATCAGCGATTATATACATTACAATAGGATGTCATGTTATGGTAACCTTGCATTGATCTATTGCTGCATATCTACCTTTGTTCTTCGGAGACATGAATGTTATGCGTGTGAGAGGTTCTGACTCAGCTTAATCAATAGAATGGCACTGATACCCTTGTTGTTTACCTCTGTTAATGCTGATTGTGTTTACATCCTGGTCATGCTCAACATTCCTTCCTGTTGCCTTAAAATGACTTCTGTCACAACCAGCCTTGGTTGCTATAGCTGCAGCCTTGTTGAATAAACACACTGCTTAAACTCTTTCACTGAAGTTTAATAATGTACACACACACACAATGAATGACTGTGTTAAAATGATGTGCCATACACACACAATAGACAGACTACTAAAGCACAGGCGGCTGGTTGTACCTTTAATTGGGGAGGACGGGCTCATAGTAATGGCTGGAATGGAATGGTATCAAAGGTGGTTTCCATGTGTTTGATGCCATTCCATTCACTCCATTCCAGGCATTATGAGATGTCCTCCCCGCAGCAGCCTGTGTACCAAAGAGAGGTTTAAAAACTATTGTCACTGTGTGGTAATGGAGATGAACCAGGGTGCTGTCTGAGGTGCTGGTTCTGGCTTTCTGGACTGTTTGAGTGTGTGTGATGTGCTGTCCCCAGTTTCCCTCTGAGTGGTCCTGTCCTGGGAGGGGAGCAGCAGTTCAGTGTTGAGGAGAATGAGACGCCGTACTCTGGAAGCATGCACCATCGCCACCGCAGTCACACACACTACGACAACAGCCAGGAGACTTATTGTCACACACACAGCAAGAACAGTGAGTATACACACACACACACAGGTATACACACCACGGCAGCCAGGTTATATGTTAACACTGTGTGTGTGTGTAGAACACAGAGCCCCTCCCTGTCCTGTAGATGAGTTGGAGCTCTGTCTGCTCAACCCCCTGGAGACAGACAGCAACACCTCTCCCTGGCCTTCACTTCATGTCAACATGGACAACAAGGTACAGTAACACACCAGGTGACACATTTTAGCAGTTATTTTAGTACACATTTGGACTCCATTTCTCTCTCTCTCTCGCTCATCTCTCAGGCGGAGGAGAAGCAGTTGTCTGAGAAGTCTCTCCACCCCTCCTCTCCCCGCAGCCCTCCAGACCATCTCAAGTGTAACATCCTCAAAGCTCAGATGGAGGCTCTCTATAGAGTGAGTACTGACCCCTAGTGAGTGATGGAGGCTCTCTATAGAGTGAGTACTGACCCCTAGTGAGTGATGGAGGAGCTCTATAGAGTGAGTACTGACCCCTAGTGAGTGATGGAGGCTCTCTATAGAGTGAGTACTGACCCCTAGTGAGTGATGGAGGAGCTCTATAGAGTGAGTACTGACCCCTAGTGAGTGATGGAGGCTCTCTATAGAGTGAGTACTGATCCCTAGTGAGTGATGGAGGCTCTCTATAGAGTGAGTACTGACCCCTAGTGAGTGATGGAGGGTCTCTATAGAGTGAGTACTGACCCCTAGTAAGTGATGGAGGCTCTCAATAGAGTGAGTACTGACCCCTAGTGAGTGATGGAGGCTCTCTATAGAGTGAGTACTGACCCTAGTGATGGAGGCTGTCTATAGAGTGAGTACTTACCCCTAGTGAGTGTGTGTTTGCAGTAGCCGTGTAAAAGCTAACATCCTCTTGTCCTCTCCTCTGTCATCCTCCTGTCCTCTCCTCTGTCATCCTCCTCTCCTCTTCTTCCTCTCCTGATGAAGGATGCTCCACTGACGCCCAGAGGGAAGACATCTAGTCAGGAGATCAACGACAGGCCAGTATTACCAGTGATACAGTACTCCTCCCAGTGTGTGTGTTTGATGGTAGATAATGGTATGTGTGTGTGTCTCAGGTATCAGAGCTCCAGTCAGGACTCTAGAGACTCTGCCACGTCCAGTCTGACCACAGAGAAAATGTCCCTCCGCCCAGACCACAACTCAACCACAGACAGACCCGCCAAGTCTAACCCCAACCGCAGGAAAAGACTGGTCAGGCAGTTCAGCTTGTAAGTATGGCAGGGTATTCACAACCTGCTCTGGGATTCCATACGATGCTCACATCTGTGTCCTGTACTCCAAGTACTGTCATAGGCTAGCCACTATACACAAAAACCTATGATGTTAGTTATTCAGTACTCATGTGATACATTTACAATGTTGTGGCTGAACACTGTCCTGTAATTGGTCCTCAGTAACCATGAGGACGAGGATAATCTCCCAGAGGCCCTTGCAGCGATCTCGTCCCGGAGCACTGGCAAGTCTGGATCTAACAACTCACTGGACAACCAGACACAACCCTCCATATACCCCCAGGAAACACACACACAGGTTACCATCCCCCAGAGCACTCAGCATCACACGCACACACTTTTCTATGGCAGTGCATTTGTCCATTTGGATCAGAGCCATGACATTTCTAAGTAAATACCAGGATAATAGTGGATTGTGAACTAAACTGTTTTGTGTGTGTGTGTTGCAGATGGACATGCCGATACTGGAGCTGGGGAGTCCATGCTGTGAGCGTTCCCCCCTCTCCCCACCTCTCCCCTTCCTACTACCACACCTCTATCCCTCACCTGGTACCCTACCTCGCCTCACACACCGACAGGTAACACACACTCAGGTTACAGACACACTAACATCTAACACACACACACACAAATCCCAGTCATGTAACATTCCTGTGTGTGTCTGTGTTTAGCGGGGAGGAGATGAGGTTGGGCAGAGAGAAGATTCTCAGGGCTCTCCTGATGACGGAGCTCTGAGTCCCCTGACCCCTGTGACATCATGGATGTCTCATGGACCCGGTCTGAGATGACCTTCAGGAGTCCCACCTCCACTGGCCGCACTCAGCATTTAGACATTTACATAATGCAGTCAACCTTTCTATATTTGCATAAAAACGACTTTGCTTAAGTGTTATTTTACAAGGAACATGTTTTATGTATACCCACACTACAGACCCTGAAATAACATTAACACATGCTCAGAGAGAATCAAATAACCAGGCAGACAGACAGACAGACAGGCGGGCAGAGGGACGGGTGATGATGAAAGATAGTACGGTTACTGCTGGGAATCCTACACACTCGAAGCCCTAACTGTTTAAATGATGACACAATAAATAATTTGTCATGACTTATTGTATTGTCAAGTTGACCCGCTCTAATCAAACTGCTACATGCTGGTAACTGTTCCCAGGCGAAAATCTGCAGAGCTGCAGTCCCATTCCTGTCCTGTAGATAGAGACACACCCACACAGACTGCAGCTTGGATCAGTTGTAGTTTCCGTAACCACTACCTAGATCAGGCATTTTTTACATCCTCCTAATAGTTAATGTTAGAATTTTTGCGATTAAACTGATCCTAGGCCTGTGGTTACGCAGAACTAACTGGAGAGTTTGGGTCAGAGCTCAGGTTACAGCTCTGCCATGTTTCTGTGCAGTTCCTTATTGCTGTTCTTGTCTATGTTCTATACCCCTGTGTTTAACCCTAATAAAGACAACATGGTTACTTTTACTCCTGCTCTGTCTGGTCTCTGCTCAGAAGTGTGTGTGTGTGTGTGTGTGTGTGTGTTGGGGGGGGGGGTTTCCTGTCAGTGTGTGAGTGTGTCAGGTAAATCAAGAGTAACCGGTGCATAAACAGGATCAGGTAGGGTGTTGTGGAGTGAGTGAAGGAGAATGTGGGTGGGGTTGTAGTGTTACACAATGCTAGTTCTGCACTAACGAGGTCCTGCTGCTCCTTGTTTACTCTCTTCCTCTACCCTCACCCCCCCTCTCTCTCTCCCTCCATTCTTTACTGCTAGAAAATACCATCCTGTGGTATAATGTCTCTAATGTTTCAGGATGACAATAGTACTGTGTGAGAAGGTGTGTTAGGCTCTGAGAGTCAGTGCACTGTGACCGGGAGTTCTCAGTGTTCCTCCTCCAGCCACATTCTGTCAACAGCGGCCCCACCTTAGCAGTATGAGAGGTGTGGGAGTGCGTGAACGCACCAAATCACAAACCCACTTATCATAGGTTCTTCACTCCAATTTGATCACTTGATCGTTGTAATGAATAATGAATTCACAGACAGTGCGTGTGATTTGTAATTAATGAGTTTCCCAGACAGGCTTGTTTCACATGTTCTATTTATTAGAGTGTCAGTGTGGTCACAGGAGAGTTCCCTGGACAGCCAGGGACCCACAGTCACAGCAGACATCAACATATTACATCTTCATCATCATTGGCCATTTATAGCTCTGTCTAATCTGGCCTACATGGGAGTAAAACACATTGGGTGAGTTTCAATAGTCTAAAGTGGGCTCATCTCCTTGACTCCTCTCCTTAGTCTGCATTGATCTGAAAACTCATGATAGATGAGAACAATATGTCCTTTTACGTCAGTGTAGTAGACTGTTGAGATGCAGCCATGCAGGCACAGTGATAAATCTCCATCACAGTGACATTACAGTAAGGCATCTGTGATAGCACAGTGGTAAATCTCCATCACAGTGCGAGACTGAGCAGGGCTGAGTGTGTGGATTAGGGATAGGAGTTGGGACCGAGCTGGGTTAGGCAATAGACAGTGTTGGAAAAAGTACTAAATTGTCATACTTGAGTAACAGTGAAGATACCTTAATGGAAAATGACTTAAGTAAAAGTATCTGGTTTTAAATGTACTTAAGTACAGTGGTGGAAAAAGTACTCAATTGTCATAAAAAAGTAAATGCTATACATCAAATTCCTTATATTCCAAACCAGACGACATGATTGAATTGTTTTTTTAATTTATGGACAGACGGGCACACTTCAACGCTCAGACATAATTTATAAACGCAATATTTGTGTTTAGTGAGTCCGACAGATCAGAGGCAGTAGGGATTACAATGCATTATATTGATAGGTGCGTGAATTGGACCATATTGCTGTCCTGCCTGAGCATTCGAAATGTAACGAGTACTTTTGGGTGTCGGAAAAAGTATGGAGTAAAAAGTACATTATTTTATTTAGGAATGTAGTGGAGTAAAAGTTGTCAAAAATATAAATAGTAAAGTACAGATACTCCCCAAAACTACTTAAGTAGTACTTTAAAGTTGTTTTAGTTTTAGTACTTTACACCACTGGCAACAGGAATAGTGATCTCCTGGCTCTGGGCTCAGCTTGGCGTCACACACAAAAGGCAAGGGTGGAGTGGCACTATGCAACCATAAACAGGTCAGATGGGAGGGGTGTGGGAGTGATTCGGCATTTGATTAACTAACTACATGTAACTTTTATGTCAGACACTATGCTGTTGATATACAGTATAATCTGTATAGTAATTGGATTGGTTAGCAGTGCTTTGGTATTTGCCATAACATGTAAACATCTGAGTGTAGCTAGCACTACTAACTTCTTCATGCAGGAAGCTTCCTAATACAATATTCTAGTATTGGATTGTAAAATTATAGAAAGTATAAAGAAATAAAATGTCATATAACGTTTTTAAACAGACAGTATAAAATAAAATATATACATATACAGTGGGGGGGAAAGTATTTAGTCAGCCACCAATTGTGCAAGTTCTCCCACTTAAAAAGATGAGAGAGGCCTGTAATTTTCATCATAGGTACACGTCAAATATGACAGACAAATTGAGGAAAAAAATTCCAGAAAATCACATTGTAGGATTTTTTATGAATTTATTTGCAAATTATGGTGGAAAATAAGTATTTGGTCACTTACAAACAAGCAAGATTTCTGGCTCTCACATACCTGTAACTTCTTCTTTAAGAGGCTCCTCTGTCCTCCACTCGTTACCTGTATTAATGGCACCTGTTTGAACTTGTTATCAGTATAAAAGACACCTGTCCACAACCCCAAACAGTCACACTCCAAACTCCACTATGGCCAAGACCAAAGAGCTGTCAAAGGACACCAGAAACAAAATTGTAGACCTGCACCAGGCTGGGAAGACTGAATCTGCAATAGGTAAGCAGCTTGGTTTGAAGAAATCAACTGTGGGAGCAATTATTAGGAAATGGAAGACATACAAGACCACTGATAATCTCCCTCGATCTGGGGCTCCACGCAAGATCTCACCCCGTGGGGTCAAAATGATCACAAGAACGGTGAGCAAAAATCCCAGAACCACACGGGGGGACCTAGTGAATGACCTGCAGAGAGCTGGGACCAAAGTAACAAAGCCTACCATCAGTAACACACTACGCCGCCAGGGACTCAAATCCTGCAGTGCCAGACGTGTCCCCCTGCTTAAGCCAGTACATGTCCAGGCCCGTCTGAAGTTTGCTAGAGTGCATTTGGATGATCCAGAAGAGGATTGGGAGAATGTCATATGGTCAGATGAAACTAAAATATAACTTTTTGGTAAAAACTCAACTCGTCGTGTTTGGAGGACAAAGAATGCTGAGTTGCATCCAAAGAACACCATACCTACTGTGAAGCATGGGGGTGGAAACATCATGCTTTGGGGCTGTTTTTCTGCAAAGGGACCAGGACGACTGATCCGTGTAAAGGAAAGAATGAATGGGGCCATGTATCGTGAGATTTTGAGTGAAAACCTCCTTCCATCAGCAAGGGCATTGAAGATGAAACGTGGCTGGGTCTTTCAGCATGACAATGATCCCAAACACACCGCCCGGGCAACGAAGGAGTGGCTTCGTAAGAAGCATTTCAAGGTCCTGGAGTGGCCTAGCCAGTCTCCAGATCTCAACCCCATAGAAAATCTTTGGAGGGAGTTGAAAGTCTGTGTTGCCCAGCGACAGCCCCAAAACATCACTGCTCTAGAGGAGATCTGCATGGAGGAATGGGCCAAAATACCAGCAACAGTGTGTGAAAACCTTGTGAAGACTTACAGAAAACGTTTGACCTGTGTCATTGCCAACAAAGGGTATATAACAAAGTATTGAGAAACTTTTGTTATTGACCAAATACTTATTTTCCACCATAATTTGCAAATAAATTCATTACAAATCCTACAATGTGATTTTCTGGATTTTTTTTTCTCATTTTGTCTGTCATAGTTGACGTGTACCTATGATGAAAATTACAGGCCTCTCTCATCTTTTTAAGTGGGAGAACATGCACAATTGGTGGCTGACGAAATATGTTTTTTCCCCACTGTACGTAGAGTAGGACAGTATGAACATTCCTCTTTCTCTCTCTCTCTCGATCTCTCTCTCTCACACACACACACACACATACATCCACACGCACTTACACACATACACACATGTCATGAAGAAAGGTTCAGATCAATAATTACTACTAAACGCAGCTCTACTTCTAACAAACATCTCCTGAAGTGGTTCTAATACTTCTAACATCTCTACAAAGCTTTTTTAAAATAGTGTGTGCAATATAAGACAGAGTTGCATTTTGGCTGAGGCAAAGCTCTGATATAAAATACATTTCTGCTCTCACGCATATTCACTGTATATACAACTCAGACTAGGAACTGGAGGCCAGGACATTCCCCCACATATCCTTTGGTGTGTGTGTGTGTTTTCGTTGTGTGTGTTGTGTGTGTTGTGTGATAGTGTAGTGCAGGAGTGTCAAACTTTCAGCACAGTTTAATATAGCGAGCCATTTCTTATAAAATAAAATAAAAGTACATATAACCAATTTTCAGTGTGGCCCTCCAGACCTGGGTGAAAACCCAATGTGGCCCTCGGGGTAAAATGAGTTTGACACCCCTGGTATAGTGTGTGTGTAATGGGTAGTGTGCGACAGTGTGGGGATCTTTGAGCCTTCTACAGCATGTTTCGGTCCAGGTAGTACCCTCCCTGCTTGGTCAGGAGAGGGGGAAAGGGCATCAGAGCATCACCACTGCTGGACTGACCAATCATACCGCTCAGGACAGGCAATGCCTCCATAGGACTCTACAGAGAGAGGGAGAAAGGCAGGGAGAGAGGGGGAGGAAGATAGAGACAGGAAGTGATCGTACAAGGAAAGGAGTCTATGTGGTTTGAAGGTTGTCTTGTCCCAGCACCAGAGGATTCCATCACTTAGTCCACCACCTCCCCACCTAACACACTAGTACACCACTGATAACACTATCTAGCACACTACAATGCCCCAAGGAGGAAAGGGGGAACACACCTTGGAAGGGCTGAGTCAGACAGCAGCAGGTACAGTGCCAGTCAAACGTTTGGACACACCTACTCATTCAAGGGTTTTTCTTTATTTTGTACTATTTTCTACATTGTAGAATAATAGTGAAGAAATCAAAACTATGAAATAACACATATGGAATCATGTAGTAAACAAATATATTTTCTATTTGAGATTCTTCAAATAGCCACCCTTTGCCCTGATGACAGCATTGCACACTCTTGGCATTCTCTCAACCAGCTTCACCTGGAATGCTTTTCCAACAGTCTTGAAGGAGTTCCCACATATGCTGAGCACTTGTTGGCTGCTTTTCCTTCACTCTGCCGTCCGACTCATCCCAAACCATCTCAATTGGGTTGAGGTCGGGGGATTGTGGAGGTCAGGTCATCTATTGCAGCCCTTACACAGCCTGGAGGTGTGTTGGGTCATTGTCCTGTTGAAAAACAAAAGATAGTCCCACTAAGGCCAAACCAGATGGTGTATCGCTGCAGAATGCTGTGGTAGCCATGCTGGTTAAGTGTGCCTTGAATTCTAACTATATCACAGACAGTGTCACCAGCAAAGCACCCCCACACCATAACAACTCCTCCTCCATGATTTACGGTGGGAACTACACATGCGGAGATCATCCATTCACAAACACTGTGTCTCACAAAGACACGGTGGTTGGAACCAAAAATCTCCAATTTGGACTCCAGATCAAAGGACACATTTCCATCGGTCTAATGTCCATTGCTCGTGTTTCTTGGCCCAAGCAGGTCTCTTCTTCTTATTGGTGTCCTTTAGTAGTGTTTTCGTTGCAGCAATTCGACTATGAAGGCCTGATTCACACAGTCCCCTCTGAACAGTTAATGTTGAGACGTGTCTGTGACTTGAACTCTGTGAAGCATTTGTTTGGGCTGCAATTTCTGAGGCTCGTAAATCTAATGAACTTATCCTCTGCAGCAGAGGTAACTCTGGGTCTTCCATTCCTGTGGCGGTCCTCATAAGAGCCAATTTCATCATAGCGCTTGATGGTTTTTGCGACTGCACTTGAAGAAACTTTCAAAGTTCTTGAAATGTTCCGGATTGAATGACCTTCATGTCTTAAAGTAATGATGGACTGTTGTTTCTCTTTGCTTATTCGAGCTGTTCTTGCCATAATATGGACTTGGTCTTTTACCAAATAGGGCTCCTTCTGTATACCCCCCCCCTACCTTGTCACAACACAACTGATTGGCTCAAACGCATTAAGAAGGAAATAAATTCCACAAATTTACTTTTAAGAAGGCACACCTGTTAATTGAAATGCATTACAGGTGACTACCTCATGAAGCTGGTTGAGAGAATGCCAAGAGTGTGCAAAGCTGTCATCAAGGCAAAGGGTGTCTACTTTGAAGAATCTCAAATATAAAATATATTTGGATTTGTTTAACACTTTTTTGGTTACTACATGATTCCATATGTGTTATTTCATAGTTTTGATGTCTTCACTATTATTCTACAATGTAGAAAATAGTAAAAATAAAGAAAAACCCTTGAATGAGTAGGTGTGTCCAAACTTTTGACTGGTAGTGTAGAAATTGACCATATAGAACAGGTACGGTTCTAGTTTCCACCAGATAATGTTGTGTTGATCGGGACAAAGAAGTTCCTCCCAACCACTGGTCCAGGATCAGATGTTTTCTACCTCCTGATGGTTCACGTTAGGATTGGGTGTGTGGGGTAATCTGATCCTTGGGTGTGTTGGGTAATCTTATCCTAGATCTGAGGTTTGGATTGACTGTGTGGGGTAATCTGATCCTAGAGGTTAGGATTGGGTGTGTGGGGTAATCTGATCCTAGATCTGAGGTTAGGATTGGGTGTGTGAGGTAATCTGATCCTATATCTGCACTGTAAAAAAAGATGTCAAGAAGAAGGAAATCAGCTGGAATAGGATTGTGAGTTTGCTCAACAAAAATGTTGTTGAGCAAACTCACAATCCTATTGCAGCTGGTTGCCACAGATCTAGGATCAGATTACCCCACACACACAATCCTAATGTGATCCATCAGGGGGTAGAACACATCTGATCCTGGACCAGTGGTTGGGGTGACACTTCTACTCTGTGTCCCGATCAACACACATTCTCTGGTGGAATCTAGAACCATAATCTTTTTTTACAGTGTGTGGTTTGGGGCATTGAAATCCCCCCTAGCTAGACTCTACCCCGTGACCCCCTAGTAACCCGGAATCTCAGACCACACCCATAACCACGTCGTCCCGGAGATGAAAGAGAGGAGAAACACACACCATGACCCTGTCAGCCAATCCTTACCTTCCGCCTGCCTAGGACACACCCCTTAAATACACACCCACTCTTTGGGCTGCGTGAGCAGGGTCCGGGAGGGATCGTGATCATGCACGTTAGCATGAGCGTGCACAAGGCCATCCTCAGTAGCGTACTATAGTGTTGGGGGGGACAGAGACACAGGGGACTGAGACAGAGACAGACAGGCTGGGTTGGGTTGGGTTGGGCTGGGCTGGGCTGTGTGTTCAGAAGAGTCAGCCTTTGCAAGTTGCTTACTTGTGATTTATCTACAGTATATAGTATCACTTCAACTTTCAAACTAGTGTTCATTAGCACAGGCTGAACTCGTTGTCTATTTCCTAGTGTATCAGTGAGGAGCAGCCTCTTGTAAATCAAGTCCATGCAGGCAGTGGAGCTCCACCCTACATAATGCCTGTGGGTGTTTGGGAGGGAGGCAGAGGGAGAGGACAGAATAGGGAGGGTAGACCTGACTAACTCGTTTGATAGCCTCCAGGCAAACACAGTGGATGCCTGACAGTATAGTACACTCCTCCAATAGCAGATTTGAATACTTCCTTTGGATCGACCGTGAGACATGAGAGGGCACGGCAACACATACCATACCGGTCACATTGCACACACACACACACACACACACACACTTTCTCTAACACACATGAATGTACACACAGACTTGTATAACTAACCGTGTGGGGACACACAATTCAGTCCCATTCAAAATCCTATCTTTCCTAACCCCTAACCCTAAACCTAACCCTTACCCTTACCCTAAACCTTACCCTAACCTTAACCCTAACCTTAACACCAAAACCTAACCTTAACCCTATCCCTAACCTATGTTGCTCTGCATGTGCTCACTGCTTATTGTTTGTCTGTATTGTTATTGTAATAGTTTTTAATAACCTGCCCAGGGACTGCGGTTGAAAATGAGCCGGCTGGCTAAAACTGGCACTTTTACTGAAACGTTGATTAATACACTGTCCCTGTAAAAATAAAAATTAACTTAACTCAACTCGACCCTAGCTCCTAACCCTAACCCTAAAACTAACCATTCTCTTCCCCATAAGTATAGTTAAACACGTCCAAGTGCACACTCACACACATACACACACACATACACACACACACTGTTTACCTGGTATCCCTGAATGGTGTTGAGCAGTTCTTTGTAGGCGAGCCCATGCATACGGACCACTCCCCCAGGGGAGGGCAGAGGGGAGGGAGAGGGGTAGTACCCTATAGTGTTGGGAGAACCTGGGGGACTGGAGAGAGGGAGGGGGAGAAGAGAGGAGAGAGAGAGGGTGAGATATAAAGAGTGAGTTGGAGAGGCCATAACAAAAAGAGTATTATACATCCTGAAATGCCATGAGGTGCGTGCTGTAAATATCCGTTACGGAAATATCACATAATTTCACATGTGGAAAATCACGTGATTTTATATGAAATTCCACATGTGAAATCATGTGAAATTGTGTTTTTGGAACACTTCACGTGTTTTCACGTGTAGTTTAATGTTATCACATGTTGCTTTACATGTTGTCACGTTATCACATTAACTTAATATAAGATCAAATGTGATCACATGAAAATATGTGTTTTTGGAACACACAACTCCATGTGGTTTTTCCATCAGGGATATCACATCCAAATGAACTTGAATGCTGAGAGAGAGGGGAGAGGAGGGGAGGGGGGAGAGAGAGAGGGGAGAGGAGGGGAGGGGGGAGAGAGGGGAGAGGAGGGAAGGGGGGAGAGAGAGGTCATTGTGGTCTTAGTGCTGTTTGCTGTTCCTTCTGATACCACACCACTGCTCAGTCATTAACTACCTTTGTGTATGTCCCCCCCCCCCAGCCCCCAAGGCACTTACAATATATGATTGGATGGTTTATGGGCCTAATAGTTCTTACCTGGGGCATTGATATCATTAACTACCCTTGTGTATGTCCTTCCCCACAACACATACTAGTCCTTACCTGGGATAGTATGCAGTGTAGTTCATGTAGAGCTGAGTGCTAGCTGGGTAGTAAGCGTGTCCAGGTCCTAGGGGGCGGGGACTCAGCAGCACCTGACCAATGGGAGGGAAGAGGCCGGCAGCCTCAGCAGGCAGGATGGAAGGGGCGGATGGGAAGGAGTAGGAGGGAGGAGACAGACCTGGGGAGTGGGGATAGAGTTAGACAACACGCCAAGGCAAGGACACGGAAAGAACATATGCCCAACACGGCACACAGAGAACAACAGATCCCCTGGTCCCCTCTAAAGATGGCCGCTGTAAGCAGACTACAGTGTGCTTCCGGGTCATCTACAGTGGCTATGTGACATGGTCCGGTGACTTTTTGTTTCTAGGAGACCCTCCTCAATGAACACCTGACACAACAGGTAGCTTTAGATTCTACAGACGTGTGTTTGGGCTTGGGGGTGACTCCTGACCCCACCTGCATAACGAAGACTAGACATCACCAACATTGTTTTACATTTTTGCAGACGCTCTTATCCAGAGCGACGTACAGTGTTGAGTGCACACATTTTCATACTGGTCCCCGGTGGGAATCAAACCCACAACCCTGGCATTGCAAGCACCATGCTCTACCAACTGAGCTACACGGGACTACACACCAGAACTCAATGACTAGACATCACCATGACTACACACCAGAGCTCAGCTCCGCCCACCTCTCCCACACCCCCACTGATTGGACACGCTCCAACTGTAAGACTCAAGCCCAATCCTAAATCAACCCTGAGTCCCTACCCTCAAGTCATTTTTGCAATATTGCTTACACACCTATCCAATACTTCCAGTACAAAGGGATCCATTTGGAATTGGGCAAGAGGCCTCACACATGCCAAGCACACACAAACCATTGGAACAGACTATTTTTAATCAGAGTGTGTGTGAAAAATATGTTTACAATGAACAGTCAGTGAACTACAGATTTCTCCCTGCATGCAAATTCACCAAAATCACACAGAATTACACAAACCACAACAAGGGGTAACACACACGCATTCCTACACAAGCACGCACACACACACACTCACACACACACCCCAGGTTCCTACCCCTCAGGTCAGGTCAGATGCTCCTGTCCTCCCAGAGTTCTAGATCAGAGAGAACCCAGACAGAAAAGAAGACAGGGGGCAGGATTTAACCTCTGACCTCTAACCCCTCACCCTTCCCTGGTCTGTGGCAGCCCACCTACCCTGCGGTCCCGAAGCGCCCAGCTCCCAGCAGCACTTACGTCTGGACTTACATGGCGGCGGGCTGAGCCCTGTCCCACTCCTGGTCCGGGTGTGTGTGTGAGTGTGTGTATGTGAGAGGGAGCCTCCCATCAACACCAGACCCATCTCTTCAGCGCTACAGGGGAACACCTCCACATAGCGACTGTTAAGCCCTCGCTTGCCAGCCTGGCCCGGACCAGACATCACCTGCTTGTGGACCCGCTGGGAGGCAGAGAAAGCCCGCTCCGCTGAACGCATCTGGATGAAACAGTCCCCTGACGGACGACCCTATGGAGACACACATACGCACACACACACACACAAACACACACACAGCAGGGAAAGTCTAGTTTCTGTAGGTGTAGTGTGTGTGTGTGTGTGTGTGTGTGTGTGTGTGTGTGTGTGTGTGTGTGTGTGTGTGTGCGTGTGCAGGCTCATATAGTGTGTACCTACCTGTTGGTTGACCACCATGTGTACTCCGTGTGGTCTGATGTCATGTGTGTATTCTCCTAGGAAGGCCAGTATATCCTCTATGGTGGCGGTGTAGGGCAGCCCCCTCAGCCTGAGGCAGTCCCTCACACCACCAGGAGAGGGCAACAGAGACACGGAGGGCAACAGTGACACCAGGGGGGCAGGAGCCACGGGGATCAGAGGGGCTGACGAGTACCTGTTCAACACCTACACACACACATACACACACACACACACACACACACACACACTGAGCTATAAGGTTAGACAGTTATAACTTGTAAGCGCTGGTTCAGCAACAACATACACACATAAAGAAGCGTATTCTCTCTGGAGTTCCTGGTTTTACTCTGGCAGGGGTATTCCGTTTAGGTGTGTGTAGGTCAGTGTGTGTGTCTGTATTGAAGAGATGGGATCTGGCTGGTTGCCAACAGGATATCACAATGTTTACCGTCCTGAAGAGGAACTCTAACTCCCCCCATCAGGGTCACTCACTACCACTGAACTCTGACCTCTTGACCTCTCACCTTCAGACATATAAGACCACTATAACATTTAAACCTGTACTGTATAGGAGTCTAAGTACATGGGAATGTTTCTACACTGAGAGCTGAAACACCAGCTTATCAATGAATAGGTCTATTAAGACTGTGAGAGGTGAGGTGAGGTGAGGTGAGGTGAGGTGAGGTGAGGTGAGGTGAGGTGAGGTGAGGTGAGGTGAGGTGAGGTGAGGTGAGGTGTGTGCGTATGTGTGTATGTGTGCGTGTGTGTGTGTGTGTGTGTGTGTGTGTGTGTGTGTGTGTGTGTGTGTGTGTGTGTGTGTGTGTGTGTGTGTGTGTGTGTGCGTGCGTGCTTTAGGAGGGTAATTAGCCAACGTTCAAGCTTTGGATAATAAAATGGACGATTTAAGATTACGGTTATCCTACCAACGGGACATTAAAAACTGTAATATCTTATGTTTCACGGAGTCGTGGCTGAATGACAACAATGACAACATTCAGCTCGCAGGCTATACGCTACATCGGCAGGACAGAACGGCAGACTCGGGTAAGACGAGGGGTGGCGGTCTCTGTATTTTTGTAAACAACAGCTGGTGCACAAAATCAAATACTAAGGAAGTCTCAAGGTTTTGCTCGCCTGAGGTAGAGTATCTTATGATAAGCTGTAGACCACACTATTTACCAAGAGAGTTTTCATCTATACTTTTCATAGCTGTCTATTTACCACCACAAACCAATGCTGGCATTAAGATTGCACTGAATGAGTTGTACAAGGCCATTAATCAACAGGAAAACGCTCATCCAGATGCAGCGCTCCTAGTAGCAGGGGACTTTAATGCAGGGAAACTTAAATCCGTTCTACCTCATTTCTACCAGCATGTTAAATGTGCAACCAGAGGGGAAAAAAACTCTAGACCACCTTTACTCCACACACAGAGACGCATACAAAGCTCTCCCTCGCCCTCCATTTGGCAAATCTGACCATAACTCTATCCTCCTGATTCCTGCTTATAAGCAAAAACTGAAGCAGGAAGCACCAGTGACTCGGCTAATAAAAAAGTGGTCAGATGACGCAGATGCTAAGCTACAGGACTGTTTTGCTAGCACAGACTGGAACATGTTCAGGGATTCTTCAGACAGCATTGAGGAGTACACCACATCAGTCACTGGCTTCATCAATAAGTGCATCGATGATGTCGTCCCCACAGTGACCGTACGTACATACCCCAACCAGAAGCCATGGATTACAGGAAACATCCGCACTGAGCTAAAGGGTAGAGCTGCCGCTTTCAAGGAACGGGACTCTAACCCGGACGCTTATAAGAAATCCCGCTATGACCTCCGACGAACCATCAAACAGGCAAAGAGTCAATACAGGTCTAAGATTGAATCATACTACACTGGCTCTGACGCTCGTCGGATGTGGCAGGGCTTGAAAACTATTACAGACTACAAAGGGAAGCACAGCCGCGAGCTGCCCAGTGACACAAGCCTACCAGACGAGCTAAACCACTTCTATGCTCGCTTCGAGGCAAGCAACACTGAAGCATGCATGAGAGCACCAGCTGTTCCGGACGACTATGTGATCACGCTCTCCGTAGCCGATGTGAGTAAGACTTTTAAGCAGGTCAACATTCACAAGGCCGCAGGGCCAGACGGATTACCAGGACGTGTACTCCGAGCATGTGCTGACCAACTGGCAAGTGTCTTCACTGACATTTTCAACATGTCCCTGACTGAGTCTGTAATACCAACATGTTTCAAGCAGACCACCATAGTCCCCGTGCCCAAGAACTCTAAGATAACCTGCCTAAATGACTACCGACCCGTGGCACTGACGTCTGTAGCCATGAAGTGCTTTGAAAGACTGGTCATGGCTCACATCAACAGCATAATCCCAGAAACCCTAGACCCACTCCAATTTGCATACCGCCCCAACAGATCCACAGATGATGCAATCTCTATCGCACTCCACACTGCCCTTTCCCACCTGGACAAGAGGAACACCTACGTGAGAATGCTATTCATTGACTACAGCTCAGCATTCAACACCATAGTGCCCTCAAAGCTCATCACTAAGCTAAGGATCCTGGGACTAAACACCTCCCTCTGCAACTGGATCCTGGACTTCCTGACGGGCCGCCCCCAGGTGGTAAGGGTAGGTAACAACACATCTGCCACACTGATCCTCAACACGGGGGCCCCTCAGGGGTGCGTGCTCAGTCCCCTCCTGTACTCTCTGTTCACCCATGACTGCATGGCCAGGCACGACTCCAACACCATCATTAAGTTTGCCGACGACACAACAGTGGTAGGCCTGATCACCGACAACGATGAGACAGCCTATAGGGAGGAGGTCAGAGATCTGGCCGTGTGGTGCCAGGACAACAACCTCTCCCTCAACGTGACCAAGACAAAGGAGATGATTGTGGACTACAGGAAAAAAAAGAGGACTGAGCACGCCCCCATTCTCATCGACGGGGCTGTAGTGGAACAGGTTGAGAGCTTCAAGTTCCTTGGTGTCCACATCACCAACGAACTATCATGGTCCAAACACACCAAGACAGTCGTGAAGAGGGCACGACAAAGCCTATTCCCCCTCAGGAGACTAAAAAGATTTGGCATGGGTCCTCAGATCCTCAAAAAATTCTACAGCTGCACCATCGAGAGCATCCTGACTGGTTGCATCACCGCCTGGTATGGCAACTGCTTGGCCTCTGACCGCAAGGCACTACAGAGGGTAGTGCGTACGGCCCAGTACATCACTGGGGCAAAGCTCCCTGCCATCCAGGACCTCTATACCAGGCGGTGTCAGAGGAAGGCCCTCAAAATTGTCAAAGACTCCAGTCACCCTAGTCATAGACTGTTCTCTCTGCTACCGCACGGCAAGCGGTACCGGAGTGCCAAGTCTAGGTCCAAAAGACTTCTCAACAGCTTCTACCCCCAAGCCATAAGACTCCTGAACAGCTAATCATGGCTACCCGGACTATTTGCACTGCCCCCCCACCCCATCCTTTTTACGCTGCTGCTACTCTGTTAAGTATTTATGCATAGTCACTTTAACTCTACCCACATGTACATATTACCTCAACTAGCCGGTGCCCCCGCACATTGACTATGCAACGGTACCCCCCCTGTATATATAGCCTCCCTACTGTCACTTTATTCTATTGTATATATAGCCTCCCTACTGTCACTTTATTTTTTACTTCTGCTCTTTTTTTTCTCAACACTTTTTTGTTGTTGTTTTATTCTTACTTTTTTGTTTAAAATAAATGCACTGTTGGTTAAGGGCTGTAAGTAAGCATTTCACTGTAATGTCTGCACCTGTTGTATTCGGCGCATGTGACCAATAAAATTTGATTTGATTTGATTTGATTTAATCCTAAGTATGAAAAAACAATAAAATATGTATGCACTGGATAAGAGCGTCTGCTAAATGACTAAAATGTAAAAAATGTAATCTTTCACAGACCAGAGCGTTTAAGTGTTTACACAACAAACCAGAACGCCAGGCGCTGAGGAGGAGAGCAAACACACACACACAGACACACACACACACACACACACACACACACAGAGAGACACACACACACACACACACACACACAGACACAGACACACAGACACACACTCGCTCATCCAGTTCTTAATTAGAGTAAATGCCCATGCTCTATTGAAGCTCTGTGTCACACCCTTAAACCTTTAAATCTTCTGCTTAGGTTTCCTACAGAAAACCCCCACCAGGACTATACCAACACACACACACCAACACACACACATGCACGCTCACTCCCTCCCTCTCTCTTTCTACCTGTTGCACCTTAACAGACAGACACACACCCCTCCCCCAACACACAGACATACCTGTTTTACCTTAACAGACAGATAACCCTTCATACCTGTTGCACCTCAGCGGCGGTGCTCTTGAATAGCTCAATATATCTCTTCCCCAGGATGTCTTTGTGCTTCCTGAGAGCGCACTGAGCATGCTCCTCACTGGCGAATAGGACGAAGGCGTCGCCAGTAGGCCTTCCATCAGGGAAACGCACAAATAGGATGCCATCCTTGTCACCACTGACAGGACACGCCTCTTTAGGCCCCTCCCCCTGGTAGAAGAAGGCCAGCACCTGGTCAGGTGTGGCGGTGAAGGGAAGACCTCGCATCCTGACGATCACCTGGTCCTCACGAGACAGGAACAGCGCCACCTCACTGGAGGTACTGCCTGCTATCTTAAGGAAGTCCTCTCCTGTTGCCTTGTACACCTGCAGCAGAAAAGACATGGCATTAACTCCTGCTCTTTGGGATCCAGATGTTATTTACAGGTTACGTCTACGTATTTATTGGTGTTGTTAGTGTCTGAGCAGGACCATAGATAGGGTTAGTAAAAGGTTGATAATAGGTTATTAACAGGTTACCTCTATGTATTGTTGGTTAGGGTTAGTAAAAGGTTGATAATAGGTTATTAACAGGTTACCTCTATGTATTGTTGGTTAGGGTTAGTAAAATGATGATAATAGGTTATTAACAGGTTACCTCTATGTATTGTTGGTTAGGGTTAGGGTTAGTAAAAGGTTGATAATAGGTTATTAACAGGTTACCTCTATGTATCGTTGGTTAGGGTTAGGGTCAGTAACAGGTTGATAATAGGTTATTAACAGGTTACCTCTATGTATTGTTGGTTAGGGTCAGTAATGGGTTGATAATAGGATATTACTAGGTTACCTCTATGTATCGTTGGTTAGGGTTAGGGTCAGTAATAGGTTGAAATAGGTTATTAACAGGTTACCTCTATGTATCTGTTGCCCATGTGGTGTTTGTGTCTCTGCAGGGCCATGTCTCTGTGTTCCTCACTGACAAAGCGGACCAGAGCCTCTCCGTTCCTCCGACCCTGGGCGTTCAGACACAACGCAGCGCCACCTCTGGACAACACACAGCATTACAGCTATTAAAACAATTTCAATACACTACACACCATCATAACAGCAACGAGTCAAACACAACAGACAACACAGTACTGGACACTGAACACACATACTTGGCAATGTTGAGTCCTCTGAAGAAGCGAGCGATGTCCTGGTCAGATGACTGCCAAGGCAACCCCCTCGCTCTGATCACCGTGTTATCACACACACGCTCCATCTTACTGCTACACACACACGGACACACACCAGTTAGCGTCAAATCACTCACCCGCTCCATCCAATGATGTGAGAACACCAATGAATTGTATCATATCTTCTACCTTACTGCAAATCTATCTTAGCAAGTCTACTTACCAAGTGCCGCTTTCAAACTTCTCAGTGACTCTCTCTGGGTTTGAGAATGTGTGACCTACAACAAACAGAAGACCAGAGAAGAAATCAAAGATGAGCAACAATGACAACATAGTGAGAAAAGTCAGAGTTTGTGTAAGTTAGTGTGTTACTCACGTAAGGGTTCAGATAGCAGGGCTAGGACGATGTTGGCCATGGTCTGGACCTGCAGTGCTGCTGTGACTGGCGTCGGATCCAACATGGCTACTGGCTCCACAGTTACACTGAGAGCTGAGGAAACCGTGGTCAAGGAGAAAACTCCAGGAGAGGAGCAAGCAAGGTGCGTGTGTGTGTGCATGTGTATGTGTGTGTGTGTTAGTCCTGCTTCCTGGTAGGTGTGTAGGGCTGGTCCTGTTGGCTAAACACACAGCCTGTTACTCTCTGAGCTACAGTGAGACATGTCAATTGTGTCTCTATTTGCATTTCAAAACCTCTAGTCCCACAGCCAACACCCTGTGGCCTGCAGACGCCTCCCCCTTGGGAGTGTGTTTGTGGGGGGGGGTGCTCACTTAAGTATCACACAAACACACTCTCGTGCTCTCTCTCTCTCACACAGAAGCAGGGTTCATGCAAAGCTGTAGAATGAACCAATTGACAACTAGCTAATGAGTGTCTTTGCTGTGTTTCTCAGTTGTAAGGATACATTCAGCCATGTACTGCACCTCCAGGCTCTTGGTGTCTGCAGAGGGGAAGTGCTTCCTGAACTCTTTCCTCAGGTCAAAAAAGGAGTTGAAACATTCTGGCAGTGCCAGGTTCTGCAGAGGAAGACAATTGCAGACATTACCCACTGGGCACAGACGTGAATTCAACGTCTATTCCACATTGGTTCAAGGTAATTGTATTGAAATGACGTGGAAACATTTATTATTATTGATTCAACAGTAGAGAGGAGGAAGAGAACATGTGTAGCCTACCATTGACAGCTGTTTGGTGTAGGGTCGGTATCAGGATCTACGCTCTGTTTATTACTGTCATTTACATATTTACTCATGTCAATAAAGTTAGGTTCCCCATGGGTCTGTGTATCATACTAGGTGTGAGGGGGGGAGGAACACAAGATGTAATAAGAGAACGGTGTGTGTGTGTGCGCGTTCGTGTTCAAACAAAGCCAAGACAATACGTCAAGACAACCTCACATTTTAACATCATGTAGAGCAGGATCTTGACAGAGGAGATGACATAACACATTTCTTTGTGGTTCTGTGACCAGAACCAAAGGGTTCTGGTGGAGGTAAGTGTCCGCCCTCACCTTGAGGCTCTGCCCCGCCCTGTCAGCCTGTACCCTTACCTTGTCTGCAGCTTCGGGGTGGAGAACCTGGCGAATGTGGAGCTGCCCGTCTGTACACACACACACTGACGTGCCCGTGCCCAAGGTGTTCACTTCATTGGTCAATCTCAGATGGAACTGTTTAAAACATAGGAAGAGATTAGCTACAATGTAAACTCTTTAAAATCAAGATCAGATAATACATCTGTAATAAACAATTACAGAACAACTCATTGGTAATATTGAAAATCCACTAAGATTTTATTGGTTGAAAGTGTGATCATTTTTCTGGTGATGATCAATAACAATGCAGCCATTTATAATCTCAGAATTTAGCACCAAAACGTTGACCACAGTATACAATTTCAACCAATGAGTTATAAATGTTTCCTACTGACTAATAAACAACCAATTAATGCAGTTTATAGACTATTTAAACTGAGTCTACCTTAATGGAAAGTATTACCATAAAGATAAATATTTACAAAAACATCAAAATATAGGCTTACACCAGTCCAACTTGAATGGCTTGTTGTTACATTTTTGGTGTGTTGTCATTGATGTTTGTGTGTGTATGTCTGTCTATTGTCTTTTGTCTACTTATGGTTTATATTGTTTGAAAAATACAAAGAAAAAAAGTACACGGTTTTTGGTTTCAGATAACCAACCAGAGAACAAGCACTTTAATTGCTGCTAGTTGTATCATCCTCATTATGCAAATGGTTGATCATTTGCATTACTAAGCTCTAAAGATGCACACCTCCTCATCACTCAAAGGACTGTCAGTTCAAGCTGTCAAGCCATGTGGATCTCATTCAAATACAGTAAAATGCCATCAAAGCTATAGCGATCTAAAACTAAGATGAATTATTAGCCAATTATAATTAGATATCCCAGGATGAAGGCCTAAATAAACAATCAATTGTTATAAAACTCCAATCAATGCATAGTGCCCCTGATTTCAATTGAAGGATGAATGGATGGCAAAGCAGAATATGGTGAGGTCAAAAATGTATTTCATAAAAAATCATGAGACAACAGATACTGTATGTACCTGGTTTAGCGCGTGCTCCAAGCCTGTGACTGTAGAGACAGACTCCTCGCTGTCCTCCACTTCATCCCCATCCTCTCTCTCCCCCAGACAATCTTCTGCCAGGTCGGAGTGCTCAGGCCGTATTAACACCTCATTCACTTTCCCCAACTGGACCAGAGAAAAAACACACACACTTCAGTACATTTAAAATATAAACTTCATTATCAAATGCACATTTTCATAGGCTATAGGCCTGTGTACACTTAAAAAAATGGAGTAGGAGACTTATGACACACTTATGATCAGAGTTTTGTCATTAGACCTCATAAACAGAAAAACAAAGTTGGTCGTCTTTTAAACCAAATAGCGCACATTTGACACAATGCACATTCTGGTTATGCTGGATGAATACTGTCTTTCTATAATAATAATAGTCATTCTCATATTCTCTTAATAAAATACAATATTTTAAAGATGACCTTTTTGTTATTCAAATCCACGAGCTGCCACACCAACTGCACGAGCTCCTTCTCGTCCGAACCCAAGAGGTCTCCGCTCGCGCCAGATGTGGTGGTGAACAACACCGCCAGGTAGTCTACCTGAGCCGTCATTTTCAGGATAAATACAAAGAAACTACTCTAGTTACACCCAAAGTAATAGAAAATAACCTACAGCTACACCCCCAGAACAGTACAGAACCCAAAGAATCCAGCCACCCACACCCAGACCCCTATGCGCAAAGGTGTGCTCAGCAACTCAAGATATTTTTAGTGGCTTCTTGATTGCGTGATAATCTATGCCAAATCTCCCGCACACCTCAAGGCAGTGTAATGGCTGAATGTTCCCTTTTTTTGTGAAGGACCTACCTGTGTGCGCTGCGGACCACGTGACCCAGGTAGCTACCTGCCTGGGGTGTATTCATTACGCCGATTATGTTGGAAAACGCTTCTTAAACGGAAGCAAACGGAACGAAACGCGGAGAGACCTACCTGCATTTGTCCAATAGAAACTCTCGTTTTGCTCTGTTTGCTTCCGTTTGATTCTTAAACTTTAAACGTTTTCCGTAATGAATACACCCCTTCTCTGTCTGAGTGCTGTCCCTATTGGTGCTTTCAAACAGGGACGTGGCACCGCATCGCGACAAACCCATCAGCACGACCTGAACAACATACATGAGAAGAACAACAATCTCATATACTAGCCTACAAACGGATGATGGCCTAGTTTTTATCCCTGTTTATGGGTAGACGAGTGCATAGGCTATTTCCAAATGCTACGCTTGGCATATAGGCTGCAGTGGGAAATGTTAATGAAAAAAATCAAATGTAACATAATGTTGTTTTCTGCGTTTCTGCTACTGCTGAGAACATGTTGAGACCAGCCGGTCGTGGCAAATCAGTGAAATCATTACAATGACGTTTATAAGGCCTATTTAAAAATAAACAGTAATGAAAAATATGTAGATCCATTGTTTTCATTTAGGCTATTGTAAAATACATAGATAAAATATTCAAAGTCAGGCTATTGCCTTTTTTATTACGGCACCTTTATAATTTATTATAAGAGAGCCATTGGCAGTAGCCTGAATTATGTTGGATGAACTCTCCACTATGCACCGATTTCAGATCAGTTTGTGGTTCTACTCATTATAAACAAAGTAGGTTTAAACTGATTCAGGGTCTGTCTTTACAGAACTGCTCATCGTCGGGTTTTAAAACCCGGAAACCGTTGTAGCTAGATCCGGAAGTTTACCCCAAGTGAAAACAGAAAAATATGGCGGGGGACACTTTAACGGAGCTTCTTTTTCTGGATACGTTCAAACATCAAAGTGCAGAGGTAGCTAAATCTGTTAATACCGCTTGGGTTTTATCCCAGGAGTATACTTTGCTGAGATTCCACTTAGCTAGCTAACTTTGGCTTCTGATCCCCTATCTTCCCCTAGGCTAATGCTAATGCTAACACAGTGGCCACCTTGCAGAATAACTAAATCGTCCTTCCAAACTAAGTGTGATGCATTGTTTCCTAGCAAGGTATTACGTTTTAAGTAGCTTACGGGTTCTTATATTCAGTGGTCTCTCCTACAGTTGTAGCAGGGATAGGGATACGCGAAACTACCTAGCCATAATGGATAATGGGACAGTCGGCAACAGCGTGTGCGCAGATTGTTTACCCGCTAGCTAGCTAACTACTCACACAACTAACGTCTATGTTTACCAGCTAGCTAGCTACTCACACAGGTTACGATACACAGACAGTTTTCAGACTGTTCATATTTACAGATAAAGTCTACAGTTACTGTCTGCAGATGAATACACGAAATTCCCAACAGGCCCTTTTGTTTATTTATGGCACAAAAAAGAGCTGACTGTTTTTGTTGTGCGCTAACATGGTCTTTAAATAAAAATCACATTTTATTTGTCACATGCGCCGAATATAACGGGTGTGGTAGGCCTTACAGTGAAATTATTAAAATGTGTTCTGTCTGTAGCTGACCAATGTGGACGTGGTGCGGTTCCCGTGCGGTGTCCTGATCACAGAGGTGCGCGTCATTCCCCCTGGAATTAAAGCACACACCAGTTTGCCAGACAACCGGGCATTCGGGTAAGAAACCATCATTCAAGGTGTATACGGGAGAGCAAAATAAATATATACTACTATGTGACTGGGATGTGTGTGAGGGGAACTCCAGGGGCCTCATTTATCAATCATGCATAGGCACTAATCTGTGCGTAAACCATGCGTGGGATTATTTCCACACAACGTGTGCGATTTATCAATATGAATGTTTGCTTGAGTGTGTGTAACTTTACGCACTCACACAGTGCCAAGTGGTGAAATAATGCCTTGATCACACCTACAGCCTCATTGAGCAAAATGGTACGCAGCATCATCTGGATATGTGTGCAACAAAAGTTCAATATTCACATTCTGCTATCATTAATGTCAAGCCGTCTACGCATACAATTTAATGCATAAATTCAATAAATCCAATGTATGCACCACACAGAACGCACTGCAATGCAATTCTGCAAGGCAAACGCAGCATTCCATTGGAAATGAATGTACTTGTGGTGTACCAAAACGCAATGATGCTGTCAGTGTGATCGAGGCGTAAGGGTACTGTCAAGTGTAGAATGGGGAAAATATATGTTGAAAATGTCTGAAATTGCGATGGAGTAATAATTCAATCGCTTTTCGATGTCGTATTTCCATTGTGAATTCATGCAACATATCTTGACAGGCATATCATTTGACCACATCAGTGCATTTGTTACTATAATAATTCACATAAAGTACAGTCATTTGTTAAATTAGAGGCACATGTGAAAGTGAAACAATTGTTGAAATACTATAAAAGACTGAGATAATGGGAAAACGAATGAGAGGCTGATCTTGCTCTGTTGGAAGATTTGGCACGCTGCATTTCACAGAGAGCGCGTTTTTAGAAACAGGTGGGACTTTTTTGGTTTTAGGAAATGATGTCTGATGAGACAATCTTATAGGATTTTTGTGAGGACTTAAGACTTACTTTAAAAAGGCAAACGCATGCCATTCCGGTGCACATCCAAGTGCTATCCACCCTCTGGTTTTTTCATTGGGAGCTTGCCGATCGGCATCTCACAGCCTCGGTGAGCCAGTGTTTTGGATGCAATCATCAGTAAAATGAACTGTAACATACAATTTCCATACACCATCGCACAACAGGTTGAAGTCAAGTTTTTTGTTGTTGCCATCAATGGGTTCCCAAATACGAACGGAGCAATAGCCACATCGCCATAAAAGCACCATCCCAAAACGAGTTGAACTATGTGAACAGTAAAGGCTTCCACTCTTAATGTGCAGGTGATAAGTTATGTGATGTGCAAAAGACGCTGCTGAATGTGGTGGCCAATGTTGGCCTATAGGCCTACAGGAGGGAGCTGTTGAGGATGGATGGCTTATTCGTGAGTGTTGCCTACTCATTTGAAGTATATTTGCCATTGCTAAAGCAACTAATTGTCTTAATGTTCCTCTCGTTTTGGCTTTGGTTTTATTTTTACTGTTCAAGCCGCAACTGAGAGAGACAAATGAAACCTTTTGGTTGTACTCAATCTCTGACACTAGCACCTCTATTTTCTTAGTCTTTTTTGGTTGCGATGTTGTATATCATGGTACGGTGTTGTATATTCCCTACAGGCTTTAAAGGGATGATTTGGACCATGTATGATTAATTGGGGGTGTTTCAAAATGCAAATAGCCAAGGTCGTGCAAGAGCACTGAGGCTGAGAACAATTGGTATTTATCAACGGTTATCTCCTACAGGTGTACGAATGAAGCTTGTGGGATTGTTTGATAAATCATACTTTTTCTATGTGTACGAACATTCTAAATTCTGTTCGAAAGTAGTATTTTATAGAAGTTTCTACGCAATATTGATAAATGAGGCCCCAGAGCTGTAATGTCCTGTTTGGCCTCGTTCTCACCGTGTGTGAGGTAACCGTAACCGGACAGACGGGATCTCTCATGTGTCCGAAAGGGGGGCTGAGTGGTGATGTCATATCCTGTTCCTGTCTGTTTCAAGGGAGACGTCGCCTCATTCCTTCCAGCTGGAGCTTTTCTTCAACAACCTCACTAAACCCAGCAACGCCTGCTTCCACAGACTGGGCAGGTCAGTAACACTTAGTACATTATATTTGAATTGAATTGAATTTATTTGTGTAAATGACATATTTAACAGAAATGTACAATGTGGACCCAGAGGATAGCACTTACAATTATTAATTTAAAACATGTTTCCAAAGACTGGTCCTCGAATATACCTCTACTTCTCTCAAACTACCTCTCTCTGTCTGTATCCCTCTCTCTCTACCTCTTCCTCTGTCACTCCTGCCCTCCCAGTATCTGTCTATTTCTCTCTCCCCGCCCCTCCTTTTTCTCTTCCCAGAATGTGTCCATAAAAGTATTCTCACCTGTAGAACCTGCCAGGGCAGAGACCAATCTGTGCCGACTGTCTTAGTCCTTGTCCACGCCGAGACTGGTCTCTAGAAACTCAGCCCTGTTGTTGCACCTTCCGAATCACACACAACAGAATGTAGAACACAGAAAGACACATCGATCATTCCAACAGAGAACACAGGCACAACCTAATGTTGGTCAAGCGCTCACAGGCCATTGTTGTTAACCTGAGAGAGAACTTGCAGTACGTCAGCCCCTCTACTGTAGCCTGCTCCACTACTAATGGCAATGTGATAACTCTCTTTCTGTTTCTGTCTCATCCTTACAGTTTTGAATATGACGAAAACAAATCCATCATTTTCAGGCCCAATGGAAAGGTAAAGACTCCTCCCCCCTCTGTCTGTGGAAAGGTCACTGTTCTCTCTGCAGGGGAACTGTGTTGTGTGTGTGTCGCTTTGTGTTTGTAATGGTGTGTGTGTGTGTGTGTTGTGTAGGTGAATACAGATGGTCTGGTACTGCGTGGTTGGTACACCAGTCTGACGGTGGCGGTGTACGGTACAGCGGAACGGTCACATGGTCACGACCGGGACTCTCCCCCGCCTCCCCCTCCCCCACCCCCCCAACAACAGACTGGCCTCAAGAGGATCATCAAACAAGGTGGGTAAAGACTCATACTAGGGTTGTCAGGATACCACTATCACAATACTACCATACTTTCCATGGCAAAAAGGAAAACACAAGGCGAACTAAACTGTGTGTGTCTCAGAATGGGATAAGGAGGAACAGTATAATGGCAGTCCCCCCAGACCAGCTCCCAGAGGCCCCCGCACCCCTCCTGGACCGCCCCCACCAGATGATGATGATGAGGAGCCAGTCCCAGTGACCGGTAACACACACACACACACACATTTCTCTGTCTTTATGTTTATCTCACAGGGACAGATTTCATACTGTATATTCAACTAGCTAACATTGCCAAAAGAAACGTGTCCATGTATTTGTGCAAGCCTGTATCCATGTATACCTGATGCCCTCTTTGGTTGCTGTGATAACCGACTGTGGTGTCCATGGTGACTGTTTCAGTTGGAGTGTCCAAGGCGGAGCCGACTGAAAGAGGGGAGGACTACCTGGAAGCGGTCTCACCTGAACGCGGCTCACTACCTGCCGACGAACCCTACTCAGATGCCGAACCTGAGGAGGAGGGGGAGGAAGAAGAGGACGAGGAGCCGGAAGAAGAGGACGACGCACGGACGGAGTGTAGCGCCCCTGAGGATGAGGAGGAGGAAGATGAGGAAGATGAGGGTGAGGAGGAGGAGGAGGAGGAAGAGATGGAGGAAGGTAGGGGGGCTCCTGTGTGACGGCAGGACAGACAGTGTGTGTGCTCTAGCATGCTGCCTGCACCCCTCAACCCTAACCCTACACCCTGCTCAGACCCCTCAACCCTAACCCTATACCCTGCTCAGACCCCTCAACCCTAACCCTAAACCCTGCTCAGACCCCTCAACCCTACACCCTGCTCAGACCCCTCAACCCTAACCCTATACCCTGCTCAGACCCCTCACCTAACCAACCCTGCCAGACCCTCACTACCTATCCCTGCTCAGACCCCTCAACCCTAACCCTATACCCTGCTCAGACCCCTCAACCCTAACCCTATACCCTGCTCAGACCCCTCAACCCTAACCCTACACCCTGCTCAGACCCCTCAACCCTAACCCTATACCCTGCTCAGACCCTACCCTAACCCTCTCAGACCCCTCAACCCTATAACCCTGCTCAGACCCCTCAACCCTAACCCTATACCCTGCTCACTCCCTAACCCCTCAGACCCCTCACCCTACCACCCTGCTCAGACCCCTCAACCCTAACCCTACACCCTGCTCAGACCCCTCAACCCTAACCCTAACCCTGCTCAGACCCCTCAACCCTAACCCTATACCCTGCTCAGACCCTCAACCCTAACCCTACACCCTGCTCAGACCCCTCAACCCTAACCCTACCCTCAACCTAACCTGCTCAGACCCCTCAAACCCTTAACCCTACTAACTACCCTGCTCAGACCCCTCAAACCCTAACCCTATACCCTGCTCAGACCCCTCAACAACCCTAACCCTGCTAGACCCTCACCTCAGACCCCCTCAACCCTAACCCTATACCCTGCTCAGACCCCTCAACCCTAACCCTACTACCCTGCTCAGACCCCTCAACCCTAACCCTATACCCTGCTCAGACCCCTCAACCCTAACCCTATACCCTGCTCAGACCCCTCAACCCTAACCCTAACCCTGCTCAGACCCTCCAACCCGCTAACCCTCACCCACCCTCCTGCTCAGACCCCTCAACCCTAACCCTTACCCTGCTCAGACCCCTCAACCCTAACCCTACACCCTGCTCAGACCCCTCAACCCTAACCCTTAACCCTGCTCAACCCTCAACCCTAACCCTACACCCTGCTCAGACCCCTCAACCCTAACCCTGCTCAGACCCCTCACCCTACCCTATACCCGGCTCAGACCCCTCACCCTACCCCTCAACCCTAACCCTGCTCAGACCCTCAACCCTACTGATCCCCCTCACCCTACCCTAACCCTGCTCAGACTCCTCAACTCTAAACCCTGCTCAGACCCCTCAACCCTAACCCTACACAGTGCAGTTAACAGAGCCGTTGTAACCAGCCTAACCAGTTGTAATCATAAGCCTTAGAGCCATGGCTGTTGCTGCTGTAATTTCAGATCCCCTTGCATGACAAACTAACTGCGCCTGTGTTGTGGTTGTCTCTCTCATTCTTAACTCTTAGTTGAGTGAAATGTAATTTCATCATGTTATTAGTGTTTTAGCACTAATGTGAGTGAGGCCTTTTCTTTTGCTGTGCTTGTGTTGATTGTTTTTGTTGTTGATTTACAATATTTCTTTCACACTCCCTCCCTCCCCTCTCCAGGTGATGACGGTTATGAGCAAATCAGTAGTGATGAGGATGACTTGGACAATGGGAGTTTTAAGGTGCCCAGTTTTGACATTGACTACACCCCTGAAGACCTGGCCTCTGTGCCCCCAGTCCAGTACGATCCCTACGAAAGAGAGCTACGCCCACTGCTCTACTTCACCCCTCCTTACAAGACCCGCTTCGACTCCCAGCTGGAGAGGGCCAGGGGGGCTGTGTGTTGTGGTCCAGAGGGGCCTGGAGGTGGAGAGGGGGCAGAGGCTGAGGTTGTAGCCCAGATGAGAGAGCTCCTGGCTGGGATAGGAGAGGACCGCGACTCCCGCTGGGTCACGGCCCTAGAGCAGGCATCAGGGCTGCTCGCTAGAGGTTTGGGCTTTCTGATTGCACAGGGGGAATGGGAGGAGCCTATTGGAGCTCTGGTCCAATGGGCTCTCCAGGGTCTTAGTATGGAGATAGCTCTGACCCAACCCATTGCTCTAAACCTCAGGCAGCTGAAAGCTGGAGCTAAGCTGGCTTCCTGCTTGGCTGAGTGCCCACAGGGCCTCACTGCGCTGCTGCACGAGGGAGCCCTGGAGCTCCTACTGGAGCTGCTCCAGGTGGACCATGTGTCGTCCACGCTGAAGCTGTGTATCCTGAGGGCTCTGGATGCTCTGACCAGTGCCCCCGCTGGTGTGGAGGCCTTCCTACAGGAGGGGGAGATGGAGAGGAGTGGATACCAGGTGAGAGGGGCCATACTGTACACATAAAGACTTGATAATAGAGAGGAGTGGATACCAGGTGAGAGGGGCCATACGGTACACATAAAGACCTTATAATAGAGAGGAGTGGATACCAGGTGAGAGGGGCCATACTGTACACATAAAGACCTCATAATATAGAGGAGTGGATACCAGGTGAGAGGGGCCATACGGTACACATAAAGACCTTATAATAGAGAGGAGTGGATACCAGGTGAGAGGGGCCATAGTGTACACATAAAGACCTCATAATAGAGAGGAGTGGATACCAGGTGAGAGGGGCCATACTGTACACATAAAGACCTTATAATAGAGAGGAGTGGATACCAGGTGAGAGGGGCCATACTGTACACATAAAGACCTCATAATAGAGAGGAGTGGATACCAGATGAGAGGGGCCATATGGTACACATAAAGACCTTATAATAGAGAGGAGTGGATACCAGGTGAGAGGGGCCATACATTACACATAAAGACCTCATAATAGAGAGGAGTGGATACCAGGTGAGAGGGGCCATACGGTACACATAAAGACCTCATAATAGAGAGGTTGCGTGTGTTACTAACTGAGGTTGTGTGTTGTGTGTCCGCCCCCCGCAGCGGTTGGTGCAGCTGTTCCTGGGGGAGGAAACCGTGCGGGTGGTAACCGCGGGCAACGCCATTCTACAGAAAGGCCACGCCTATGAGGTTATGACTGACCTGCAGAGGACAGCGGCAGCCTGGAGCGAGCCTCTGCAGGTAAACACACACTGACTGGAGACCTGCGTTTTGAGAACGGTTATTTTGGTCTGATAAAAGTTCCCATTTCATAACCAGTTCCCAGTTCAGTGTGGAACTCTGGGGTTTCTATGTCTGAGGTTCTACTGTGCATATAATTACAACAGTATATCAGTATATGAGATTTATCATTGTTATATGTCAGGATGAGGGGGAGGAGCCTGACATACCAATGGAGGAGGAGCCATCATTAGGCCCCTCCCCTGTCAGCGAGGCTGAGCTGGATAGGTTGGCTGGGGTTCTAGAAGAGTTACATCACCTTCTAGAGACCGCCCCCCACACCATGGTCCAGCCCCCTGGAAAGGCCTTCCCTACAACCACACGCATTACTGGTCCACAGGAGAGAGACGACCCCTACCCTACACTTTACAGGTAGGTACAACACAAAAACTCACACACACACATACACACACAGTCGTTTGTACTAATAACTCCCCCCCCCCCCCCCCACAGGTACATGCATGCATGTCATTTCCTGGAGAGCACGGCGGTGGCGTTGTCAGCAGCAGTGGCGTCGGGGCATACAGGCGTCACTCACGCAGTCAGAGAACTCCTGCACTTCCTGTCTCTCACCCAATCAGGATTGCTCTTCATGCTGGCCCAGCCCACGCCTACCAACTTGCTGCTCCGCCTCCTAGCAACCGTCGCCGAGGCTGAGGGAGAGGAGCCTATGGTCATCGGGGGCGACGGGGGGTTCTTGGGCCCCGGATTGGGTGAAGAGGGTTTGGGGGTGTGGCTGATGCAGGCGCTGCATGCCCTCCAGAGTGTTTCTGAGCTGATGAGTCACGTGACTGCCGGCGGGGAGGGAGGGGTGGGGTTAGAGGAGGGGGACAGTGCGGAGGTACTGAGCATGCTCCATGCCCTCTACCTCATCACCTTCACACAGACTGGGAGGAGTGCTGTGGCCCATGTCTTCAGCCTGGAGAACAACCTTTCCTGTCTGGTTACGCTGCTGCAGCACCACAGCAAGGACGGACACGGGGAGGCCAAGGCCCGGAAGGCGGTGACCTATAACTATGCGTGTATGCTGGTGCTGATGGTGGTTCAGAACTCCAGTGATCTCCGTACCATGGAACAACACGCTGCTCCTCTACTCATCCTGGCCAAGGCTGATGACACCAACGCTAAACTACAGGGTACGTAGCTCCTGACCCCTGACTCTAACAGGGTTTGGCCGGCCGGGACTCCCCCATGGACTCCTTTTGGCGGGCCGGGTGCCTGCAAGCTGACTTCGGTCGCCAGCTGGATGGTGTTTCCTCCGACACATTGGTGCGCCTGGCTTCCGGGTTAAGCGAGCAGTGTGTCAAGAAGCAGTGCGGCTTGGCAGGGTTGTGTTTCGGAGGACGCATGGCTCTCGACCTTCGCCACTCCCGAGTCCGTAGGGGAGTTCCAACGATCGGACAAGACTGTAACTACCAATTGGATATCACGAAAAGGGGGGTAAAAGTACAAAAATAAAGTTACAAAGTTAAAAAAAAAAATATATATATATATATATAAAAAAAAGAATGTGTTGAACTACTATTCAGAATTCATTGCAAAGGTGAACTGCAACACTAAGTCATCTTCTCAGTGTTGGTCTTGTGTTCCAGAGCTGAGTCAGTGGCTGGAACCTCTGGACAAAGTGAAGTTAGAGATGGGCAGCATCCCCAGCCTCATAGACTACATCAAACAGGTGAGCTACAGGTCCCCAAGGAGTGATAACCAGTTGTTGCAGTTTGTTTAATACCTCATAATGATGACTTGGCTGCAGGCCTTCACCTCCCTAAACACACACACACCGACTTGCTTTGATATAACTAGCTGACTGAACTCCACTCCATGGTCAAGGAAGTTTCTGATCAAATCCACCAACGGAGTGGAGCAGAGATCAGGTTTTGTGAAATTCAGCAACAGCTAATTTGATTTGATTTATTAGGATCCCCATTAGCCAATGCCAATGGCGACAGCTAGTCTTACTGGGGTCTGACACATAACAAAAATTCATTACAGACAAAATACTTTACATACATTAACATGTAGTGTGTGTGTGTGCATCTATCAGTTCCACATACATGTCAGTACATATACACAACAATTAGGTCACATGGGGGAGAGGCGTTGTGCTGCTTTATTTGTTCTTTGAAACCAGGTTTGCTGTTCACTTGCGCTATATAAGACGGGAGTTCCATGCACTCATGGCTTTGTATAATACTGTACGTTTCCTTGAATTTGATCTGGACCTGGGGTCTGTGAAAAGACCCCCGGTGGCATGTCAGGTGGGGTAAGTGTGTGTGTAAGTTGACTATACAAACAATTAGGAATTTCCAACACATTAATGTTTCTTATAAAAACAAGAAGTGACGCTGTGTCTTTCCTCAACTCTTAGCCAAGAGAGACTGGCATGCATAGTATTAATATTAGACCTCTGTTTACAATGAAGAGCAAGACGTGCCACTCGGTTCTGGGCCAGCTGCAGCTTAACTAGGTCTTTCTTTGCAGCGCTTGACCATATGACTGGACAATAATCAAGATAAGATAAAACTAGAGCCTGCAGGACTTGCTTTGTGGAGTGTGGTGTCAAAAAAGCAGAGCATCTCTTCATTATGGACAGACCTCTCCCCATCTTTATAACCATTGAATCTATATGTTTGTGCATGAAAGTTTACAATCTAAGGTAACACCAAGTAATTTAGTCTCCTCAACTTGTTCAACAGCCACACCATGCATTAGCAGATTCAGCTGAGGTCCAGAACAAAGGGAATTATTTGTACCAAATACAATGCTCTTAGTTTTAGATGTTCAGGGCCAGTTTATTACTGGCCACCCATTCCAAAACAGACTGCAACTCTTTGTTAAGGGTTTCAGTGACTTCATTATCTGCGGTTGCTTACGCATATACGGTTGAATCATCAGCATACATGGACACACATGCTTTGTTTAATGCCAGTGGCAGGTCATTGGTAGAACAAAGAAAACAGTAGAGGGCCTAGAGAGCTACCCTGCGGTACATGCAAATAGTTGTGACAGTGCAAATAGTTGTTACAGTGGCTGACCCAGATCTTGACTGTGGGGGGGGGTGGGGGGGGGGGGGGAGAGAAGAGAAGAGAGAGAGAGAGAGACATGTGGCTGCATGCATATGGATGTGCATCAGTTAGAGCATGGCTGATGTAAACAAAGTACATATTGTATGTACATGTGTATTATTGGTCATATTACTAACGGAGAACCCATTCTGTCCCGTGTGTGTCCCTGTAGAACGTCGAGAACGTGTTGACCCTAGAGGGAAGTGGACTGATGTCTGCTCTGAGGGCCCTCTGCCAGATCGCCTGTCCCCCTCCCGCCGTAGAGGGTCAGCAGAGAGATCTGAAGTGGAGTCTAGCGGGGGTGCAGTTGTTTTCTGGGGAGGGCTTGGACATGTGTGTTTGTGTGCTCCAGAAGCTGTGTAGCGTGTTGCTGCCTGCCTGGCGTGTGCACGGACACATGGGACCCACGCCGCAGCGCTGTATGATCCTTGGCATGTGCGCGAACACGCTAAGGCTGCTGCGGACCATGCTGACAGAGCTGCTGCGTAGCGGGGCCTTCCAGTTCAGGGACACGCGTGTGGCGAGCACGTTGGTGACGCTACACATGGTCGTGTGTTCAGCCCCGGCCTCTGGACGTCTAGACTGGGAGGAGACCAAGGTTCAGGCCCTCATCGTAGACGTGCTGCTCACCTTCACACAGGGAGTCAGCGAACAGGTACAACTCTTTTCTGATTGTCCTGTAACATTATGTCACATGTTGTGTGTGTTGCGTGTGTGTTGCTGTGTGTTGTGTGGCGTGGTGTTTGTGTGTGTGTGTTTTGTGTGGGTTTGTGTGTGTGTGTAATAACCTGTGTATCATTTCCCCTGTAGATGACCCACACAGAGGAGACTCTGCTCAGCAACACATGGTCTCTGATGCTGAAGGAGGTGTTGGGCTCTCTACTGAAAGCCCCAGAGGGACTCTTCTCAGGCCTCACCCTGCTGTCTGAACTACTGCCACTCCCCCTGCCCATGCAGAGCACACAGGTACACACACACGCCTGCTGCTTCTCATGTTGATACAGCAACCGTCATCAGCAACAGTCTGTATGTCATCAGATTGACACTTAACAAATAGACTAATGCATGAGGTAGGACAAGTCTTTCATGTTGGAAACATCCAAACCAAGGGGGAACAGGTTTCTAGTTGTGTGTTGTGCCTGGCCCCCCTCCAGGTGATCTCGGTCCAGGACGTGGCGGTAGCATTGAACACCAGGAAGTTGTGGAGCATGCACCTGCGGGTGCAGTGGGGCGTGTTTGCGGACGCCCTCGGGTGTGTGTGTGGAACTAGCTGTCCACCGCTGCTGGCCATGCTGCGACGTGTGTGTGTGCAGCTGGCTGACCTCTCCTCTCCCACCGCCACCCTCATCATGAAGACCCTGCTGGAGCTACTGCTGGGGGAAGTACAGCCGTAAGACAGGCACAAACACACAGCCTTTTGCACCTCATCAACTAAGATGGCAAGCCAAATAAATCCCAAATTGGCCATGTATATTATTTCACGTCCAAATTACAACCACCATGCTACCATCTCTGGTGTGTGTGTGTGTGTGTGTGCGTGTTTGTATCTAGTGTGTGTATGTTTTTGATTTGGGTATGTGTGGTTGTGTTTTTCAGTGTGGAGGGTAAGAGTCCGGGTTGGGGGCAGGTCCTGCGTCTCCTCTCTCTATTCGACACCCTGGTTTCCCAGAGAGCCTGTAAGATCGCAACGTTACACCTGCTCTCTGGCTCCGCCCCCGGAGACGAACCATTGACTGATGTCTTCCCCCTGCTACTGTCCCTATTGGTTCCCTCTGCTGACCACGCCCTGCCACAACAGCACTGTGCAGAGCTGGTGGGATCTGTCCTGCAGTCACTGTGTGACCAGGTAACACACGAAGCACCTGGCATTGTATGAGACTAATGCACTTCATCCACTAGTTGTTGTTTTGCCTCCAGCTATTACAGTGGAGAGGTATGGGGTGAATTGGTGCCTGCTATGTTGTGTTCATAAACATTTAGGTCTTTGTGCTCTTTAGTCTAAACTATGTGTCAGATTAGCAGGGTGTTGTATCCGGCTGAGCCAGGTAAGAGAGGGAGCAGTAGAGGGAGAGAGGTAGGTGTGTGTTTAACCCCATCGGTCCCAAGACACCAGCAAAAAATAGGCTTTTCATTTATTTGACTTTCATTTATCTGCATGTCCAGCTCTTATATTTAGCCTCACAATGAAGTGTTTTACCATTTTCTTTTCAGGACAACCAGGGCTACAAGTAAAACACAAAACTATTTGACATAAACAGTTGCATTCATGAGTTCTATTGACAGAGCAAAAACCTGATAAAAATGTAGTTATATGAATGTAAGTACAGAAACTGTTTGCTCACTGGGAAATTAATATCCAACTAGTCAGTGACAACTGTGTGGAGTTTGGAGTTTATAATACCAATTATGTGAGCTTATTACAGTATTATAGACACTATGTCCTGGAATTTACTATGATCTTCTATGTAGAAGAACCCCTTACCTTCTAATGCCTCTTGTGTAGCTAATGAGCATCATCGAGTGAAACATGTTACGTGTTTGTGAGAGTCTCAGCTTTTCATATATACATTTAATAGGCATCTCAAATCATTCTGACTCTACAGACATTTGTGTAAACAGTGGGACTCATTGGGTTAACTCTGCTGTGTGTGTGTGTGTGTTAGGACATCTCTCTGGTGGTGCCCCACCCAGCCGAGGGGTGTGTGTCGGAGGCCGAGCAGCTGGCCAATGCCCTTCCAGGACGGGAAATGATCTCATCAGTGTGCGACTCGCTGCTGGAGGTTTTGGGGAACGGAGAGAGCAGTGCCACTCTGCTCCTCACCTGTCTCAGAACACTCATGTTCCTCACAGAACATGACTATGGACTCTACCACCTCAAAGGGTACTCACACACTCCTCACTGCCAGGAGTTTAGATCAATGCAAGTGTAGCATGTACAGTGGGGAGAACAAGTATTTGATACACTGCCGATTTTGCAGGTTTTCCTACTTACAAAGCATGTAGAGGTCTGTAATTTTTTATCATAGGTACACTTCAACTGTGAGAGACGGAATCTAAAACAAAAATCCAGAAAATCACATTGTGTGATTTTTAAGTAATTCATTTGCATTTTATTGCATGACATAAGTATTTGGTCACCTACCAACCAGTAAGAATTCCGGCTCTCACAGACCTGCTAGTTTTTCTTTAAGAAGCCCTCCTGTTCTCCACTCATTACCTGTATTAACTGCACCTGTTTGAACTCGTTACCTGTATAAAAGACACCTGTCCACACACTCAATCAAACAGACTCCAACCTCTCCACAATGGCCAAGACCAGAGAACTGTGTAAGGACATAAGGGATAAAATTGTAGACCTGCACAAGGCTGGGATGGGCTACAGGACAATAGGCAAGCAGCTTGGTGAGAAGGCAACAACTGTTGGCGCAATTATTAGAAAATGGAAGAAGTTCAAGATGACGGTCAATCACCCTCGGTCTGGGGCTCCATGCAAGATCTCACCTCGTGGGGCATCAATGATCATGAGGAGGTGAGGGATCAGCCCAGAACTACACGGCAGGACCTGGTCAATGACCTGAAGAGAGCTGGGACCACAGTCTCAAAGAAAACCATTAGTAACACACTACGCCGTCATGGATTAAAATCCTGCAGCGCACGCAAGATCCCCCTGCTCAAGCCAGCGCATGTCAAGGCCCGTCTGAAGTTTGCCAATGTCCATCTGGATGATCCAGAGGAGGAATGGGAGAAGGTCATGTGGTCTGATGAGACAAAAATATAGCTTTTTGGTCTAAACTCCACTCGCCGTGTTTGGAGGAAGAAGAAGGATGAGTACAACCCCAAGAACACCATCCCAACCGTGAAGCATGGAGGTGGAAACATCATTCTTTGGGGATGCTTTTCTGCAAAGGGGACAGGACGACTGCACCGTATTGAGGGGAGGATGGATGGGGCCATGTATCGCGAGATCTTGGCCAACAACCTCCTTCCCTCAGTAAGAGCATTGAAGATGGGTCGTAGCTGGGTCTTCCAGCATGACAACGACCTGAAACACACAGCCAGGGCAACTAAGGAGTGGCTCCGTAAGAAGCATCTCAAGGTCCTGGAGTGGCCTAGCCAGTCTCCAGACCTGAACCCAATAGAAAATCTTTGGAGGGAGCTGAAAGTCCGTATTGCCCAGCGACAGCCCCGAAACCTGAAGGATCTGGAGAAGGTCTGTATGGAGGAGTGGGCCAATTTCCCTGCTGCAGTGTGTGCAAACCTGGTCAAGACCTACAGGAAACGTATGATCTCTGTAATTGCAAACAAAGGTTTCTGTACCAAATATTAAGTTATGCTTTTCTGATGTATCAAATACTTATGTCATGCAATAAAATGCAAATTATTTACTTAAAAATCATACAATGTGATTTTCTGGATTTTGAAAAATTACAGACCTTTACATGCTTTGTAAGTAGGAAAACCTGCAAAATCGGCAGTGTATCAAATACTTGTTCTCCCCACTGTATATAGACAATAGTAGGGGTTAAAGCACTGAACGCTGTGGAACACCGAATTCAACTGTAGTATGTGTGTTTTTAGAGCTCTGAAGAAGCACAGTGCCAGTGTGTGTGCTCTGTTGAAGAGACAGGTGTTCTCCTTCAGGAAAGACTCTGCTGAACTCCTCTCTGCTCTGCTGGACTTCCTACGACAGATCCTCAACACTGACCCTCTGGTAAAACCCCAAACAAGTCCATATCAACATTATCAACCCTTATTAACATGATCAACCATTATCCAGTCAACCATTATCAGCCGATGCTGATATGAAGGCCGATCCGCCCGTATATCATTAATCATTCTATCATACTCTCTCTTCTCATACCCAGGGTTGCTGTGGGGAGGAGAGTGGAGGGGAAGAGTCCGTGCTGGTCCCGCCCCCAAGGTCTGTGGCTCTGACTGGCTCAGAGATGAAGGCTCTGCTACAGTGGGAGGAGACTGACACACACCCTCTAAACACACTAGAGAAACACATCACGGTACACACCCACACACTTTGTGCATAGTAATGATTATAAATGCAAGTACAGATCTCTGAACGGAAGCAGTAGCAGTAACTGTCATGTGTGTAGAAGCTCTGCAAGGAGGAGGATTCATTGGAGACCCTGTTGGAGAATGTGATTGGTCTACGACAGACGCTGGAAACCACTATGGATGCATCTTCTCCCCCTGAGACGGAGCCCACTCTACCCAACCCTGACACGCTATTGGCCCAGTTCAACCACAGGTACCGCCCACTGACACTGTTGGCCCAATAGATACCGTTAAAGCTGCAATATGTAACTTTTTGGGTGACCTGACCAAATTCACATAGAAATGTTAGTTATAGATCTGTCATTCTCATTGAACGCAAGTCAAAGAAGCGGTAGATATGTTATATGTGCGCTATTCCTATGCTTCCCATTCTTAAATTTTGTTATTTTACTTTCGGTTCTGTACACCAGCTTCAAACAGCAGAAACAGTTATGGAATATATATTTCACTGCGGTTTAGATGCTACATTGATTCTCTACACTATACTTGCCTGTTTTGTCACATAATCTGAAATTAGGCGAACTATTAGAATTTTAGCAACCAGGAAATGGCGGAGCGATTTCTGCATAGTGCACCTTTAACAATCTGGCTCGTCTTGAATGCCCCACTGACATGCTATGGACCCAGTTTTGACCCCAAACTGTGTGTGTCCTGTTCTGACTGTCTGTGTGTGTTCTCTCCTGTAGGACAGTGTTTGTGTTGTCGGAGGTGTTGGATGAGCAGCTGAAGGCTCTGTGGTTCTCCCCCTTCCACACTGACGACATGGAGGCAGAACTAGACATGGTGAGACACCTGTGTGTTGTTTGAATGTGTGTGTGTCTCCCTGTCTGTGTGTGTTTGTGTGTGTGTGTGCGTGCGTAACCTCTCTGACTCTGTCCCTAGGTGAAGGTGGACCTGCTAGGCCTGGCCCAGGAGTGTTGTCCAGAGTTGGACCTGAAGTCGGAGCTAGAACGCTCCTTCCTGTCTGAGCCCTTGTCTCCCAGTCACACCAAAACTAACAAGGGCTTCAGGCTGGGCAAGCACAAACACGAGACCTTCATCACCAGGTACACACACACACACACACACACAATTTTATCACCTTTAGGTACATATAACCATGTGATTGTATGTGACCCACATATTAACAAAGATGCCTGTGTCGTCCTCTTCCTCACTCCAGTGGTAAGTCAGACTACATCGAGCCAGCTAAGAGAGCCCACATGATGGCTGCTCCTCGCGGTCGGGGCAGGGGGGGCTTCGGGGGACAGCCCTGTCGCCCCCACGACATCTTCCGCCAGCGCAAACAGAACACCTCGCGCCCTCCCAGCATGCACGTGGATGACTTTGTGGCGGCAGAGTTTAAAGACGTTGGGACTCCCCTGGGCCTGTTGCCCCCCAAGCGACCCCCTAAGAGCTCCCCCAAACCCCCCACCAGAGGCCTGTTCACTGGGAACAGAGGGAGGGCTGCCTTCCACAGCCAGCAGACACGCTTTTTCACCCCACCGCAGCCTAAAGGAGTGCTGCTGTCTGGTATGTAGACACACACACATCGCTGTAAACTAACAAGCGGGGGTCTGTTGTCTTTTGAAGAACCTTTGACTAACATGTCTTCCCGTCCCTTCTAGGTAACTATAATGCCCGTCGTGAGGGTGGGCGAGGTGGCTCGTCGTGGAGTGGTCCGTTGCCACCGGTTACCCACAGAGGAACATATAGTGATGCCAGGGGCGGGCAGAGCAACTTCACACGCGGCCCCCTGCCCTCACGACAGCAGCCTGCAGGTACACACACACACATGCTTGTTTGCACACGTACATACTGTATGCACCACACACACACATATTCAGAGAACAACATGCATACAAGATAATACTTTCATGCACAATTACTGATGGTCACCCTTGTTCTTCTCCCTCCCTCCTGCCACTCTCTCTCTCTCTTTCTCTCTCTTCCAGGTGCGTATCGCCTGGCTCCGCGGGACCGCGCCCCTCGAGGTCGTGGGGGTACAGGCCTGTCGTGGCTGAGTCAGGGAGGAGGAGGAGGAGGAGGGGGAGGGGGTCTCAGGGGGGGAAGTTTAGCGGTGGGGGAGGCAGCGGAGGGGGGAGGGGACGACACGTTCGCTCCTTCACCAGGTAAACAAACCTGGCCAATGACTGCAGCCCATCACGGCTCTTAACGGACCAATCAGGATAATGAGTACATCATCTCCATGGAAACGTGTCCTCTGTGGGATTCTATTGATGATGATGTGTGGAACTTTGTGTTGATCTTGTTGTGTTATGTTTTTGTTCTTTTACATTGTTGTTCAGACTCAATAAAGTTATGTGATTGAGAGCGCTGTCTGGAGTAGTGTGTTAATGTTCCTCACTGTGGTATGTTAGTGTATGGATGGATGGATGGTTGGATTGACAGAAGGATCGATGCATGGGGTATATACAATGTAAGAATTTAGTGATAAGCTGTATATAATTACAATCCATTGGAGTAGATGGAGTAAGACTATCGTACCTTAAGAGGACCAGAGATCAGAGGTGGTTCATCAGACTTTATTTAGGATCTCAGCAGGTTGGTTTCCTCTGAGTTTAAGCAATGTCACAGGTATCTGCCAATCATCAAGGGTGCGTTCAGGAGATGCCACATCGGACAAAATGTTTTCAAACGGTTAAATTAAGAAGGAATTGAGGATATGGTAGTCAATGCATTTTCTCTCATTTGTACCTAATGCACATTACCCAGTGCCCAAAAGTAACATTAGGAATGGCCCCTAAACCCTGTGCAACCTCCCTCAGATGACGGTGACCTCTCTGCTCCTCTTGATGCAGTCGAGGGTGATGCTGCGGGGGCCGGCCTTATGTGACCCCTCCCCTGGCTGTGGGGCGGTAGGCGGGAATAAGGCTGGAGTGGGCGAGGCCGAGGGAAGTGATTGGGTAGAGGCATGTGTTGGCCCCTCCCTCAGCAGGCCCCTGGTTGGGTGTTCTACTAGATTCTGGCTCCTAATTGGCCCGTCTTCTTGATGCAGTCCCCTGATTGGCTCGTCTCTGTTCCACTGGCCCCTGCATGGCTGCAGGCTCCGTAGCATCTCCAGTAGCTCCCTCTTCTCTAGCTCCGCTTCTGCCAGCTCCTGTCTCCGCAGGCGCTCCGCCCCCAAGAGAGCCCGCACATCACACACCACCCTCGACAGCTGGCCCTACACACACACACAGGGATGTGTCATAACACACACACACACACACATAAATCCATATAGGTATTACATATTATAAGTGTGTGTGTGTGTCACCTTGAGGTCCTCCACCTCGCTCTTCAGCAGAGACTCTTTCTGCACCATGTGTCTCCTCTGAGAGTCCAGCCTCGACTCCATCTCACACCTCACCTCCTCCACCTTACCCAACATCTCTGCCCTGCGACACACACAAACACACACGTGTGTCACAATAAATCACAATATCCATTGTATAAAAGCAATGATGATAACACCCTTGAGGCTCTAGAATATTGTAAATATTGGCACGACGCGGCTACAACAGCCTAATATACAGTATCTCAATCCATCACCTCAAATACACACAAACCTGAGCAGCTCCAATTCTGTTCGTAGCTCCGCAACACAGTTGTGCTGTGATTGGTCTACAGAGAGAAGGGTATGGCCACAGCCACTAGGACACGCCCTGCTGCGGAACTCACACTCCGACAAGTGAGACTCTAGACCCCTCCTCTCCACCTGCACCGGACAACCTGGGGAGGGGGAGAGGGGAAAGAGAAGAGTTAAGGAGAGGGACACAGAAAGTAACAGAAAGATGAAGTAAGAGAGCAACACTTGAGACCTACTGAAAGTCTCTCACTGTCTTTCTCACCCCCACTCCACCTTCCTCTCCCCCACTCTGCCTTCCTCTCCCCACTCCACCTTCCTCTCCCCCACTCCACCTTCCTCTCCCCCACTCCACCTTCCTCTCCCCCACTCTGCCTTCCTCTCCCCACTCCACCTTCCTCTCCCCACTCCACCTTCCTTTAACCCACTCCACCTTCCTCTCCCCCACTCCACTTCATTGCACGGCACTCAAGCACTCCCCCACTCAGAGATGCAGTAGCAAAAGGTCAAAGGAAGATTGAAGGATAATAACTTTTTATGTTTTTAATTGTGCAAATAAATTAAACACAATCCAATCCAATACCACACAGACACACACACTCTGATACCTACCGCACTGGTAACATATGTAGTCTCCACCTGCCAACAACAGGTCACAGACACACATGAGAGTTCACCTAATACCAACTCACACATCCCCCCCATCCCTCCGTTGCATTGGCGCTCATCCCCTGGGGGATGTTGCTCATAAAAAATGGAGGTGGGATCCCTCCCTGAGTAGTTGGATGTTTCCTCTATACAGATCTAGGGTATTTTATTATTCACCCATAATCGTAAAGGTTAGGATTCGGTTAGGGTAAGATGATCCTAGATCTGTGCCTAAGAGCAACTGCTACCTGGAGCTGAGGTCATTGTTCATCCCAGGTGGGCTCTGTATGATGTCACCATGACAACTGGTCTACCACCTGCTCCCCTCACACAGGTGTCATATCACTTCTGCTCCGTCTCAACTAAACACACTTCCATGTAGTATACTATACATTTCTCTAATACACTTACACACACTTACATACACTGACACGTTCATATTCACCCACACACTCTCTGTATTGTAATACACTGTAATCAGTGGAGGCTGCTGAGGGGAGGACGGCTCATAGTAATGGCTGGAATGGAGTCAATGGAACGGTATCAACCACATGGAAACCACATGTTTGATCCCATTCCATTGAATCCATTCCAGGCATTATTATGAGCCGTCCTCCCCTCAGCAGCCTGTAGTACCTGTGTAGGAGCAGGGCATGAGGGCGAATGGACACTCATCCTCGTGTGTGTGAAGTGTCTCCAGGCAGCAGACAGCATCACAGCCCTGGCCAGAGTTAACACAACGGATCTGGAGCCTAGACAGGTCATTACGCATGTACCTAACCCAGACCAGACCAGAGAGTGATTGTTAGAATAACCATATTGTGTGTGTGTGTGTGTGTGTGTGTGTGTGAGAGTGTTTCTGTGTGTGTGTGTACCTGTGTAGTGGTCTCAGAGTGCTGATGTCCAGTGGAAGTCTGTCCTCAGGGCAGGAGTGGTGGTGTATGAGCCAGGAGCTGATGCAGGCAGCGCAGTAGGCATGTTCACAAGGGGCCTGGAGGGGGCGCTCCAACACATCCCGACACACACAGCACAGAAGTCCCTCGTTCACGTACCCCACAAACCTCTCCAGGTCATAACCCATCCTACAGCACACACAGACATACACATATACGTGCAGAGCACATAATGAGGCCACACAGTGCAAAAACAGTCAAACACTCATACAGCAGTGTTGTTAACTTCCTCCTCAATGTTCCTGGTTTTCTCAGTCTTTGAGCCCCTATGACTCTCCATTCTACTGGCATTCTATTTTACAGAATACACTGACCCTTACCTGAGACTGACAGACTCTCCTCTCCTCCCTCAGTCCTTTCTTCCTCTTTGGACTTGTCTCCTTCTTCTCTCCACCTCTTCTTCTCCCCACCTCTTCTTCTCTCTCCACCTCTTCTTCTCTCTCCACCTCTTCTTCTCTCCACCTCTTCTTCGCTCTCTTGTCTCTGTAGTTTACCCCATGTGAGGGTTTCTTCTGGCCCCTCCTCTATTTGCTCTCTCAGGGCCACGTCTCTGTGGTGATGTCTCCCTAGCAACAGGGATCCTCTGCCCATGCAGCCAGCTGCTGGACGAGACCACAGACAGACAGAGTTACACACACACACGTTAAGAGCAAGTGATGAAAGGAAGACTAGGCCTACTGTAAGTAATCCTGATTTATCTATTTGTTTTATTCAGACATTTTGGCAGGATAAATCCCTTGGGATGAATCATTGTGTTCTACAGGGGGTCCTGATGAAGCAACACATTACAAAGGCAGTTCCATTCAAACAGGAACATGGTGTATCTACAAACATGTTCTCTCCCTCATTCACCCTGTCCCTTTCCCTCTCTGTCTGTGTCTGTGGATGTGGGATTATCATGGATTACGCTCTTCTCTGATTGGATTACAGACTCCATGACAACATCCCCAATGCACTCTCACCCCACAGCAGAAATCAAAAAGCAACCCCAGAAAGAGAGAGAGAGAGAGAGGACGAGAGAGAGAGAGTGAGTGAGAGATAGAGAGAGAGCGAGAGAGAGAGAGAGAGAGAGAGAGAAAAGAGAGAAAAGAGAGAGAGAGAGAGAGAGAGAGAGAGGGAGAGAGAGAGAAAAGAAGGTTGACGACATCCGATCCTCGTTTGTTAAGTCACATGACACCGCTGGTCCTGCTCACACTGCCCTACCCTATGCTTTGACTTCTTTCTCCCCTCTATCTCCAGATGAAATCTTGCGACTTGTGACGGCCGGCTGCCCAACAACCTGCCCGCTTGACCCTATCCCCTCCTCTCTTCTCCAGACCATTTCCGGAGACCTTCTCCCTTACCTCACCTCGCTCATCAACTCATCCTTGACCGCTGGCTATGTCCCTTCCGTCTTCAAGAGATTGAGAGTTGCACCCCTTCTCAAAAAACCTACACTCGATCCCTCCGATGTCAACAACTACAGACCAGTATCCCTTCTTTCTTTTCTCTCCAAAACTCTTGAGCGTGCCGTCTTTAGCCAACTCTCTTGCTATCTCTCTCAGAATGACCTTCTTGATCCAAACCAGTCAGGTTTCAAGACTGGTCATTCAACTGAGACTGCTCTTCTCTGTGTCACGGAGGCTCTCCGCACTGCTAAAGCTAACTCTCTCTCCTCTGCTCTCGTCCTTCTAGACCTATCTGCTGCCTTTGATACTGTGAACCATCAGATCCTCCTCTCCACCCTCTCCGAGTTGGGCATCTCCGGCGCGGCTCACTCTTGGATTGCGTCCTACCTGACAGGTCGCTCCTACCAGGTGGCGTGGCGAGAATCTGTCTCCGCACCACGTGCTCTCACCACTGGTGTCCCCCAGGGCTCAGTTCTAGGCCCTCTCCTATTCTCGCTATACACTTGGCTCTGTCATATCTTCACATGGTCTCTCCTATCATTGCTACGCAGACGACACACAATTAATCTTCTCCTTTCCCCCTACTGATAACCAGGTGGCGAATCGCATCTCTGCATGTCTGGCAGACATATCAGTGTGGATGACGGATCACCACCTCAAACTGAACCTCGGCAAAACGGAGCTGCTCTTCCTCCCGGGGAAGGACTGCCCGTTCCATGATCTCACCATCACGGTTGACAACTCCGTTGTGTCCTCCTCCCAGAGTGCAAAGAGCCTTGGCGTGACCCTGGACAACACCCTGTCGTTCTCCGCTAACATCAAGGCGGTGACCCGATCCTGTAGGTTCATCAAATCAAATCAAATTTTATTGGCCACATGCGCCGAATACAACAGGTGCAGACATTACAGTGAAATGCTTACTTACTGTCCTTAACCAACAGTGCATTTATTTTTAATTAAAAAAGTAGAATAAAACAACAACAAAAGTGTTGAGAAAAAAAGAGCAGAAGTAAAATAAAATAACAGTAGGGAGGCTATTACATTTACATTTTAGTCATTTAGCAGACGCTCTTATCCAGAGCGACTTATGTGTACATGTGGGTAGAGTTAAAGTGACTATGCAGTTAGAGGGCTGTAAAACGGCAGCCATCTTCTCCGGCGCCATTCTTCATGCTCTACAATATTCGCAGAGTACGACCCTGCCTTACACAGGAAGCGGCACAGGTCCTAATCCAGGCACTTGTCATCTCCCGTCTGGATTACTGCAACTCGCTGTTGGCTGGGCTCCCTGCCTGTGCCATTAAACCCATACAACTCATCCAGAACGCCGCAGCCCGTCTGGTGTTCAACCTTCCCAAGTACTCTCACGTCACCCCGCTCCTCCGCACACTCCACTGGCTTCCAGTTGAAGCTCGCATCTGCTACAAGACCATGGTGCTTGCCTACGGAGCTGTGAGGGGAACGGCACCTCCGTACCTTCAGGCTCTGATCAGTCCCTACACCCAAACAAGGGCATTGCGTTCATCCACCTCTGGCCTGCTGGCCCCCCTACCTCTGCGGAAGCACAGTTCCCGCTCAGCCCAGTCAAAACTGTTCGCTGCTCTGGTACCCCAATGGTGGAACAAGCTCCCTCACGACGCCAGGACAGCGGAGTCACTCACCACCTTCCGGAGACACTTGAAACCCCACCTCTTTAAGGAATACCTGGGATAGGATAAGGTAATCCCCCCCCCCCAAAAAAAAATAAATAATATATATTGTAAAGTGGTTGTCACACTGGCTATCATAAGGTGAATGCACCCATTTGTAAGCCGCTCTGGATAAGAGCGTCTGCTAAATGACGAAAATGTAAAACATTTAAATGTAAAAGAGAGAGAGAGAGAGAGAGAGAGAGAGAGAGAGAGAGAGAGAGAGAGAGAGCGAGAGAGAGAGAGAGAGAGAGAGAGGGAGATGTTAATCAAATAGGCAATAAACAAAGAGATATCATAGAGTTATGATGATGAAATTGCCACCACATGTCAGCAACTCTGTAGGATATAAAGCCTAGCCCTCTAGCCTACAGCCCACTACTCCTACCATGACCATCGACTATTGCTGCACTAAGACTATGTGGTGTCAATATGCATTTTTCATATCATGCATTATGATAACATGCTAAATATAAACTCTAGTGTAACTCCAAAGCAGTTTATGCTTTGGGGTTTATGTAAAAGTTATGTATTCTGTGATGTTGAATATCAATTCTGCATTTGACATATTCCATATAATCACATGCAGCAACCTTCTGACCAGTAGCTGCTGTTTACAGTATGTCTGTGGGGTTTTGCAGAAATGCTTGCCAGGATGTAATTTACTTGACCACTTATTCGATTTTTATTTTCTAGAGTAGTTTACTTACCACCAGTGCTCAGTCCATGACAGATGACATCTCATTCGGAATCATCATTTCATTCTGCAAACTCCTTCAAATTGAAGTGATATATTATAACACAAATATCCATGCAATCTCCACGATAAATTAGTCGGAATGGCCAACTGTAGGCCTACTGTAGGGCAGGCAGGCTATTATATCGTAAATAGTTGATCAACTGGCGAAAATCGGATTATTTCGAAGGCAAAATGTACACTGGTTTTACCTCTACCGGCACGACACTGGTTGACAGCGGCAGATTGTGTCTTTAATCGCAAAACGATCGAACTAGAGCAAACACCACCGTTTGGGGGCGCGGGAGTAGAAAACGAGTGCACTCACTATTACTGGACTCCGCCCCTCTACGTAACACGCAGCCAATAGCAGTTTACGCCACTTTAGCGGGAGAATTCATTTATCGCTGAAGAGTTGTGCGTTAATGTTTTCTTGTAACTAACTGTAAAGCAGAGGCTTGCTTGACTAGACAGGTATTTATGAAACACACTATTATGCCTTATGTTATCTTTCCAACATGTTGTCACAAGCTAGTTGGTTGTTATAGATGATGAGAAGAACATTTTGACATTTTTAAGGCTTCAACAGTTAACGTTCTTACAGCACTGTCCGAGCAGCTGCACTAATTTGGGCTAACTAGCTACACTAACGTTAGCTAACAGCTAACATAATCTATATATCTGAACCAACAATGATGTGTATAAACCCATCATTGGTATAAACCCATACATCTCATTGATCTGAACTAACTATTCAAAGGCCATGTACACTGTATGGAAGTAATATATAGCTATGCTATGTAAATATGTTATCTAACTAGCTGCTAGCTGTCTTTTACTAATCAGCTACTAACTAGAACATTGATTACCTAGTTAGCTAGCTGAATAAGGTGTTACAGAAGGGAACAAAAGCCTGTACACCCAGGACCACTAGTTCTCCAGGAGGCTCAGGGTTGACCACCCCTACTCATAAGCCCTCTTATAGATTTACATTTTAGTCATTTAGCAGACGCTCTTATCCAGAGCGACTTACAGTTAGTGAGTGCATACATTTTCATACTGGCCCCGCCGTGGGAAACGAACCCACAACCCTGGCGTTGCAAGCGCCATGCTCTACCAACTGAGCTACACAGGGGGTCAGTTTAATGTGAAATGATTTGATAAATTATTACAAACACACTCTCACACCCTCACTCAACTCACAGACAGGATGCGTCGCTCGGGGGCCCCCAGCCAGCTCTTTGGTAACATGGCGAAGAAGCCCCGCTTCGTCCCTCCTGAAGCCTCACTGGCAGGTCCTCCTGATATCCCTGTGGGTACCCTGCCTGAACTGGAGCCTCTGGCCCCTAAACTCGCCCTGGGGAACGTGCTCAACAAGGTAAACACACGGTCCACTTCACTGTCATCCTAAGCCACAAATGTGACCCCTATTTCTATTGTAGTAATGAAGTAACTAAGCATAGGAGTCATATTGGAGCTACTTCTCTCCCTAGCCGATATGAGTAAGACTTTTAAACAGGTAAAAATTCACAAGGCCGCAGGGCCAGACGGATTACCAGGACGCATACTCAGAGCATGCGCAGACCAGCTGGCAAGTGTCTTCACTGACATTTTCAACCTCTCCCTGACCCAGTCTGTAATACCTACATGTTTCAAGCAGACTACCATAGTGCCTGTGCCCAAGAACGCCAAGGTAACCTGTCTGAATGACTATCGCCACATAGCATCTGTAGCAATGAAATGCTTTGAAAGGCTGGTCATGGCTCACATCAACACCATCATCCCAGACACCCTGGACCCACTCCAATTCGCGTACCTCCTCAACAGATCCACAGATTACGCAATCTTTATTACGTTCCACACTAAATTAACACCTATATGAGAACGCTGTTCATTGACTACAGCTCAGCGTTCAACACCATAGTGCCCTCCAAATTCACCACTAAGGGAAGGACCCTGGGACTTAACACCTCCCTCTGCAACTGGATCCCTCAGGGGTGTGTGCTTAGTCCCCTCCTGTACTCCCTGTTCACCCACGACTGCGTGGCCAAGCACGACCCCAACACCATCATTAAGTTTGCTGACAATATAACTGCGGTATGCCTGATCACCGATGACGATTAGACAGCCTATAGGGAGGAGGTCAGAGACAACAACCTCTCCTCAACGTCAGCAAGACAAAGGAGCTGATTGTGGACTACAGGAAATGGAGGGCCGAGCACGCTCCCATTCACATCGACAGGGCTGTAGTGGAGCGTACATTACTGGGGCCGAGCTCCCTGCCATCCAGGACCTCTATGCCAGGCTGTGTCAGAGGAAGGCCCTAAAAATGTTCAGACTCCAGCCACCCAAGTCATCGACAGTTCTCTCTGCTACCGCACGGCAAACGGTACCAATGCACCAACAGGACCCTGAACAGCTTCTACCCCCAAGCCATAAGACTGCTAAATAGTTAGTTAAAACATTTTTTTTAAATAGTTAACATTTACAGTTGAGTAATTTAGCAGACGCTCTTATCCAGAGTGACTTAGTTAGTGCATTCATTTTAAGATAGCTAGGTGGAGCAGCCACATCACAGTCATAGTAAGTACATTTTTCCTCAATAAAGTAGCTATCAGTAAAGTCAGAGCTAGTAAGGGGGGGGGAGGGGTCAAGTGCGAGTGTTAGTTCATGAAAGGCTTTTTAAAAAAATCTATTTTTTTGATTAACCAAATAGCTACCCAGATTATCTGCATTTACCCTTTTTTCACTTACCTTTTTGACTCATCACATACGGTGCTGCTACTGTTTACTATCTGTCACTTTATTCCTAGTTATATGTACATATCTACCTCAATTACCTCATACCCCTGCACATCGACTCCGTACAAGTACCCCTTGTATATAGCCAAGTTATCGTTGCTCATTGTATATCTATTAGTACTTTTATTGTTTCGTGTTTTACTTTTCTATTATTTCTCTATCTCTCTGCATTGTTGGGAAGGGCCCGTAAGTAAGCATTTCACTGTTAGTCTATACCTGTTGTTTACGACGCATGTGACAAATAGCATTTGATTTGATTTCACTCATACTGCGATGTGTGGGCCCTCTCAGACCTATGTAACAGTTCTCCTTCCTTGCAGGTCCAGAGGAGCATCTCAGCCCCTGCACTGCCCCTTGCCCTGCCTGTGAAGGCCTTCGGCCTGGCTAAGAGCAAGCCCCAGGCATGTCCAGAGCTCTAGCCAGGGTGCTGGGTGCAGCAGACAGTAAGAAGAACGGGTCAGAGCCTGAAGACCCTTCCTTTACAGAGCAGAACACTGGAGACCCAGCTGGTGAGTCGGACATTGGAGGATGGGGGGTGGGGTGGGTTGTGGTGGTGGCACAGTAAACGTTGCTATTGAAACCAGGTATTCCTGGTGTAGATCTACTGAATTTTAATGTGGAGCAATACTTCTGTTAAGCTTTGGATTTACTCTCTGTATGTCAAAAGCAGAAATCCTGGTGATGAACATCACTAATCATAAAAGCAACAATGCAACTACTAACCAATGATGATGGTAAGAATAGTCAGGAACATTTGGTGTGCTATAAGCGAAATGCAGTATGTTTACAATATGTAGCATATATTGTTTACATTTCACTGCTGTTGCTAAAGACGTTCTGAAACATTGTTTGTGAGATGCTGGGATTTTGTGTAGCTTAACGATTGAGTCTAAGACCTAAAAAGGTGAGGCACGGGTAAACTGTATTTTGCCTAATAAAATAGTGTTCTTTTTTATTTAACCAGGCAAGTTAAATAGTGATATTTTTTTATTTAACCAGTAAAGTCAATTAAGAACACATTCTCATTTACAATGACGGCCTAGCAAGAGGCATAAAGGCCAAAGTGTCCAGTTTGAGTGTGTTTTGCATCTCGTTCCAGTCGCTAGCTGCAGAGAACTGAAAAGTGGAGCGGACCAGGGATTTGTGTGCTTTGGGGACCTTTAACAGAATGTGACTGGCAGAACAGGTGTTGTATGTGGAGGATGAGGGTTGCAGTAGGTATCTCATATAGGGGGGAGTGAGGCCTAAGAGTGTTTTATAAATAAGCATCAACCAGTGGGTCTTGCGACGGATATACAGAGACGGCCAGTTTAGAGTGCAGTGATGTGTCCTATAAGGAGCATTGGTGGCAAATCTGAAGGCGACTGGTAAAGAACACCTAGCTGCTCGAGAGCACCCTTGCCTGCCGATCTATACATTTCGTCTCTGTAATCTAGCATGGGTAGAATGGTAATCTGAACCAGGGTTAGTTTGGCAGCTGGGGGGAAAGATGAGCGATTACGATAGAGGAAACCAAGTCTAGATTTAACCTTTGGGTCTGAAAGTACAACACTTATTTCCAATTTGATGGAAAAGTAACTACGACCTCCGATGAGACATCAAACATGCAAAAGGACAATATAGGAGGAAGGTGGAATCCTATTACACCAGCTCCGACGCTCGTCGTACTGTAGGTGGCAGAGCTTGCAGACAATAACGGATTACAAAGGCAAACCCAGCCATGAGTTGCCCAGTGATGCAGAACTCCCAAACCAGCTAAATGCCTTTTCTGCTGGCTTCGGGGAATATAACACTGTGCCTTGCGTGAAAGCCCCTGTTTTTCTGGATGACTGTGTAATCTCGCTCTCTGTGGCCGATGTGAGCAAAACGTTTAAACAGGTTAACAATCACAAGGCCGCCGGGCCAGACGGAATACCAGGGCGTGTTCTCAAAGCATGCACAGACCAGCTGGCAAGTGTTTTAACAGACATTTTCAATCTCTCCTTGTCCCAGTCTGTAACCCCAACATGTTTCAAGCTGACCACCATTGTCCCTGTTCCCAAGAGCTCCAAGGTAACCTGCCTAAATGACTATCGCCCTGTAGCACTCACATCTGTAATTATGAAGTACAAGGCTGGTCATGACACACATCAACACCATCATCCCAGACACCCTAAACCCACTCCAATTCGCATACCACCCCAACAGATCCACAGATGACGCAATCTCAATTGCACTTCACACTGCCCTCTTCCACCTGGACAAGAGGGGAAATAACTCTGTGACAATGCTGTTCATAGACTACAGCTCAGTGTTAAACACCATAGTCCCCTCCAAGCTCATCACCAAGCTAGGGACCCTGTGAATGAACCCCACCCTCTGCAACTGGAATCCTGGACTTCCTGACAGGCCGGCCCCAGGTGGTGACACATCCGCCACTCTGACCCTCAACACGGGGGCCACTCAGCGGTGTGTGCTTAGTCCCCTCATCCCTGTTCACCCACGACTGCATGGCCACGCATGATTCCAACACCATCATCAAGTTTGCTGACGACACGACAGTGGTAGGCCTGATCACCGACGGTGATGAGTCAGCCTATAGAGAAAAGGTCAGAGACTTAGCAGTGTGGTGCCAGGACAACAACCTCTCCCTCAACGTCAGTAAGACCAAGGAGCTGATCGTTGACTATAGGAGAAAGAGGGGAGAGCACGCCCCTATCCGCATCGACAGGGCTGTTGTGGAGCGGGTCGAGAGCTTCAAGTTCCACATCACTAAGGACTTAACATGGTCCACACACACCCGCACAGTCGTGAAAAGGGAACGGCAGCGCATCTTCTGAAAAGATTTGTCATGGGCCCTCGGATCCTCAAAGTTCTACAGCTGCACTATTGAGAGCATCTTGACTGGCTGCATCACCGCTTGGTATGGCAAATGCACTGCCCTTGACCGTAAAGCGCTACAGAGGGTGGTGCGGCAGTCCAGTGCATCACTGGGGCTGAGCTCCCTGCCATTCAGGACCTCTATACCAGGCGGTATCAGAGGAAGGCCCGAAAAATTGCCAAAGACTCCAGCCACCCAAGCCATAGACCGTTCACTCTGCTACCGTCCGGCAAACGGGACCGGAGCATCGGCTCTCCGACCAACCGGCTCAGTTAAAAAGCCGTTAATTTGTGGCACCCTGATGAAGGCTTTAGCAGATAGGCGTTGGTGTATTTTATTTGACTACAAATGAAAGGCATTTTAAGTGCCGGGACTTAGATTTTTTTATGCCACTTAGCACCTATTTGTGGTTATAATTTTTCCTTTTTGCTTTTCCAATACAAACATGATAGAATAATATGAAATCAAGAGAATGTATATGCTGCTTTAGAAAGGAAATGCAGCAAACCAATATCGCCTTTCTAAGGTGAGTGACACTTAATCTGTCCATTTAGGACTGGCAGGGATTAATTTTATCCTTGGGCTTCAGTGAAACAAACACACACTGAATGAAGCCTGGCCAACTGTAACAAGCCTATGTTTTAATGACAGCAGTTCCAGCATTATGCAAATGAGCGTGGGTAGTGCAGCGGCAGCGCGAGGCAGATTAGAGCTGTGCCTGGGATCAGTGAGCACACGCGCTCTGTCCCCCTCCCTCCCTCTCAGAGCAACTAGTGCCTCTGTCTCAGTGTCTCCTCTCCTTTCCCCGCTTTTCCTCTCTCTTTGCCTTTTCACTAGTTTCCCAGTTTTTCCATTCTGTTGTTCCCGTCGGCGGATGATTCGTGTGTTTCTCCTTGAGACGCGGTTCTGATTTCCTTTGTGTAAAATAAAATCGCGCATTTGCACGGACTCGCGCAGCGCACACACTGCTCCGGTTAAACCAGCGCCGTTTCCTCATCTCTAGTTAAACGGAAATAAGAATAAAGAACATGCATCTTTACAATTTCATTGGTATTTCCCCATGTAAGCACACACATTCCCACCGTATGTTAGTATTTAGTGTATTGCAGTTAGAACTAGCGCTGTTTTTAGGTTTAGAGAGACCGGGTTGTAAGTAGGTCGGGCTGGGTTTAAGCGGCTTTAGCCTGCGTCAGCCTAAGCTGGGAGGAATTCACCCAAAGCCCTCCGCGGTAGGCGGGGGCCTAAACGAGGCTGGCCTAGTTAAGCCTGATTCTTATTGTGTGCCTGTGTGTGTTGTATAACACAGAGCAGAGAAGACCTTGGATGAGCGAGAGTACATGCGTTAGACTGTGTTTGATTGAGAATCCATAAAAGGGGAGGAAGAAGAGGGACAAGGAAGAGAGGAGAGAGTGAGTGAGTGAGAGTTAAACCAGTATTAGCCTGAGCCTCGTCACGGAGCACTGAGTGAAGGAACAGAAAGAAAAGGGAGGTAGAGAACCAGACCAAATGTAAAAAGGAGAGGAAAATAAGCAAGTTATTGAGTTGAGTTAGTGCTGGTGTCTAGGCTTGGCCTAGTCTGGTTCCCTGGGCTATGTTCTAAGATGGCGTCTGGGTCCGTCTACATGTCATCCAGTATGGTGGGTAAGGCTCGCTCCTCCAACTTCACCTTGTCTGAGAAGCTGGACCTGCTGAAGCTGGTCCGCCCACACATCCGCATCCTGGAGGAGCACACCAACAAGCACGCCGTCATCGTGGACAAGAACAAGTGCTGGGACACAGTGTCGGAGCAGTATAACGTCCTGGGGGGGGACAGGCCCCCCCGCACTGCCCAAGGCCTACGCACCCTCTACAAGAGGCTGAAGGAGTCGGCCAAACAGGAAGTGATGCAACGGAGACACTCCCAGCCAGAGTACAGAGGAAGTATATCTGAACCAACCAGGAGAGTGATGGAGATGATACCTCACCTGTTCCATCACGGAGCTATCCACCATGATAAAGACCCTGCGACGATGCACAGGTGAGACACACACACACACACACACACAGGATACTCTGTAGAGCTCTACTAATAACTACCAGAGGAGAGGGGAGGGGCTGCTCTGTAGAGCTCTACTAATAACTACCAGAGGAGAGGGGAGGGGCTGCTCTGTAGAGCTCTACCAGTAACTAGAGGAGAGGGGAGGGGCTGCTCTGTAGAGCTCTACTAATAGCTAGAGGAGAGGGGAGGGGCTGCTCTGTAGAGCTCTACCAGTAACTAGAGGAGAGGGGAGGGGCTGCTCTGTAGAGCTCTACTAGTAACTAGAGGAGAGGGGAGGGGCTGCTCTGTAGAGCTCTACCAGTAACTAGAGGAGAGGGGAGGGGCTGCTCTGTAGAGCTCTACTAGTAACTAGAGGAGAGGGGAGGGGCTGCTCTGTAGAGCTCTACTAGTAACTAGAGGTGAGGGGAGGGGCTGCTTTGTAGAGCTCTACTAATAGCTAGAGGAGAGGGGAGGGGCTGCTCTGTAGAGAAATACTAGTAGTTAGAGGAGAGGGGAGGGGCTGCTCTGTAGAGCTCTACTATTAACTAGAGGAGAGGGGAAGGGCTGCTCTGTAGAGAAATACTAGTAACTAGATTGGAGGGGAGGGGCTGCTCTGTAAAGAAATACTAGTAGCTAGAGGAGAGGGGAGGGGCTGCTCTGTAGAACTCTACTATTAACTAGAGGGGAGGGGCTGCTCTGTAGAGCTCTACTATTAACTAGAGGAGAGGGGAGGGGCTGCTCTGTAGAGCTCTACTAGTAACTAGATGGGAGGGGAGGGGCTGCTCTGTAGAGAAATACTAGTAGCTAGAGGGGAGGGGAGGGGCTGCTCTGTAGAACTCTACTATTAACTAGAGGGGAGGGGCTGCTCTGTAGAGCTCTACTATTAACTAGAGGAGAGGGGAGGGGCTGCTCTGTAGAGCTCTACTAGTAACTAGATGGGAGGGGAGGGGCTGCTCTGTAGAGAAATACTAGTAGCTAGAGGAGAGGGGAGGGGCTGCTCTGTAGAACTCTACTATTGACTAGAGGGGAGGGGCTGCTCTGTAGAGCTCTACTATTAACTAGAGGAGAGGGGAGGGGCTGCTCTGTAGAGCTCTACCAGTAACTAGAGGAGAGGGGAGGGGCTGCTCTGTAGAGCTCTACTAGTAACTAGAGGAGAGGGGAGGGGCTGCTCTGTAGAGCTCTACTAGTAACTAGAGGTGAGGGGAGGGGCTGCTTTGTAGAGCTCTACTAATAGCTAGAGGAGAGGGGAGGGGCTGCTCTGTAGAGAAATACTAGTAGTTAGAGGAGAGGGGAGGGGCTGCTCTGTAGAGCTCTACTATTAACTAGAGGAGAGGGGAGGGGCTGCTCTGTAGAGCTCTACTAGTAACTAGATGGGAGGGGAGGGGCTGCTCTGTAGAGAAATACTAGTAGCTAGAGGAGAGGGGAGGGGCTGCTCTGTAGAACTCTACTATTAACTAGAGGGGAGGGGCTGCTCTGTAGAGCTCTACTATTAACTAGAGGAGAGGGGAGGGGCTGCTCTGTAGAGCTCTACTAGTAACTAGATGGGAGGGGAGGGGCTGCTCTGTAGAGAAATACTAGTAGCTAGAGGGGAGGGGAGGGGCTGCTCTGTAGAACTCTACTATTAACTAGAGGGGAGGGGCTGCTCTGTAGAGCTCTACTATTAACTAGAGGAGAGGGGAGGGGCTGCTCTGTAGAGCTCTACTAGTAACTAGATGGGAGGGGAGGGGCTGCTCTGTAGAGAAATACTAGTAGCTAGAGGAGAGGGGAGGGGCTGCTCTGTAGAACTCTACTATTGACTAGAGGGGAGGGGCTGCTCTGTAGAGCTCTACTATTAACTAGAGGAGAGGGGAGGGGCTGCTCTGTAGAGCTCTACTAGTAACTAGAGGTGAGGGGAGGGGCTGCTTTGTAGAGCTCTACTAATAGCTAGAGGAGAGGGGAGGGGCTGCTCTGTAGAGAAATACTAGTAGTTAGAGGAGAGGGGAGGGGCTGCTCTGTAGAGCTCTACTATTAACTAGAGGAGAGGGGAGGGGCTGCTCTGTAGAGCTCTATTAGTAACTAGAGGAGAGGAGCTCTACTAGTAACTAGAGGAGAGGGGAGGGGCTGCTCTGTAGAGCTCTACCAGTAACTAGAGGAGAGGGGAGGGGCTGCTCTGTAGAGCTCTACTAGTAACTAGAGGAGAGGGGAGGGGCTGCTCTGTAGAGCTCTACTAGTAACTAGAGGTGAGGGGAGGGGCTGCTTTGTAGAGCTCTACTAATAGCTAGAGGAGAGGGGAGGGGCTGCTCTGTAGAGAAATACTAGTAGTTAGAGGAGAGGGGAGGGGCTGCTCTGTAGAGCTCTACTATTAACTAGAGGAGAGGGGAAGGGCTGCTCTGTAGAGCTCTACTAGTAACTAGATTGGAGGGGAGGGGCTGCTCTGTAAAGAAATACTAGTAGCTAGAGGAGAGGGGAGGGGCTGCTCTGTAGAACTCTACTATTAACTAGAGGGGAGGGGCTGCTCTGTAGAGCTCTACTATTAACTAGAGGAGAGGGGAGGGGCTGCTCTGTAGAGCTCTACTAGTAACTAGATGGGAGGGGAGGGGCTGCTCTGTAGAGAAATACTAGTAGCTAGAGGAGAGGGGAGGGGCTGCTCTGTAGAACTCTACTATTAACTAGAGGGGAGGGGCTGCTCTGTAGAGCTCTACTATTAACTAGAGGAGAGGGGAGGGGCTGCTCTGTAGAGCTCTACTAGTAACTAGATGGGAGGGGAGGGGCTGCTCTGTAGAGAAATACTAGTAGCTAGAGGAGAGGGGAGGGGCTGCTCTGTAGAACTCTACTATTGACTAGAGGGGAGGGGCTGCTCTGTAGAGCTCTACTATTAACTAGAGGAGAGGGGAGGGGCTGCTCTGTAGAGCTCTACTAGTAACTAGAGGTGAGGGGAGGGGCTGCTTTGTAGAGCTCTACTAATAGCTAGAGGAGAGGGGAGGGGCTGCTCTGTAGAGAAATACTAGTAGTTAGAGGAGAGGGGAGGGGCTGCTCTGTAGAGCTCTACTATTAACTAGAGGAGAGGGGAGGGGCTGCTCTGTAGAGCTCTATTAGTAACTAGATTGGAGGGGAGGGGCTGCTCTGTAAAGAAATACTAGTAGCTAGAGGAGAGGGGAGGGGCTGCTCTGTAGAACTCTACTATTAACTAGAGGGGAGGGGCTGCTCTGTAGAGCTCTACTATTAACTAGAGGAGAGGGGAGGGGCTGCTCTGTAGAGCTCTACTAGTAACTAGATGGGAGGGGAGGGGCTGCTCTGTAGAGAAATACTAGTAGCTAGAGGAGAGGGGAGGGGCTGCTCTGTAGAGCTCTACTATTAACTAGAGGAGAGGGGAGGGGCTGCTCTGTAGAGCTCTTCAAGAGAGGAGAGGGGAGGGGCTGCTAACGATCTCTGTTATTGGGCCTGCTCCAAAATCTTTGCCCATACTGGAAAAAAGCTACAGAGGAGCGTAACAGAGATCGAGAACTGGGCCAATCTGTGGCGGGTCAAGCTCAACCCCTGAAGACCCAGTGCATCCTCTTCTTCAGAAACCCCAAAAGAACCAAGCAAGTACACCTTAAACTGTATGGACAGGCACTCCAGACGACCCCAGCGGCTAAGTTCCTTGGGGTCACATTTCAAGAAAACATGTCCTGGAGTGCCCACATAGAGTGCCTGGAGAAGGAGTGGAAGCGACTGTACCACCTGAGGGTACTCTGCAGAAGAGGAGGAGGAGCCACATCAGGAACAGCTGTCAGAGTGTACCCGAGCTACATCCAGCCGCTCTGAGTATGATACACCAGCCTGGTGGAACGTGGGGAGGTCTCATGTCAGAAAACTTCAGACGATTCAACACCTTGCCATCAAGATGGCGTACAAACTCCCCACGTACACAAACACACACTACATACATGAAGTTTCAGGACTGAGAACAGTAGAGGAGAGGATGGTTGTTCTGGGGGCGGAGGTTTACACTCAGGTTGGTGGACAATCCATCTCTGAAACCCATGATTCGGGAGGAACAAAGCTGGCCCGCCCCCAGATTTTTATCCAGCACCCCCCTCTCCATGCTTCTTAAATATTGAGCATATGTACCACTTTTAAACCATTAGAGTGGATATCTGATGCATTCTATTGTGAATTTATCCACTCTTACTCCTGCTGAAAGGCACTGCAATAGAAGCAGACATTTTAACAACCTAAAAGCGGTTTTACTGCACTTTAAACCCATTAAAGTTTTTTTTAATCAAATCAAGTTGAGAAAATAAAGGAGAACACCCCCCCTTGCTCTGTAGAGCTCTACCAGTAACTAGAGGAGAGGGGAGGGGCTGCTCTGTAGAGCTCTACCAGTAACTAGAGGAGAGGGGCTGCTCTGTAGGGCTCTACCAGTAACTAGAGGAGAGGGGAGGGGCTGCTCTGTAGAGCTCTACCAGTAACTAGAGGAGAGGGGAGGGGCTGCTCTGTAGAGCTCTACCAGTAACTAGAGGAGAGGGGAGGGGCTGCTCTGTAGAGCTCTACTAGTAACTAGAGGAGAGGGGAGGGGCTGCTCTGTAGAGCTCTACCAGTAACTAGAGGAGAGGGGAGGGGCTGCTCTGTAGAGCTCTACCAGTAACTAGAGGAGAGGGGAGGGGCTGCTCTGTAGGGCTCTACCAGTAACTAGAGGAGAGGGGAGGGGCTGCTCTGTAGAGCTCTACCAGTAACTAGAGGAGAGGGGAGGGGCTGCTCTGTAGAGCTCTACCAGTAACGAGAGGGGAGGGGCTGCTCTGTAGGGCTCTACCAGTAACTAGAGGAGAGGGGAGGGGCTGCTCTGTAGAGCTCTACCAGTAACTAGAGGAGAGGGGAGGGGCTGCTCTGTAGAACTGTGCACAGAGCTAACCCCAATCAGTTTACACACAAACACAAACACACTCCTCATGCTCACACTCTTAACAAACGCACACGCTCATTCAGCCTAAAGTATTTGGTTCCGATTTAAAAACTGACATTTTATTTCAGCGATGATAATGCAATAACAACATTCTCCCTGCACAGCGAAAAGTGATATTGAATAGAAAAATGTTATCTTCTCTTCATAATGTAAATGCTGAACATGCTTTCTGGCTGTGCAGGAATGTTTTTTATTTTATTACCTCAGTCAACAAACAAAACACAATCCACATTGACAGATGTGGCAGACATAAATAACATAAGAAAATGAATGAAAAATAAAACAAAACAACATTTTCAGCAGCACTATCAGTAATCATGTTTGATATTTATTATATACACTGAGTTTACCAAACATTAGGAACGCCTTCCTAATATGTAGTTTCACATATACATACACACATTTCCTTAATCACCCCATTCACTCTGTCCAGTTTGAAATATAGTTGAGTAGTGGAGACCAGAGTCTATCAGACCCGGGCTGTCTCTTGCAGAGGTCATAGGTCAGCTTTTCAAGGGGCAGAAAGTCAACAATCTGGTCAATCCGCATTTTAAACGTAGGAGAGATATTAGAAGCCCACAGTAGGCGAATGCATTTTTTAGCAAAGTATGAGATGGTCATAAAAAGGGTTTTATGAAGAATGTTTTTGACAGTCCCGAAGACCGGTTGTGTTAAATACTCTCAATACCCCCTCCCACCTAATGCCACTTATAAATGTATGGCTGTAGTAATAAAGCTGTATTCTACTCCATATGCTCGCTGTAGGATGATGTATAATAATGATATAGTAATAAAACTGCATTATACTTTTTAACTCCAGGTTGATGTATAAGCATGAATCTGTAGGATGATGTATAAGGGTGACTACAGTAATAAAGCTGTATTCTACTGTTTATCTGCAGGATGATGTATAATGATATATAGTTATAAAGCTGTATTCTACTGTTTATCTGCAGGATGATGTATAAGCATGACTCTCCCATGGAGCAGCCTGGCAGCAGCTCCTCCCTCCCAGAATACCCATCAAACCCCATCACCCACCACCTGGACCAGGATGTGATCAGGCTGGACCAGGATGTGATCAGGCTGGACCAGGAAGTGGACGTGAAGCCTCCGCCAGACCTGACCATCCTCTCCACGCGTGTGGGGGCGGTGCTAGGAGGCGAGGGGGGGGAGGAGGAGGAAGATGAGGAGTTGGGCAGTGTCCATGGTTACGACGGCTCCCTCTCTCCCTGCCCATCCTCCGTCGCCCTGCCCCTCTCCACCTCACCCGTTCCCCTGCAACGTGACCTTTACCCTCATGACCACTACCCCCGCCGTGACCCTGACAGGCTCCACCCCCTTCAGCTGGCCGAGGAGCACGAGCAGGTCATGGCCAATCACAGAAAGATGGGCGTATACCTGGAGGAGAAGAGGGAGGGGCTAAAGAGGAAGCAGGAACTGGAAGAAGAGCTTATGAGAGCGAAAATCAAAGTAGAGAAACTGAGGGCAGCCAGGCTGAGACATGGACTACCACTGCCCCTATAAGACACACCCATGGCCTGGTAGGACTGACCATTTGGAACTCAGGAGGATGCTCTGAATTGTTAGTATTTCCGTGTTGAATGTTTAGCGTGTGGAAGAGGGGTTTGGCCTGAGAAATAATGTGTTTGAGTGAGGATTTAAAGGTCCAATGCAGCCTTCTTTATCTCAATCTCAAATCATTTCTGGGTAACAATTAAATACCTTACTGTGATTGTTTTCCATTAAAATGGTCAAAAAGAAACAAAAATAGATTCTTAGCAAAGTTCAATTTCTCAAGTAAGAATTTTGGTAGGACTGTCTGGAAGTGGTCTGAGTGGGGAGGGGAAAACTAAAAACTAGCTGTTATTGGCAGTGGTTTGGAACCCTCTTTCTTAATGGTCTATTAACAAATGTATGGTGATGTCATGAGGCAAGCCAAAACTCCATTCCTCCCAAACAGGCTGAAATTTCAGCCGATCTTTTCAAACAGCTCTTACACTAAAAAGGCATTATCATTTTCACTGTGGAAATATAAAACACAGGAAAATCTAGTTTTTGACTACACTGGGCCTTTAAACAGTTTATTTGCGTAAGAAATAGTGTGTTTGAGTGAGGATTTAAACAGTGTGTTTGTGTGAGGAAGAGTGTGTTTGCTTGAGGAATAGTGTCTGAGTGAGGATTTAAACAGTGTGTTTGTGTGAGGAAGAGTGTGTTTGCTTGAGGAATAGTGTCTTTGAGTGAGGATTTAAAGTGTGAGGAAGAATGCGTTTGTGTGAGGATTTAATAGTTGTTTGTGTGAGGAAGCGTGTGTTTGCTTGAGGAATAGTGTGTTTGCATGAGGAAGAGTATCTTGATGAGGATTTAAACAGTGTGTTGTGTGAGGAAGAGTGTGTTTGCTTGAGGAATAGTGTGTTTGAGTGAGGATTTAAACAGTGTGTTTGTGTGAGGAAGAGTGTGTTTGCTTGAGGAATAGTGTCTGAGTGAGGATTTAAAGTGTGAGGAAGAATGTGTTTGTGTGAGGATTTAAAGTGTGTGTGTGAGGAAGAATGTGTTTGTGTGAGGAAGAGTGTGTTTGCTTGAGGAATAGTGTGTTTGCATGAGGAAGAGTATCTTTGAGTGAGGATTTAATAGTTGTTTGTGTGAGGAAGAGTGTGTTTGCTTGAGGAATAGTGTGTGTGTGGCGACTACGGTTGAGCTTTAACTCTGGAGCAAAAGACCATACAGATCTCTGCTTTTGTCATACGAGAGGTGCTACTATCACTGGTTTTAAAACTGGTACTATTTTGACTGGTTTCCGTTGGTTCAAAACTCTGCGTTGCTTAATCATCCCATTTGGGGATTAGGAGGGAAGAGGATAGGTGATGGGGAGGGAAGTGGATAAGGGATTGGGAGGGAGGAGGGGTTTAGAAGGGGGTGTTGCTGTTAGTGTTATGATGTTCAGTGTTTGTTGTTCAGATCTTCTGTGGTTTCATTGTTTTCTATTAAAAGTGTTTTTCTTCATGGGTTTTGTGCTTTATTGTCTCATCTCTTCTTCTTCTTCCCTTCTCTAACCTCCCCTCCTCTATCCCTCTCTCTTCCCCTCTTCTTTACCCCCTCGCTCCCATATCTGTCTCTCCTCACCTCTTCTCTCCGGTCTCACCTCCCCTCCCTTCCGGTCTCACCTCTCCTCTTCTCTCCGGTCTCCCCTCACCTCTCCTCTTCGGTCTAGACTCAATATGAGGTTCTCTTCACTGTAAGCCTGCCACCTGTAAGAGTGAATGTGTAATTCAAACCTAATTCAAAACCTTTAGACTTGGATGTTTCACTTGTGAAGAAGTGTGAGGTAAAGCACAGATGCAGTGATGCTTAACAACTACAGTGACTATACTGTCCTAATATGGTCATTTTAGAGGAAACTGGATTACATGTTTCTCTGTAAAGCAAGGGACCCATGGCTTGGACAGCCTCTTGCAGCCCAGGGCTGATGTCTCATCCTGGGCATGGCGCTGTAGGAAAGTCCCAGGCTGCAAGTAGAGTGGAGGCCTCAGTGATGTAGCAGCCTCTGCTGGTGAACATGTGAACTGCCACTCAGTAGATCTTGCATAAAACCTATAGCGTGAATCCTAATTTGAGATTAGTGCACACACACAATTCACACTTTCACCTAAATCGTACATTGCTGCTGTCAATAACAGAATTGAAAACAAATGTATTTTAAAGAGCAATTCAAAGCCTTGGTATAAGGTTTAGGGTATTGTATTAGGATCCCATTAACTACTACTAAAGCAGCAGCTACTCTTCCTGGGATCCACATAAAACTTGACATAATACATAACATTAATGGACAGAACTTCATACATTTCAAATAAGAATACACGCTTTCATACATTCATGCTTTAGCAAATATAAAAGACCACTCAGTATCTTGTACTGAAAAAGAGTTGAGCTACTTGTCTCCGCTGGTGTTTGTTCTAGTCACATGTAGTATATTTAGAGTTTGCAGGCTGCAGTTTGTGTGAGCAGTAATGTGTTAATGCTCTGATTTATTAGTGTTGATGGTCTTTTTTTGTTTCAGATTTCAGATGTTCCCCACAGAGTCCGGCAGGAGGGTCAGGTAGCGGTCCTGGTTCTGATTCTGGTGGGCCGAGGTACTTCAGTGTGATGTGGTGTAAGGTCAGTGGGAGGAAACACAAGCGCTGGGAGGGAGATGCTGTCCTGGTGACACGAGGACGCACCGCCACTCTCAAAGACATGGAGGGCAAGGACATCGGCAAGGGTGAGTGTGTGTGCGTTTTACTGTCTGAGCGGCAGTTTCCCAATCACAGATTAAGCATAGACAAAACATCATGCTCAATGGAGAATCCTCATTTGAAAGTGGTTTTAGTCCAGGACTAGGCCTCATTTGTTGCCAGGAAACCGGCCCTGAGAGTGTTATTTCCGAGTGCATCTGAGAGTGATTCAGATTTTGTGTGTGTAGGTAGTGGGTATAAGGTGTCAGAGCTGGCATCGCTGAGTGAAGGAGAGACGTTGATGGTAGGGGGTAAACAGGTGGAGGTGATGGGACTCATATCAGAGCTGGACTACAATAAGGGCCGCTGTTTCCTTGACGTCCATGTGGAGAAGGAGGAGCCTAAGATATCAGCTCCTCCCCCCTCACGACGCCCAGCTTCCAAACTATTGGGCGGAGAGACTGATAGGGGAGTGGCCAAACCTCAGGAGGAGGGGCCCTGTAAACCACGCCACGACCCTCTAGCACCAGGTAAATACACAGACATACAGTACACACACACACACACACACACACACACACACACACTCACACTCATACTCATCATATCTCTAATGGTTTGTGTAGGAGCCCTTGTCATGCCCCGGCCCTCAACCAATCACCAGTGGGCTTATAACAAGGCAGGCCTCCCACTGGTGGACGTGGTGGTTGACCCCTACTTGACTGCTAACCTCCGACCCCACCAGAGAGACGGCCTGCTGTTCCTCTACGAGTGTGTCATGGGGATGAGGTAATGGGAGATGTGTGTCATGGGGATGAGGTAATGGGAGATGTGTGTCATGGGGATGAGGTAATGGGAGATGTGTGTCATGGGGATGAGGTAATGGGAGATGTGTGTCATGGGGATGAGGTAATGGGAGATGTGTGTCATGGGGATGAGGTAATGGGAGATGTGTGCATGTTCATGATGAATCCTCTGATCACTCCAAAATTAAATGTGGTGTTCCACAAGGCTCTGTGCTGGGGCTGCTATTTATTTAGTTTGATTGATTTGGTGTGTGTGTGTGTGTGTCAGGGCTACATGTAGGTACGGTGCTATCCTGGCAGATGAGATGGGTCTGGGTAAGACCCTCCAGAGTGTGGCATTGACGTGGACGCTGCTAAAGCAGGGCCCGTACGACGGGAAGCCGGTTGCTAAGCGTGTGCTGGTGGTTGCCCCTGGCAGCCTGGTGCAGAACTGGGGGGCGGAGTTTAAGAAGTGGCTCGGTCGTGAGAGGATCAGCGTCTACACTGTTAACCAGGTAGGGGTGTGTTTGATCAGCGTCTACACTGTTAACCAGGTAGGGGTGTGTTTGATCAGCGTCTACACTGTTAACCAGGTAGGGGTGTGTTTGATCAGCGTCTACACTGTTAACCAGGTAGGGGTGTGTTTGATCAGCGTCTACACTGTTAACTAGGTAGGGGTGTGTTTGATCAGCGTCTACACTGTTAACCAGGTAGGGGTGTGTTTGATCAGCGTCTACACTGTTAACCAGGTAGGGGTGTGTTTGATCAGCGTCTACACTGTTAACCAGGTAGGGGTGTGTTTGATCAGCGTCTACACTGTTAACCAGGTAGGGGTGTGTTTGATCAGCGTCTACACTGTTAACCAGGTAGGGGTGTGTTTGATCAGCGTCTACACTGCTGTTTCTGATCCATATGGTGATGTGTGTGTGTGTGTTCCATGTTGTGTTGTTCATTAGGACCACAGGGTGGAGCTGTTTGCAGCTTCTCCTCTCCACAGTGTGTTAGTGATCAGCTATGAGATGCTGCTACGCTCTCTGGACGTGGTGAGTTGGTTCACAGCAGCGTATCCAACAGCGGTGGGAAGTACCAGTGTTACAACACTGTTGAATTACACCTAAACTCCTATACAGTGCATTCAGAAAGTATTCAGACCCCTTGACTTTTTCCACATTTGTTACCTTACAACCTTATTCTAAAATGAATTAAAAAATAATAATCTTCAGCAATCTACACACAATACCCCATAAAAATAAAAAACATATATTTATTTTTTTACTATTTTCTACATTGTAGAATAATAGTGAAGACATCAAAACTATGAAATAACACATATGGAATCATGTAGTAACCAAAAAAGTGTTAAACAAATCAATATAGATTTTATATTTGAGATTCTTCAAATAGCCACCCTTTGCCTTGATGACAGCTTTGCACACTCTTGGCATTCTCTCAACCAACTTCACCTAGAATGCTTTTCCAACCGTCTTGAAGGAGTTCCCACATATGCTGAGCACTTGTTGGCTGCTTTTCCTTCACTCTGCGGTCCGACTCATCCCAAATCATCTCAATTTGGTTGAGGTCGGGGGATTGTGGAGGCCAGGTCATCTGATGCAGCACTCCGTACTTTCTGAAGGCACTGTATGACACAGATTAGGAGTACGATGCTACACTCATGGGACATCAGAACGTTCTGTGTGTGTGGTGTGTGTTCTATGTTTGTGGTGTGTAGGTACAGAAGCTGGAGTTTGGGCTGGTGATCTGTGATGAGGGTTACAGGTTGAAGAACAGCAGCATCAAGACCTCCTCTGCCCTCAGTGGTCTCAGCTGTACACGCAGAGTTATTCTGACAGGTACACACACAGCCCTCTGTTTTATTGCCGTTTTCCTGTCCCTTTCTCCTAGTGTTTTCTGGTATATTGTGTGTGCTGTACTGTAGGTACTCCTGTGCAGAATGACCTGCAGGAGTTCTATGCCATCATAGAGTTTGTGAACCCGGGCATTCTGGGGTCGTCTGCTGCCTACAGGAAGGTGTACGAGGAGCCAATCCTCCGCTCCCGACAGCCCACCTGCACTGAGGTACATTACCCACCTACACTCTCTATCTCTGTCTCTGTACCGCTACACTATCTCTCTATTGTACGCTCACAACAGCCCACCTGCACTGAGGTACATTACCCACCTACACTCTCTATCTCTGTCTCTGTACCGCTACACTATCTCTCTATTGTACGCTCACAACAGCCCACCTGCACTGAGGTACATTACCCACCTACACTCTCTATCTCTCTATTATCTACTGTCCCCATCTCTTTCTCTCCCTTCATTCCTTCTCTATATCTCTCCCTATAGGAGGAGAGGGTTTTGGGGGAGGAGCGAGCGGCTGAGCTCTCTCGTCTGACTGGTCTGTTTATTCTGAGGCGGACCCAAGAGATCATCAACCGCTACCTGCCGCCTCGTCTTGATTGGACAGTGTTCTGTAGCCCCTCCCCCTTGCAGCGGGAGCTATACCAGGCTCTCCTCTCGCACCGTGTCATCCGAGCCTGTCTACAGGGGTCGACACAGACACAGACTCACACACACCTCGCCTGCATCACCGCCCTGAAAAAGCTCTGCAACCACCCAGGACTGCTCTACTCCACTGTACAGGTACGACACATAAAGACACAATGATGATGATGACGACAATGATGATGGTGATGATTGTGTGTTTTCCAGGAGCGTTCTGACGGTGGCTCAGCAGAGGGTTCTCTGTATGAAGGGCTAAGAGGTGTCTTTCCAGAGTCTTACTCTTCTGGGGGCTTCAGTACAGCTGACTCAGGGAAACTACTGGTCCTGTCTGACCTACTGACCACTATACGCCACCTCAGCCCTAATGACAGGTGTGTGTGTGTGTGTGTTTGTATGAAGTGGGTCAAGGGATCCGGGCACACTGGCATTGGTTTGTTGACACCATAGAGATCCTATTAAATTACTAGAGGGGCTGTCATAAACCCTGAAAGTTCCAGAATGGGGTGAAAATGGCAGCCATATTGGCCAGGGAGAAATCCAAATCAGTCTAATTGGAATGAATGGCAGAAGAGGTAGAATCCCGATTTTTCTTATGGAGGAAAATAAAAGCAAAACATATGTGATATCAGAAATTGTGTAATATAATTATTGTCAAACTAAAATATTGTCATATAATTATAAATACAGTTTATACGGATTTTATACACATTTTCAGTATAAATAGCCTCTGAAATATATGTAAACAGACCATAAATGTCAAAAAATGTTAGTTATATGATACAATATCAGTACTTGTTGCATTTACAACTTGTCTAAGTCCTATCATCAACTGATTTCAGCCAGTGTATGGATTGACTGCATTTTTTAAATGGAATGTTGGCATATTGGCAGTTAATTAGAAACATTTATGGAATCATTCCTCTAAAACTGACTGGCTAGCTAGCTAACAAACATACAGTGCAGATAAATTCTTAAAAAGCATTATTTTACACTATCTTATCACAGCACTGGCAAACCATGGTTGACAAACTCCCTGACCAAAATGGCTGACCTTTAGACCATCATAAGAAGGTTCATGGCCATTCTAGTATTCTAATTCCTAATTCTATGGTTGACACACTCATGCTCTGGCACATGATCTGGACCATCTTGATCCTATGTTGTGTGTGTATGTGTGTGTGTGTGTGTGTGTACAGGGTGGTGGTGGTGTCTAACTACACTCAGACGTTAGACCTACTCCAGAACCTGTGTGTCCACCTGGGTTACACCTACTGTCGCCTGGACGGCCACACCCCCACCATCCAGAGGCAGCGATTGGTCGACAACTTCAACAGTCCTCACTCCGCTCACTTCCTCTTCCTCCTGAGTTCTAAAGCCGGAGGGGTGGGGCTTAACCTGATTGGCGCCTCCCACCTGGTCCTGTACGACATCGACTGGAACCCTGCTAACGATATACAGGTACAAACACACACACACTCCACACTCCCACTCACCACCATTTAGATGGCACGGTCTGTGTATGTTTCGTTCACATCTGAAACACACGTGTACACGTTACTGGTCGGTCAGTACCTGCTATGCTCTTGGAGGAGTGAGGATGAGAAAGAGGCCTTCCTCCTGATGTGATAGTTGGGGCTGATGTGTCTGTCCCCCTCCAGGCAATGGCGCGAGTGTGGAGAGACGGACAGAAGAAGACTGTTCACATCTACCGCCTGCTCACTGCAGGTACCATAGAGGAGCGTATCTTCCAGAGGCAGGTGTCCAAACAGGGGCTTTCTGGGACAGTGGTGGACCTGGGGAAAGGGGCGGAGCATACCAGCTTCTCCTCCAATGAGCTGCGAGATCTCTTCAGCCTGACGGACACACCCTGTCTCACTCACGACCTACTACACTGCAGCTGCAGTATGGATGGATCAGCCCCAGGTACACACACACACACACAGAGTTGTCTGCATGTGTGTTTATTAAATGTGTTTCTTGTGTGTATTATAGAAGAAGAAGAGGATGAGGAGCCTGCGTCTGATAGGCCGTGCCAGCTGGTCGTCAAGGTGACCGTGGTGGGGCGGGGCAGAAGCATCTGAGCATGTCAGAACTGATGCAGTGGAGACACTTCTCAGGAGGGACACACACCTTCAGAGATGCTTACCTGGATCACGCACGAAACCACATCTCCTTCGCCTTCCAGTCCACCATCTCACACACCACTCAGTAACATGCGCACTCACATGCACACACACAGGCTTTCCACAAATGACCTCCAGACACCAAGGAAGTGGCCCTTTCTGAGAAACATTGGACTATATGTTATTCTTTCTTTATATTCTCTACTATTTTTACAGTTTGATAGAAGAAAGTGTAAATTATCGAATAAACTGTTAAATTATACTGCGTATTCCATCTGTCTTTTATTCTGTTGCAGAAATAACAAGATTAATCAAATTGTATTTGCCACATGCGCCGAATACAACAGGTATTACCGTGAAATGCTTACTTAAATGAATCAAACACTGCAAATGAATCAAGCACTGCAGATGAATCAAACACTGCAGATTAATTACATTTACATTTTAGTCATTTAGCAGACGCTCTTATCCAGAGCGACTTATAGTTAGTGAATACATATTTTTTTTTTTATACTGGCCCCCCGTGGGAATCGAACCCACAACCCTGGCGTTGCAAACGCCATGCTCTATCAACTGAGCTACATCCCTGCCGGCCATTCCCTCCCCTACCCTGGACGACGCTGGGCCAATTGTGCACCGCCCATGAGTCTCCCGGTCGCGGCCGGCGGCGACAGAGCCTGGATTCGAACCAGGATCTCTAGTGGCACAGTTAGCACTGCGATGCAGTGCCTTAGACCACTGCGCCACTCAGGAGTACAGCATCAAGACCTCCTTAATTAATCAAATCAAATTGTATTTGCCACATGCGCCGAATACAACAGGTATTACCGTGAAATGCTTACTTACATGAATCAAACACTGCAAATGAATCAAGCACTGCAGATGAATCAAACACTCCATTAAAACCTGTGTTTGACCTTTAGGGATGGGGAGGTGGAAATGACTTCTGGAATGAGAGGAATCCAGCTGTGTGTGTGAGTGTGTCCATGTCAACTGTTTCATTCTTGGGCAAAGTGTGTGTTTCCACTCTCTTCAACTGTTTCATAAAGGTATACTGTATGTTAGCTGATGTATAGTCCAGGACCACACACACAACAGGGCTGGCATGGAGGGAATGTGTCCACACACCACCACCCTGGGAGAGCCACTCCTTAAAACCTTGCTGTATTATACGACTTCTTAGTTCTACTGGTAGAATGAGTCTCAGTCTGAGTTCTACTGGTAGAGGGGAGCAGTCGCTGTAGGGTGAGATGGAATCTCAGTCTGCTGTATTACTACTGGTAAGATGGAGAGTGTTATGAGTCCATCCTGATATCATCGTAGTTCAGTCCTCATCTGCTAGTTCACTACGTAAATGAGATCTCATCTCTCGAGTTCTCACATGACTGCGAGATCTCAGCTGCGCTGTTACTACTGGAAAGGAGGCTCAGTCTGCTGTATTCTTACTGGTAAGCTGAGAGTCTCAGTTTGATAGAAGAAGTGTAATTACTGATAAAGATTAATTCGTCTTCTGTTTTTCTGTGAGAGAAGTAATCATGTTAATCAAGTGGATCTCAAGTCTGCGTAGTTACTAGTAGAGAGGAGAGTCGTCAATCTGCTGTAGTTACTATGTAGAGATGGAAGCTCAGTGTGTAGCTACATGAGATGAATCAACACTGCATAATTCCATGCTTAGTACTATGATGATGGAAGTCTCAGTCTGCGTAGGTACTCTGGTAGAATGGAGTCTATCTAGTATGCTATGTGAAGTACTACTGGTAGAGATGGAGTTCATCTGCGTAGTTACTACTGGTGATGGGATTAGTCGCTTATACACTGGGTAGAGATGGGAGCCAGTCTCTGTAACTGGAGATGGAGATCCATCTGCGAGTTCACTGTAGATGGAGCCTCGGTAGTTCTGACTGTGAGGGAAGCTCTAGTCACGCGTCATGGAGTGAGGATCTCACTGCGATACCACGGGAGGCGAACAGCGCTGGATTGGAAACCGATCTCTAGTGGAGTTAGCACTGGATCGGCTGAGTCCATCGCTATTACTCTGGAGAGTAGCAGCATGTGCTAGACACTGTGAAGCAAGTCTCGTATCTACGGTAACATTCGAAGTGCTCATTGCGATACTACTGAGAGATAACCGTGTGTTCTACTAGAATGAACACTGCTGATACAGGACTGAGATGAATCACACACTCATGTGTTATACTGTAGGATGGGCAGGTGGAATGACTATCTGGTAACTGAGATGGAGATCTCAGCATTCTTGTGAGATGTCGTCGCTTATGTCACTTTATACTGTAGAGTGAGATCTCAGTTGCTGTAGTAGTTCTCATCTCTGTAGTCTTTAAATGGATCTCGTCTGCTGTAACTGATGAATCTAGTCTGCTGTGTTACTACTGTAAGAGAACAGCTGATGGTAGAAGTTGTCCTGATACTAACTGGTAGAGATGGAGAGTCTCAGCTCTGCTGTAGTATTCACTAGGTAGAGATGGAGTCTCAGTTGCTGTAGTTACTACTGGTAGAGATGGAGAGTCTCAGTCTGCTAGTTACTACTGTAGAGATGGAGAGTCTCAGTCTGCTGTAGTTACTACTGGTAGAGATGGAGTCTCAGTCTGCTGAGTTACTACTGTAGAGATGGAGAGTCTCAGTCTGCTGTAGTTCACTCTGGTTAGAGATGGAGAGCTCTGCAGTGGAATCCATGCTGTAGTTACTACTGGTAGAGATGAGAGTCTCAGTCCTGCAGATGTAGTTACTACTGGTAGAGATGGAGAGTCTCAGTCTGCTGTAGTTACTGAGATGTAGTCGAGATGGAGAGTCTCAGTCTGCTGTAGTTACTACTGGTAGAGATGGAGAGTCTCAGTCTGCTGTAGTTACTACTGTAGAGATGGAGAGTCTAGTCTGCTGTAGTTATACTGGTAGAGATGGAGAGTCTCAGTCTGCGTGTAGTTACTACTGGTAGAGATGGAGAGTCTCAGTCTGCTGTAGTTACTACTGGTAGAGATGGAGAGTCTCAGTGCTGCTGATCAGTGCTGTAGTACTACTGGTAGATGAATCCAGGATGAGTCTCAGTCTGCTGTAGTTACTACTGGTAGAGATGGAGAGTCCATCTGCTCACTGATAAGTTCACTACTGTAGATGGAGAGTCTCAGTCTGCTGTAGTTACTACTGGTAGAGATGGAGTCTCAGTCTGCTGTAGTTACTACTGGTAGAATGGAGAGTCTCAGTCTGCTGTAGTTACTACTGGTAGAGATGGAGAGTCTCAGTCTGCTGGATTATGCTTACTACTGGTAGAGATGGAGTATGCTATTCTAGGTGGTGGGGTTTTGACTTACTGGTAGAGATGGAGAGTCTCAGTCTGCTGTAGTTACTACTGGTAGAGATGGAGAGTCTCGTCTGCTTAGTTACTACTGGTAGAGATGGAGAGTCTCAGTCTGCTGTAGTTTCATCTCTTTACTGGTAGAGATGGAGAGTCTCAGTGCTGTAGTTACTACTGGTAGAGATGGAGAGTCCTCAGTCTGCTGTAGATGGAGAGTGATCTGTAGTTACTACTGGTAGAGATGGAGAGTCTCAGTCTGCTGTAGTTACTACTGGTAGAGATGGAGAGTCTCAGTCTGCTGTAGTTACTACTGGTAGAGATGGAGAGTCTCAGTTCTGCTGTAGTTACTACTGGTAGAGATGGAGAGTCTCAGTCTGCTGTAGTTACTACTGGTAGAGATGGGAGAGTCTCAGTCTGCTGTAGTTACTACTGGTAGAGATGGAGAGTCTAGTCTGCGTAGTTACTACTGGTAGAGATGGAGAGTCTCAGTCTGCTGTAGTTACTACTGGTAAGAGATGGAGAGTCTCAGTCTGCTGTAGTTACTACTGGTAGAGATGGAGAGTCTCAGTCTGCTGTAGTTACTACTGGTAGAGATGGAGAGTCTCAGTCTGCTGTAGTTACTACTGGAGAGATGGAGATCTCAGTCTGCTGTAGTTAACTGTAGGTGAGAGATTGAGAGAGTTCAGTCTGCTGTAGTTACTACTGGTAGAGATGGAGAGTCTCAGTCTGCTGTAGTTACTACTGGTAGAGATGGAGAGTCTCAGTCTGCTGTAGATGGAGAGTCTCAGTCTGCTGTAGTTACTACTGGTAGAGATGGAGAGTCTCAGTCTGCTGTAGTTACTACTGGTAGAGATGGAGAGTCTCATCGCGAGTACATGAGAGATGGTCTGTCGGTAGTTACTACTGGTAGAGATGGAGAGAGTCTGTTAAGTCTGCTGTGTAGTTACTACTGGTAAGAGATGGAGAGTCTCAGTCTGCTGTAGTTACTACTGGTAGAGATGGAGAGTCCTCAGTCTGCTGTAGTTACTACTGGTAGAGATGGAGAGTCTCAGTCTGCTGTAGTTACTACTGGTAGAGATGGAGAGTCTCAGTCTGCAGTAGTTACTACTGGAGAGATGGAGAGTCTCAGTCTGCTGTAGTTACTACTGGTAGAGATGGAGTCTCAGTCTGCTGTAGTTACTACTGGTAGAGATGGAGAGTCTCAGTCTGCTGTAGATGGAGAGTCTCAGTCTGCTGTAGTTACTACTGGTAGAGATGGAGAGTCTCAGTCTGCTGTAGTTACTACTGGTAGAGATGGAGAGTCTCAGTCTGCTGTAGTTACTACTGGTAGAGATGGAGAGTCTCAGTCTGCTGTAGTTACTACTGAAGAGATGAGAGTCTCAGTCTGCTGTAGTTACTACTGGTAGAGATGGAGAGTCTCAGTCTGCTGTAGTTTACTACTGGTAGAGATGGAGAGTCTCAGTCTGCTGTAGTTACTACTGGTAGAGATGGAGAGTCTCAGTCTGCTGTAGTTACTAATGGTAGAGATGGAGAGTCTCAGTCTGCTGTAGTTTACTACTGGTAGAGATGGAGAGTCTCAGTCTGCTGTAGTTACTACTGGTAGAGATGGAGAGTCTCAGTCTGCTGTAGTTACTACTGGTAGAGATGG